ATACGAAAAGGGCGTGTAGCGCCAACCAAACAAAGGAACGAACAGAACACCAGCCGACAACAACAACAACAACAACAACAATTAAATCCTCCACGAATCCATCCATCCCCCTCTAACTAACCCTTGGCGTTCCAAAAAAGGGAAACCCACCTAGTTACAAAACCAAACAAAGCAACTGCCCCCGCGCTCAAAGAAGCTTTCCGCTTTACCCTCTGCACTATCACTCAAAATAACACCGCGTACCGCCGAACAAAACCCTTCTTCCTCCACGTCAGCCACGTGCGCAGAAACCCACTCACCGCATCGATTGCATGACTGACCCTGTTTGTTGCTTGTCTACCCCTACCTTACCCTACATACCCTGTCCCTACCCAGAACCCTAGTCCAACGAACGCGCTTCCGCCGCCCCGACACGACACGACACAAACCACCTTCCCTTCACACCTCCCCTTCACACCTCCCCTTCCGTCCTCGGCATCTTTTTTTCATTACAGCGAGCGAGCGCTCGGAGCGGAGATGCTCGGGCGGAGATGGTGACCGTGACGTTTGAGCTAAAAGCGCGGCGGGTTTAAAGTTTGTAGTGAGCGCACAGACGGGACGGACGAGACAGCGTTGTCGGGTGTGTTCGGGAGGGGAGGAGGGACGGACGTGGACGCAAGGAAGTAAGGTAAGGTGAGGTAAGTAAGCGTTTTAGGCTGGGGAAAAAGTAAAAAGAAAGGGAAAGTGGGAGCTGAGAAAAGAAAAACAGTAACGGAAAGAAAAAAAAGGGGGGACAGGTGCGGTTTCCGGCACACCACGCCTTGATTAACGTTTCGAGTTGAATTGCTTTTCTTCCTCTTCGCTGTTTTCTTTTTTTCGTTTTTCCCGTCATGCGCTGAGCTGAGACTCAAGAAAAATAGAAACTGAGTTTTTGTTTGAGAGGTATGTCGCTTTGCGTGATGACGTTATGAGCAAGCATGTTGCGATTAATAGTGAATTATAATAGTTATATGAGTATATAGATTATATATATCGATATATCGTTACAAAGTATAACCGCTTATATGTGATAATGACGGCGATATACTTAGATAGCGTGAAGAATGCGATACCATCCAGAAACGACATTGCTATAATGCGCCGATCTTATCGATCGTGATAAGAACACCCGGGCCATGATAAAAGTAGGTAATATACCGAGAACTACTAATGCTGCGCATATAAATCCGATGTGATATAGCAAATATGATACGATGGACCCACCACCCACTCCACCCCCAGATTATGATGATGACGACGATAACGATAATGATGAGAGAGAGAGCCAGATGATGCATGCAACACAAACGTACAAGGTATGATAAGCAGACAAAAAAAGAGACTCGTAGGACTAATATCGCAACCGGGTTTGTTTACAAGTTATGCTGTGCGGGCCTAGTGGCAGCAGGCGGGAAAAAATACAGCGGTTGTTGGGTATCAGACCGCTCGCAATAAGAAAATGGATAAAACGCGGGGCTAGCAAATGCCGGAAAGGATGTTCATAACGCGGTGTGAGGTAAAGGAAATATGGCAATGGGTGTGAAGGCTTTAACGTGCAAGATGCGTGACTAGTACGTTCCTCCCAGGCTGTTCCAAGCAGCCAGAACGTCATCACTGACGCTATCTCGGTCTTCGCTCGCCCTGGGGTGGCTCGTGAAGCTGGCATCGGGGCTCAAGTGTCGTGATCTCCGCTTGCCAGCGCTTGGCTGATGGCTCGATGTTTGTGAGTATACTGATGATCGTGATGTCGAGTTGATGCTATTTTGCCGACTTCGCGTTTCGATGCTTGCAATTGCTAGCTCACTGATATGCCTCGGGACCTTCTTCTTCGTGGGGAATTTCGGTAATGGCGGTTCGACAATGCTGGGCGCGCGGGACGAAGTCGCGGATACAGAATTCATATCCCTGAAACCAGTGGACGTAGGTGGTGTCGGAAAGTTGATTTCTGCATCACTAGATGCTGTTCGACGGCGTCTATGCGAGCCAAATCCGCGAGACGGTTCGGATTTGGTGCCATGGGACGGTGCACCCACAATCCCGCTTTCGGCCATGGTCATGTCGTAAAGCTCGTTGCTGGTCTCGCTGCTTGCCACTTGGACTGCGACATCTGGTTCACCAGTGCGAGGTCCAGGCGTAATCGGTGATGGCAAGGGAGATGGGTTGTCTTCGCTATTAGGGGAGGTCACACTGGTAGCAAATGTGGGAGACGATTGCGGGAAGGGGTCCAGCGGCGAAAACTCTGTAGGAGGCGGAAGGTACTGAGGATGTCGTCCTCGACCGACTGGAGAGTAATGACGGTCTGACCAAGTGTCACTCGCAGAGCTATCCCGGAGTTGAGTCCTTGACCCGTTGATCTTGGTAGACCTGCCGCGTGAATGTGATTGAGGTGGCGTAGCGACATCCGTTGCTGCACGCGGCCTATGTTTGCTGTCCACAGCCCGCACGGGACTTGATTCTTTGGATTCCATAGATAAAAATGCAGACGTGCGAGGTGGCTTTCCAGATCCTTCAGACCGATTCTTCTGTCGGTCGTCATGTTCCTGTATAGACCCAGGCGGCGAGCAATACTTGTTCATCGCTGCACGCTTCTTCCTCATGAGCTCTAGTAGGGCCTCCTCTTCGGCTGAGACTTGCATAAACTTGTGCGAACTATCCGGATATGATTGTGGTGCGCTGTTCGACGTGTGCGCACTGGTGACACTTTGAAGCGATGGTGATATAGGTGTCTCGAGAGCAGTCTGTAGGCGAGCATCCTCATCTTCATGGATGACCGACGGTTGCCTGACGTGGCTCAAACGCTTGCTGCTACCATGAGTGTTGCTCCGCGAGAAATGGTGCGAAGAAAACCGCGGCTCCGGTGTGTACATCACTTCGATCGTCGCAGCATTTGTGGATGTCGAATAGGTGCTCATTCCTCCTGCAGATGGTCTACGGCGATGCGGGCGGACCTCGTACGCTTGCGCTTGCCCAAGGACGACATCGGCACTATAATCCGCTGATTCTAGGCTCTGGCGGGCGGTCCTAGATTGTGCTCTCGAGCGGCTCTCTTCATTTTCATCTTCAGATGATGAAAAAGATAATACGCTGGAGTCCTGAAGGTTCGTCTTTGAAAGTACCGACCCTTTAGTCTTGGATGATGTCTGTGAGCGATATGTGCCCAAGGAATGTTGGCTTGGTGAGGTCATATGAGTCATATGAGTCATATCGACAAGGTCTTCCAGGGCGAAACTATCCCTCTTATATGCGGACAGATCTTGAGATGGAGAGGAATATAGCATTGACTCTCTTAATTGTGACGTTTGGCCAGCCGAGGATCCATGGTATGACATATGTGGGCCAGATGCCTTTGGCGTAGGTACATGTTGTGTATTTTCCGGACTCTCGTCACTATCTTCGTCAAGAGCATCGAACCAATGTTGCGCGCCCCTTGGAGGCCGCCGTATGTGCACCTTCGCATAGTCGTGCTCTTTTTTTTGTCTCATATTAGGGACCGGACTTGGCTGGGGCCGCATTGGACCATCATGGTGCCTCGTATTAGTCTTCTGTAGTTTGGTAGGCCCTGCTTGTGATATTGACCCTCTCGACATCATGCGAGGGAAGTATCCAGAGTTCACTGACATGGCTGCAGGTGAGTTAACCATTTTGTTAGGTGAGAGCAGGGGGCCACCATAATTTGGGCTGTCATTGTCTCTTGGCCTGGGAAACAATTTGGACAGATCCAACCGCACTGGCTTGCTTTTGCGGTCCTCCTTCTTTCTCTTTTCATTAAGTATCATAGGCGACACAGGGCTCGGCTCATAGATTTCATAACCATGGTCTGTCAATACTGGAGGTTGCCCTCTGCGCAACGCCCTGTCCCGAATTGCCGAGTCGGAAGTTTGCTGAGAAATGGCCAATGGTGAGTTCTTCGCATCATAGTGCGATCGAAGAGTTCCACTTGATGAGGGTGTATATAGTCGTGGACTGAGCGAGTTGCAGTCGGAGCCCCGTTTGCCGTCCCCTGAGTACATACGCCCCAGGAGATTTGAAGACGGCTTTTTGGACATGTCTGGTCGCCTCAAGTACCCGCTATTCTCCGTCGTTACCGAATTCCTATCGTCGAATTGGGATCCCACACTCGCATCCGATACAGTGATGGAGATGTATCCAGGGCTTGCTGGTATGGAGGCTTGTCCCGTGCTCGAGCGATACAGGCCGTCGGACGTGCCTAGTATTCGATGTGCTTTACTCGATGAATCGTCGTGACGTAGAGGCCGGTCGTGGCCAGAGGCGACAGAGGGTATCGAGCGAGTGTCGGCGTTGGAGTCTTCGAGTTTGTCTCGCAACCGGCGAGGTAGAGGAAAGGAGAACTTCTTGGATGCGCGGTTCCCGCCAGCCATTTTGCCTGAAGCAGACCGGATCGGTGGATAGATTGGTGGCGGTGATCCTGGCTGGGTCGCGACTCAGTAAAGTTAGAGACACAATGGTGGGAACTGAATCGCGGTACCAGTTGGCGCTATTATTCAAATTCCCACATGGGCTCTAGACTTGGCCGAATCGCACGTCTTGTGCTGCCACCGGCCAGCGCTGACAGGGCATGCGACCACTATTTGCTTCTTCGTGGGCGATGACGATCCGATATGCAGTCGAGGGCTTCCGACCACTTCGACGACGGGATCCAAGGGTTCAAGAGCGGGCCCCTACTGCAGCGAATGGTCCCATGCGCTAACCCGCCGCTGCCTTGGGTGCTGTCTGCAGGAACGGAAGTCTGGTCGCAGATACGTAGTGCGGTTCCATGCAGCCTCGATTGGCGACAAGGAAGATTGCGGACGGGATTTTTGGGTGTTGTTTGAAGAGAAGTGGCAACTCTACAGATTTTCCATGCCGAGTGGAAGGGCGCGGGTATAGCCCGCGAGTGTTAAAACACCAAGGATCCATTGAATTATCCCGCTTGTTAGAATGGCTATCGTACTGGTAGGATCCGCGTCGTAGTCGGCCCCAGGGGCCCGTCATGTCAGCCGGCAGACGTGTGGATCGCAGCCTGCACAGGCACGCCAAAGCCTGCACGGCCCCTGCAAAAGCCACCCCACTGCTTCATTACAGACATGCATCCCCCCGAGTATATGGCAGTTAGTATCAGCCGTCTGTTCTGCTGTGTACCCAGACCACTCTGGCGCAGCGCCGCGATGCGGCAATGCACGGCGACAAGCATGAATCGATCTCTCTGCGACAAGTTCAAAGCAACTAGATGCCACTCTAAGCTGAGCGTACAGGTAGTTGAGGAGGGCTAGAGTGCGGCGTACCGAAGTTTGTAGGAATCGTCCATGCATGGCTGGCGCAGCGCTAGCTCATGCCCAGCCGCCAGCCTACCAGGGTCTATCCTTCTCACCACACTAACGACCCGGCTGTCCTGGAGCTGCATCTGGCCAGTTTGCAGAGCAACGGCGAATCGAAGACCGGCCAAGCTGTAGACGCCTCCTGCCGTCGAACGCTCGCCGAGTTTCTGACATGTCCGTTTCAATTTCCACAAACTGTACCTGCATCATGTCGTGCATTCTCTCTCCACTCAATCCGCCTCCAATTCACCACCACCAATACATGTACCACCACCTCACGCGACGTTACACAGTCGGGCACGGCTCCGTATTCCTAAACACAGCAACGACATGCTGCCAGCCACACGGATGGCAGCAGCTTCGGAACATGCGCATAATTATGATGGCAACTTGTCCAGGGGATGGGAGATGAGGTGATCAGCGCTCTTTTTGCTCTTCTGGTACCCGCCCATGGAGATCCGTTGGGCGGCTCCTCGATTACCATCGTAGAAATGCTCGCCTCGCTCAGGCAGATGAACATAGCCGAGACGGACGGACGGACGTCGCCATTTGATCGTCCCCACGAAGCACTTGGGTTTCTTTTGAGGCATCCGCACCTAAGGATCCACAGTGATAGCGCCATCCCGTGTGAACAAGCCCCTCGGGAGTGGCTCTTCCGTGCTTCTTTGTGTGTTGATCAACTACTCTTCTATGCCAACGCCTTTATCCGACCCCTCGCTTTGTTAGCTGTAGATTTGCATGCTTTGCGACTTTGGGAAGAGCTTGGACATTGGCAAGCACGTTTGTGTTCTAGTGTCGTGACAATACCTACACATCCCTGCACTCCGACGTTCATTTGGGAGACAGCTAAGCGCCAACGACCAGCTTGTCCCTGTGCAGTATTGACTTCAACGGGCAGTTCCAACTGACGAGAGCGGCCGTTCAACCGCCGCGCCGACGCTATCGTAGCTTGGTCACGTAGTTTGCCAAGCTAAGCAAATGATGTAAGCCCGGAACTGAGGCCGTTGCCAAAGCCAGGCTGTGCTGCTGGAGTAAGTAAGTTGTACTGAATAGACTTCTGTCTTTCACCCCGGATGGAACTCTGCGATGTGACCGTGCATCAACCCAAGACTACTTCTGCCGACGCTTGGACTGCCAATTTGCCTACATATCGTAGGCCATGTCTCTGTCGAAACCGACATAAAACATCTGCACATGGACTTCTGTATCGGTTCTTTCCACCACTCATCCCCATATGACAAGGCAACGCCGGTCCGTTATCCCTTTAAGATGTCCATACCGTACCCTGTAGTCCGTTGGGTTATTGGCACCGGATTATCTCTCACGGTTCTCGTCTCGTTCTCATCGAGATATTTGAGTAGCGGCCTGCCGGCTTTTGTCCCGAAGCGACCGCCTGTCGCGTGGGAAGCTTCCTTGGTGTAGCCTGAGGGTGACCGCATCAAAGCGATTCGACATGGCAACCTCTGTGGTACTGCCATGAGATGTTGACGACGACGACGACGTAATAATGTTTTCGACGTCCTCTTTAATGCGAAGACTCCGCTGTTGTCGTAACGTACAAAGATAGGTATAACGCTAAAAGGCAAGCGATCTGCCACGGCAAAAGAGCTAGTAAAAGCCGTCTGTTGTCGTGAGACGTCCGCCAGAGTCTTTTTGAGTCAAGACAGGATCCCGCAGCCTACGTACTCGCTTCCGTTCGCTCGGGAAAAGGCACGGATGAAATATCGGTACGTTCAAAGTTTTCGTACCAAACGTCAAATGTCTGTGGCAATGATGATTGCACTGTTTGAGGATGTGGTTGTGTTAGTGGACGTTACGAGCTTGTACAGCGGAAAACCTTCATGGGGTGAGACGACATGTCACCACGGATAAGTAAGAGAGCATGTGATGAGGCGACGTCGTGCAAGAGCCAAGTTTGGAAGTTTGCCCACGGTCACTTCCCTGCGGGTGTTGCCGTCTGTAACGCTGTCAGGAAGGCGCAGGGGAGAGAAATTACAGCGGATGGCAGCTTGAGCAACGAGACAATAGTCGATACACATGGCAAAAGCGGATAAAAGTTTAATTTCCAGAGAAGCTGCTGCCCAGGTTTGTGGTGTAGTATTCGTGGATATTGTGATGGACTGGTAATGATCGCGTGCCAAGGAAGGTCAGCTGAGAGGAAGTCGCGGACACGCACATGCAGAAGTGGGTTCTGCGCGTCATGACGGATGCCGTAATCAGATGGAACATGGAACAATTACTTTGACCGTTTCTGTTTTTCATGCGCGTGGATGAAGAGCTAAAAGTGCTTGACGGTACTTGACGGATGAGATTACAATTACAGGATCCGAGGGTTTACGTGTGTCGACATCTGTCATCGAACGCCCAAGCCGCGTTTCCTGCTTACCTGCGACGTTGCTGAGAATATGCGACATATATTGCCAAGGCAGCCGGGGGGAAGCGCGTCTTGACTGTCGGGGCGTCCCTCAGCTGGGCAGACAAAGAACGAGCCAAGGGCGGCGCTTGACTTGCTGTTGTATTTTTGCCACGGGCGAAAAAAAGGTGATGAAAAGGCCGTGACGTGCGAATCAAAGTGACGAGGCTGCAGCCGAGTGAGGCCGTGCTAACGTACCGCCCGCACCGCCCGCAAAAGTTGGACACTGACATAGCACTGTGTGGGCAAAACCCTCTATTCTATACCCAATAGATATATCTGGCGCCTACAAAGATTTTTGTATACTAGTAGTGTGTCAAGTATCTGAGGTCATCCAGGTGCACATGACATAGCACGTGCAGTTGGGATCAGACCTCTGGAGACTGTCACTGCTGCTTCTCGAAGTCTGTAAATCAAAAGTCAAATGGGCAGTGAAACAGGCTTCGGTGGGACCAGATGGGCATTGCTTTGAATTTAAAGCCGTTCGCAACGGCATGTTAGGTGAATGTTTGGTGAACTGGTGTGGTGCGGCAAGAAATTGACATGGCGGGTAGTAGGGATTCGAGCGAGCCAAGCTCGGCGGCCCACCTGCAGGCGTGGTGCTCAGTGCCTTCGTTCGTCTACCACTCTCCGTAAACCCCACTACTGCTCATACCACACCCAACACCTCACCATATACACCGTCTTCCTCTCTCGCTTCCCAAGACTCACTGCTTGACACGTGCTGTCTCTCCGCCGCTATACTGGAACCACGTCGTGTTTCGACACCCGACCGGACCTCTCGCCTCTCCGTCAGCGGCGACACGTCGGAGAGCAAGCAGCCAGGCTCCGCTACCGCCGCCCACCTCGAGCTGCTTCGAGCCCTGGTCTCCTTCTGGCGACATGCACCACTGCTAGAAGGTTAACGTGTTTTTTTACTCGTTCCCGCTCCTGCTCTGCCAAGCTCGCGCCTTGGTTCCGAGGCCCCAGGTCCCCATCATTGCCCCGGACGCTACGACGAGCCACTCTGCCCACCAGCCGCGCCGCACACACGTGTCTAGATCGACATCTTTACCGAAAACAAAAATTCACACTGGCCTGTGACCCCACAGCTCACCCTCACGCTTGTGCAACATGGCCTCCAACGCCCCCGGCCCCAGCGCTGACCGCGTCTCCAAGACGGTACATAGCGAAGCCACAGATCCATATGCCACCATGGGACAGTTCTCGTTCGCTCCAGCAACCAAGACTACCGTCGTAACGACAACGTACACCACCACCACCACTTTTCCACCACTATGTGTAAACGCCCCCGGAAGCCTTAGCGAACGCGACCCCAAGGACTACCCGCTGGCCCATGTAAAAGCACCAGAATCAATACGCAAGTTCTACTTTGAGTCCGGAGGCGAACTGGCTTGCTTTGAAGAAGCAAATGCGGCATCAGAAAAGGTGCGAGAGGTAAGAATTACATCACATCAGGGACATGCCTGTAGCCGGGCTACAGCTACCCATTTGTCATGCAATCAACTGACTCTTTCCCCCACAGCAGAGATCACTTCATCAGAATCTACAATCTGCCAACGGCACACTTAAAAAGGTCGAGTCCTTTAACGGACCCCCGGTCTTCGCATCACCTAGCCGCACGACGCGTCCCAAGATACACGCACATCAAAACCTTCGTTCCGTCTCCGGTCGCCGAAAACGAGATAATGCTGATGAATCGCCGCCGCCTCCATCTATAAAAAAGGCTGCTGAGCTGGCTGGCATTCACCGTCACACCAAGAAGCCGAGACTCGATCAGGACATGGGTGAAGACGCCACACGCATGGGCTCCCACTCTACACCAGACGACAAGGAGCATCTTACTCTAGCCACTCCCGACACCGATATGGGGGGATTGGGCTCGTCCAAAATGCCGAAGCCAAGGATACCCCACCTACAGAACACCAAGTTCAGAGCTGCAGCGCAACAATGGCAGCTCCAGCAGTCGTTCGCCGGCCCTGCCCATTCTGGGCCCAGCAATTCCAACCACCGAGAGGCATCGCCTGAGCCATCATTCCCCACCAGCGTTCTCGATGGCCCGGGCGTGGCTGCCACTCCTCCGATTGCCGAGTCTGACCTGGAGCCAGTCGGCCCTTTCGCCGACGACAGCTCCTTCTCTTCCTCACGACTGACCCCTCTTGACACAACTTCCGTACAAGATGCCAGCTTACCAAGCCCCAGTCTGTCGCCCATTACCGCTGCTGCCAACCTTGCCCAACAGACCACCGGTGGAGCATCCTTCTCCGGCACGGAATTGGACTACGATGTCAACGACGTTTCAGGACTTGACCTCTCACAAAGCAACGCCGGCAGCTCACGTATGGGAGACTTTGCTCTCTTTGGTGAAAATACAGGCAGCTCTAATGCACAGCTGCCTACCCCTTCCGTCATGGATATACCAAATATGCTGAACTCGTTCGATGCTTTGCCGGAACAGATGAAGTCATATGTTCTGTACCAGATGCTTAGGAGGTGCAAGAAACCCACCCTACATTTCGTTGCCGATGTAGTGAACCCTGCCCTCAAGCGCGACTTCATCGCTTCCCTACCTACCGAGTTGAGTCTAGAGATTATCGGTTACCTGGATGTCAAGAGCATGTGCAGCGCCGCTCAGGTTTCAAAGTACTGGAGGAAGCTTACTGATACCCATGAGACTGCTTGGAAGGATCTGCTCGACGCAGATGGGTACAAGTTGCCGCAGGGCGAGTTGGAGCGTGCTGTACAAGAGGGCTGGGGATGGCAATACCCTCATTCCCCAGACAGCTACGAGCGCGACCTCAGAGAACAATCCATCACTTCAAGATCAGACAACGAATCATTACCAGGCTTTGCCAGTTCTAGCTTGTCCAACAGTCTACAAGACCAGGAGGGTGCAGTGACCCGATCTTCTGCGACGCGCCTCAAGAGGAAGGCTACGAATAAACACAGTAGCAATGGGGGCAAGAAGCAACGTAAAAGCCGTCCTCCTACAAAGGCGTTGCTCGCAATCCACCCGCGGGCTGCCGAATCTCAGGAGGGACCCCATGCCTTTGCCAGGCGTGCAGAAGCTGCCATTTCCGATCCTAATGTGGGCTTGCCTGGCTTACGCGCCATGCATCTTTTCAAGTCGCTATATCAAAGACACCATCTTATTCGCAAGAGCTGGATGGCAGGCGACACCAAACCAAAGCATATCGCCTTTCGCGCGCACCAGCGCCATGTTGTGACTTGTCTTCAGTTTGATACAGACAAAATATTGACTGGCAGTGATGACACCAACATAAATGTCTACGACACCAAGACCGGAGCACTACGCAACCGTCTTGAAGGTCACGAAGGTGGTGTCTGGGCGCTCCAATATGAAGGAAATACACTGGTATCTGGCTCCACAGATCGCTCAGTGAGAGTATGGGATATCGAAAAGGGAAGATGCACTCAAGTCTTCCAGGGACATACATCCACGGTTCGATGCTTAGTGATCCTCAAGCCGACGCAAATTGGCGAGACTCTAGACGGTCAACCAATCATGATGCCGAAAGAGGAGCTTATCATTACTGGCTCACGAGACTCTACCCTTCGTGTATGGAAGCTTCCCAAGCTAGGCGATCGAAGTGTCATGCAGATGGGAGCGTCATCCAACGATCATGACAACCCGTACTTTATACGCGCTCTAACCGGCCATCATCATTCAGTGCGTGCCATTGCTGCGCATGGCGACACTCTTGTCAGTGGCAGCTACGACTGCACAGTTCGCGTGTGGAAAATCTCGACTGGTGAGGTTCTGCAACGCCTTCAGGGCCATTCTCAGAAGGTGTATAGTGTGGTTCTCGACCATGGGCGTAACCGCTGCATCAGTGGTTCGATGGACAACATGGTCAAAGTCTGGTCTCTGGAAACTGGTGCTTGTTTGTTCACACTTGAGGGCCATACTTCGCTCGTTGGCCTCCTTGATTTGAGCCACGGACGCCTCGTGTCGGCAGCGGCTGACTCAACACTACGCATCTGGGACCCGGAGAATGGGCAATGCAAGAGCAGATTATGTGCCCATACGGGGGCCATTACCTGCTTTCAGCATGACGGCCAGAAGGTGATTTCTGGCTCGGACCGGACGCTCAAGATGTGGAATGTGAAAACAGGCGAGTTTGTCAAAGACTTGTTGACCGACTTGAGCGGTGTGTGGCAGGTCAAGTTTAACGAACGTCGCTGTGTCGCTGCCGTTCAGCGACACAGCATGACATACATCGAGGTAGGCACATGCCAATAATGATTTGAGAATGTTAGCTAACAGTTGGCCAGGTTCTTGACTTTGGTGCTTCACGCGACGGGATACCCGCCGATCAGCGAGGACGACGTATCGTCGTAAACTCTAGGGGCCATGAAATCGACGATGTGCCTGAACTCGATCCAGTGGAAGAAACCCATATTTAAGCCCACCATGCTGGTCACTTGGGATGGAAAAGGGCGAGGATACACGAATACAACCAGCATCTCTTTCGGGACTGGCGCAAATGTTTTCGACATGTTCACAAGCGATACCCATTGCGCATTTCGGCGAATGACTTCACGACACGACCAGCAAATGTTATTTTCTAGGAGGTTTCGACTAGGTGTAGGTCGGTTCCAAGGTGTAAGAAAGGGCGTGTACGTCAGGATAGGGATTTTAGTATTGCTGCATAGCTAGGGCGTTTTCTATAATTGAGGGCTGCATTAGGGCGGAGCATCTACGGATGACTACCAGCATGAAGAATTAGATTCTTCAGAGCATATTCCTTTATGATGCTTGTGAATTGTTGATGCACGTTTTTCACTAAATCAGAAATCCTAAACTGGTAGTAAAGACGATGTCATGTCCGTCCAAGTGAAAGCGGAATGACGCGCTGCTGCCCCACTGCCGCGGCTCCAACTAAAGCTCCCGTTGCAAACAGCTCCCCGCCCATGTTTGCTTTTTATAATATCGCACACAACTTTTATTAGTCGTGGGCATGCAGGTCCCGTTGAGCAACCTCTAATGCCGGCATACTTCTTCCACGTTACCTTGGAGCTTTACCCCTCGCGCTCGTCGCCCGACAAGACCTTCACCCCGCCGCCGCATACTAACATCTTCGCCTCTGAGCTCCCGGTCCATCGCAGAGCTTCGTGGGGCTCTTATCCTCCAGCAGCACGAACATACAGCAGCTTTCTCAAACCCATAGCCTCGGGGAGTGAGACCAGTCAAGCCACCACCTCACGCGAACGGCCGCCTCCAGCTCGTCGATTCAGCCACCGCACGCGACCATCCTTCTCAGACCAGCACGACAGTCCCGTACCCGTCGTCAAACCACCAAAGAGACCTGGACATAGACGTACACAGAGCTTTGCACATAGAGACTGGCGCTTCGACACCATCTCTATACTCAGCATCGACATGCACCCGAGCCATGGCACCGACCTCGCTCAATCTCGCGCAAAGTCCCTCAAACACCCTTCACAGCCTCCCAATACCGGAGGTCTAGCGACAAAGGGAAACTTCATTCCCTCTGACCCGAAAGACACAGAGGTTGGCTGGGGCGTGGTGCATCTGTACCGTGATGGACAAGAGACGCCAGGCCTATACGACGACATCGAGGGAGCAAGCAAAGAGTTCAATGAGGAGGACTGCACAACACTATGCATACTCGCGGTGCCATCATACATGACGCCGTCCGACTTCTTGGGCTTCATGGGCGAGCAGACTAGGGAGGAGGTGTCGCACTTTAGATTGATCAGAACCAGCAGGGCTAACAAGTACATGGTGCTAATGAAGTTTCGGGAGGCAAAGAAGGCACGGGAATGGCGAAAGGCGTGGGACGGCAAAGCATTCAACAGTATGGAGCCAGAATACTGTCACGTTGTTTTCGTCAAGTCTATCAACTTCCAGAATGGCGACTCGAATCGCGATCCTACCTCATACCCCGACCTTACGAACGACCCCTTCGCCCCCGCTCCTACAAAGCAGCCGACTGCCCCTCTTCCGCCAGCGACTGGTGTCTCTTCGCCTGTTGATGGCCCGTCGATAGCTACATCGCTTACCGCAAAGCCGCCCGCTCCACCCACGGCTGCCCTCGTGGAGCTGCCGACCTGCCCCGTCTGTCTGGAGCGTATGGATGAGACAACAGGCCTGCTCACTATTCTCTGTCAGCATGTCTTCCACTGCGCATGCCTCGAGAAGTGGCGGGGTTCAGGCTGCCCAGTCTGTCGCTATACACAAAACGACGCCTTTACACTGCACCGTGGCGCTGATGGTGAAAGTCCGGACAACGAGTGCAGTGTCTGTGGATCTACGCAAAATCTCTGGATCTGTCTGATCTGCGGCAACATAGGATGTGGCCGCTACGACTCGGCACATGCTTTTGCACATTACGAAACTACAAGCCACACATACGCCATGGACGTCGCAACACAGCACGTCTGGGACTACGCAGGTGACGGATACGTCCACCGACTGATACAAAACAAGACAGATGGAAAGCTCGTCGACATGCCTGCCTCAAGCCAATCCTTCGCCGCGCCGGGTATGACAGGCTACTCCAACGACACAGTCCCGCGCGAGAAGCTAGATAACATGGGCATGGAATACGCCTACCTCCTAACCTCGCAGCTCGAATCCCAACGCACATACTTTGAAGAACAACTCGAACGCGCCGTCGACAAGGCCGCAAAAGCCGCCTCTACAGCCGACGAAGCAACCCGCTCCGTCGCATCTCTCTCCCAAAAACTAGACCACCTCTCCACCCAACACCAAGAAGCAACCGCCACCATCGCAACCCTCACAAAGGAATCAGCCCGCAACGCCCAAAAAGCCCAGAATGCTTCCGACCTTGCCCGCAAACTTACAAAACAGTACAAGGAAGAGCAGATTGTTAATGAGAGCCTCATGGAACGTATCAAGCATCTCGAGAAGAAGGCTGAGGAGGCTGAGGCGAAGGTCAAATTGGTCGAGGCGCAGAAGGCGGATTTGGAAGAGCAGAATCGCGATTTGAGCTTCTTTATTAGTGGCCAGGAGAAACTTCAAGCTATGCAGATGGAAGAGGGGGAGGTGGAGGGCGCAACACTGGAGGTGGGGGAGAGTGCGAGTGCGAAGAGGGGGAGGAGGAAGGGGAAGAAGAAGGCTTGACGGGCATATAAGTCAGGATGCCGTATTCGCTTAGTGAAGGGGTTATTCTTTGCTCAAGGTAGCATTTCATTATTAGGGACTTTGGTTCAACGGCGTCATGAGAGAGAAAATATCAGATACCCACCTTCCATAGAAGAACAGCAATTTCACCATGTAATGAGACGATGATAATGACCGATATTCACACGAATAGTTTTCTAGTTGAAGATAATAAACAAGCATCTCATAAAGATTGTGCTATTCCCAGCTAAAAAAAAGACGACACCTCAAGTTATACACAAACAAACACACACTCTCTCGCTCTCTACACTAACTACCCTACTATCACACACTCTCCTCATCCGCATCTCTCCCTCGAAAACACCCAATAAGAAACAGGGAAAAGATGCTGCAAAAAAACAGAGAAATATTACACGTGTGCTGTCATGTCTTCAATCCAGTTAATCTGACCCCCTTGTCTTTCTCTCCCCTCAAAACTCTCAAGGAGCCCATGGGGAGTGTGAAGAAAGGGGTCAAAATTAAACCAGCCGTCTCAGGTCGTCAAGTCATGTCATGCCTTTTTCTCTCTCTCCCCTTTACACCCTCATCTTCTTCCTTTCAGCAAGAGAAACAAAGAGGGTGAAGCAGGGGAAGAGAGGAAGAAAAAAAAGGTGGGGGCGTGTAATAAAGTAGGTCGTTCGTATAAGATGGAAGATGGGGAGATTCATGCATGCAAGCCAAAAAAACAATAAAAGCAGGAAAAAAGGCAACGCACGCGTTAAAATTTCCCCAGGAAAAGACTGATGTAAGCAAGCTTTGATGAGTTGATGGAAGTGAGGGTTGAAAGAGAGAATGGAAAGAGAGAGAGAGAGGATTTGTGGAAAAACGCCGGAAACCGTGCCTGTTCTGTTCTGCCGTGCCTTGTAACCCCCCGTGATCCAAGGAAAATGATCAACGCCAAATGGATGGGGAGAATGAGGTTGTTTTGCTTTTTGTTTTTGGGGCCTCTTTTTGGTGTTGGTGGTACTGGAGATGGGTGGTTGGTGGTGATGCTGAGTGGTATCCAGAAGTGAAAATGGTAGAGCGTTTGCATCACTGTATCCAACAATCAACATGGGAAGGATATCTTCGATCTAAGAGCAACGTCGAGGACTCTTCAAATCCAGTCGTCATCCACCTTGCCCAGTTGGCCGATTGCAATCTCTCTGTCGAAACCTAGTCCAAGGCCCAAGCCCATGTCCATCTGAGGTGGGGATTGAAGCTGTGGTGGTGGCTCAACCTTCTTTTTGGGGCTCTGCTTGGCTGGGCTCACACTGCCCTTGTCACTGCTGCCCATGCGGACAGTCTTGACGTCCCAGTCATCCTCAAGCGCAGCGCCAATCCACACCTTGACACTGTCGTGTACGGCGCCGTAGTACTTGGGATTGCAGGCGCGGAGATGGCCCATGAGCTTCTCGAAACCTGACACCTTGAGTTCCTGACGGAATTCGTTGCGGGCTGAGCGGGTCGGCAATGAGGCCATGATACCGTTGAGGAGATCAACGTGGGTAGCGAGATAGTTTGTGGCATCCCACTCGACACCGCCGACGTAGGGTGCTGCTGGCACGATAGCTCGTTGGCCGGGGAAGTGCGTCTTGGCGTACGATGCTCCCTGTGTTGGTTTGGGCGGAACCGGAATGACGTTGAGGTGGTGGATAAAGATCCAGAAGACCTCCTTTGTGACGTTAGACAGCTCCTTGCACCAAACCTGGTATGGGCGCGGCTGGTGCATCTGAAGGATAAAGGGAACCGTCGAACTCTCCTTGTCCTTGACCGGATCCTTGAGGTACTTCATCAGCTCAGAAGCACGCGATTCAAGTTCTCCCTCTGGCGCCATGGAGATGTGTGCAAAGATAATCTCGATGACAAGCTCACGTGTAGTAAACTCGCTCGGGCCTTTATGCTCCTCATCGAAGATCATAGCTAACAGAGCTGGGTACAGAGTCGGCGAAATCTCCTTGAGCTGTTTGAGGGCGGTAGCGGTGGTGCAAAGTCCCTTGAGACACCGAAGCAGCTCGTGAAGAAGGGTGTCTTCGTGGTCTTCGCGCCACTCAATCTCCATGATGCGGTGCAGAAGGGCGACCAGCTCAGTCATACCTCCATCTTGGATGAAGTTGTCAACCCAATCGACAGTCTCATTACGGATCAAAAGGCGGAGCTTGTGCAGCTTGCCAACCTCGACATCCTGCGGCTTCGTGGTCTTCTTCAAATAGGCAATGAACTCGTCAGCCTTGACCGCTTTGCCGTTGGACACTGAGCGGTCGGAAGCGTTGGATCGCATGGACCTCATCGAAGGAGACTTTACGATAGGGACTGGCTTAGAAGACGTCTTACGGTCGTTCAGCTCGCCACCCTTCTGCTTCTTTGTGGGAGAATCATTTCGGTTGAATGTGAATGTTCGGCTCCTTGGACGCTCACGCTTAGTTGAGTTGGCCGACTTGTCCGCTCGTGCATCCTCATCCTCGTCGCCTTCAGGCGAACCTTGTCGCGACTTGATGGACTTTTGTGTGGTAGACTTTGTGTTCTCGCCAATGGATGAGGGCTTGGATGTGGGCCGAGGAACTTGGGGCGTGTCGAGCTTGTGCATGCGAACAAAGTCGGCCTTGACTTCAAGCTTCAGGGTTCGCATCTGAGCACGCTGATGTGTGGGGATGTTCCGGGATTCCTAACATAGTCAGTAGGTGATGATGTTGACATTACAAGTAGACTTACAAGAACCTCCTCAAACTCGGCGTCCACCACCTTTGGATCGGGCTTGGTGTAAGGAGCCGGAGTGCCATCTGTCTGCTTGGCCTTGCCGTTGAAAGCAGCGACAGCAGCCATGACTCTGTTCTGCTTCTTCGGCGAAGCAGGAGGGGGCGCCATGGGCTCCATGCTGAACTCCTTAGTGCCAATATCTGTACTGGCTCGGCTGAATCCTGGTCTGGTGGGGTTGTTCTTGGAGGGGGATGTTTCCCTGGCACGTCCCTCGTTGCCCTTTGTGTCGGAAAGCGGGACCCGCTCGCCGCTCTTCTTGCGTGAAAATGTTTCGAGCAGTGAGGCCGTGGAAATCGTCTTAGGAACAACCATGGACTTGGGCCGCTCTTTTGCAGAAGGTCGCAGGGCAGGGAGGCCATAATCGAAGAAGTTGCGCTGCTTAGTGGGAGAGTAGTCGCGCGGAGTGTACAGGGCAATCTCGTCCTCGATGCTCCGTCGCTCTTCGTTGGACATCTTACTCGTGGCTGGGGTGGGGACTTGCTGCTGCGAGCTGAACTCGGCCCAGATGGGAGTGCGCGGCGGTGCTTGTGCGTGGGAAGAACGGGGCGGTGTGGTGTTTTCCTTGTCCCTCGATTCCTTGACAGGCGACTTGTCCCTCCTCTTGCCAAACATTGTGGCCAGATTGGAGGACGACTTGGGTCGCTTTGGCTTCTCGGCTACCGCCTCCTCCTCTGATCGTCTGGAATCGAACGAGTCGTTAACCCTGGGCTTATCTTCCCTCTTTGCCAGCGAACGCAGCGACACGGCACTGAGCGTCTTCTTGTTCAGGCTCTTCCGGGGACTCGATTGCGACTTGCGCGGTGATGGTGGGCTAGTGGTGGTGTTCTCGGTCTGGTTTGCAGCGCGCAATTGGCTATGCGGGTGGTCTGGGGGGAGCAGCGGAGCGTGGAAGCCGGATGCAGCCAGATATGGCGGGCTGGTAATTGTGTTGCTGCTCAGCGGACCGCTATCGGTAGGCGAGCGCCTGTGGCCTCTGGATGAAGTGATTATCGACCTCAGTACGGCAGATCTGTTGCGGCGATGCCCTTGGACGGGCGGGGCCATGCCTGGAGTCGCCATTGCGCGACGCCTTTAGTTCTCTGGGATGGGAAGCGTGAACTGAGGCAGTTCGCCAGAAAGAAGAAGCTGTCGACGATTGTTTGTCTATAGCAGAGGGGCGGCGGGCATATTAGTGGAAGGCGTTGAGGCAGGTCGCGGTCGGCTTGCGACTACCGAGTCGGTGGATAAACATTGCGGGCGATCGTCCCAGCAACGACGCGCTAATGTGGGGTGCGAGGGAGCAAACGCCAATGCATGCCACCGTCAGCCCGCTAACCGCTATCGACACTCAAATTCATGCAAGCTCACTTGCACCCCGTCATATCAAGCCCAGGGTGGACCATCAGGAGACGTGGGCGCCCGCTCATCAAGCCCAATCTTCGACCACTCTAACCGTGACCCCGTGCTATCACCAACCATCTGGCGAACAGCCGTTCGTAATAGTTATGCACCAGTCTCGTGACCTCGTGACTGCTGTGCCTCGCGACTCATGTGCAGCATAACTCACAATGCACGCCCGCCTAGAGGGAAGTAGAAGCGAAGGATGTATATTTGTTGTGAAGCCTGTTTAACAAACGCCCACACCACAACAAGCAGTGGGCAATCCGACTATCCTCAAAACATCAAAATCATAATACCCGTCATATGGCCACCCCCCATCTCCCCATGCCTGCAAATTCACTAATTGCCTTTTACCACCATTTGAAATTACTGTCCAAATTCCCTCACAGTCCTCCTACGTCTCTCCATCTCCCCAATCCTCACCAGCGCGCCCATGGCATTCGTTCCCTCGTCTCCACACCCAGTCGTAGCAACGCACATTCCCATTGCGGGCTCAACTCCACAGTTGCATACATCGCTCACACAAACCGACCCAATCGGGCACCCCTTTTCTCCAAATTCGCTATGTGAACACCTCACCAGTCTGGAATTGTCACAAGAGTAAGCGCTCTTGTCAAAACAGACGCCGTTGCCCTCGACTGTCGTTGCGCAAATGCACGTTGTCGTAGCGTTGCCGGAGCCGCACTGACGATCAAAGCCACAGCGTGAGTCGCATGCTGGAGATGCGCAGACACCGTTGATACATTGTTTTCCGAATGCGCACACGTTGTTGCAGCGACCGCAGTTGAGCACGTCTGTCTTGGTGTCGTGGCAACTTCCGTCGCTGCAAAGTTCGACACCAGGGCCGAAGCAAAGGGTCGGCCCGGATGTCGGACTAATCGTGGTTGTAGTCGACGTCATTGCTAATGTAGTATTGATTGCTGAGCTAACGGCAGACGAAGATGATATTGTGATGTTCGCTGAAGATGTCGCCGTACAACCAGCCAAAGCGCTTGAACCGGTGCAAGTTGGAGTTACGACACTAGATGACGACGAGTTACTCCAAATTGGTGTCGCTGAAATACTGCTACTGAAAGATCCCGATGGAGTTTCTGTGCTGTTGGCTGTCATTGTCGGCATACTACCGTTCGTCGTATTCACCCCAGAAAATGTACTACTGACTGCAGACGGCGCACTGCTGCTTGTTGTGTTGAACCATCCGGAAAATATAGCGGTAGCTGAAGCCGTCGGCACGCTGCTGTTCGTCGAATTCAACCCAGAAGATGCACTGCTCGCTGAAGCTGACGGCATACTACTGCTCGTTGTGTTCAACCACCCAGAAAATGTACTACTTGCTGGAGTCGTCGGCACACTGTTGCTTGTCGTATTCAATCCCCCGGGAGATGTAGCGCTGGCCGAAGCCGTCGGTACGCTGCTGCTTGTCATATTCAGCCACCCGGAGAATGTACTGCTGGCCGGAGTCGTCGGCACACTGCTTCTCGTCGTGTTCAGCCACCCAGAAAAGGTGCTGCTGACTGGAGCCGTGGGCACAGCGCTATTTGTGGTATTGAAAACACCAGAAGATGTGCCATTAGTGGGACTCGCTGACGGCGTTGTATCTACTGAAGAGCTTGTCACAGTCATGGACAACGAAGAGTTCATTGTGTTGCTCGTGCCGGGGCCCTCCGAGCTAGTTGGTAAGCTGCTTATTACTACAGCAGAGCTTTCTGAAGTCATAGATGGGCCACTTGGCGAGCTGACTGGTATTGAAGCGCTTGTAGGCTCAGCCGATGGTGCAGAAGATATTTCTGTGCTAGGTAAAGATGTAGCTGGGTTTGACAATGAGCTATCCGTGCCACTAGAGCTCGAAGCCATATCACTAGATACGCTACTAGCTAGCGAAGACTGGACCGTATTTGCTGATGTCGAGCCACTGAGCGACGAGGATGGCAGGGCAACAGGGCACGAGGTGCCCGTCGTCTTTATAGTAGTAAGCGTAGTCGTTGCGGTAGCTGTCACAGTCTACAATAATCAGTTCAATATCCTTTCAAACCAAGCACGAACGACTCACTGTTCCAAGATAAGTGACGTCACCTGCAGTGATATTTGCACAGAAACAAGCCGAAGAGTAGCGTTGAGAATCGCAGGCCTGTGTGGCGTATCGGGGTTGTGCTCCATATTCAGTTGTCGTAGACCAGTCGGTCGGCAGAGTTTGACGAATCACGAGTCTATTCTCCCCTGCCAAAGTGGAAAATATATCTGCGCTTGTTGTGCTGGGTCCCACAGTGGGGGGGCATGGCGTCGTCGTAGTCAAGGTAGTTCTCTTGAGGACCGTGAGAGTGATTCTAAGACAAATTATCAGACCCCTGTATCTTCGGTACAAAAACGCCAGCATGCGTCACTTACATCGGGTTCCAAATCACACTTGTGGTGAGGTAGTCTTCACAGTCCTGCGCAGCCCGGACGACACGGGCAAGACCGCCATCACCCCAAACCGAACGATAGCAGTCATCCTCGGAGCATTGCTGCCTGGCATTTAGAGTGATTGCTGAGACCACGGATATATTGAGCAAGGTAGCGAAAGTGGTGAGCTTCATCTTGGCGTATGAACGAATGTTGGCCTTCTGGGGCTGATGTGCACGACAATCTAACTATGAGAAGCAGAGAGGACTTTATACCTCGTTTCCGCCATCCTTAGACTAGCAACAGGATGTTGGGTGAGAAACCATTTCCTGCTTCTTCCAGGCATCTCTCTTGGTTGCGGGATATCCGCCGGCACCAGTGGCGCCTGTGCGAGACTCCAAGGTGGTTGAGTTTCTCAGCGCAAAACTTCTAGCCGAGAAACTAGTCTCTAGCTTGGTGTCGCAATGTGGTGTTTTGGTGTTCCTCAGACCATGGATACGATTACGAGAACTCATGAAGTTCAGTAGTTGTAATTCTTGCAAATTACGGTAGAGCGTTGGGCACTGTAATTGTCCACCCCGCCCAATATGTCGCATAGTTCCAAATCGTTCCAACCCATGATGTTAGTCGCGCAGAGATGTGCTAGAAACGAGATAGTCCGAACACAGCATGATGTCGTGTCATCGTATTGCTATCGACTAGACAGTCCACTAAACTGAAGCTAGGTGGTGGGCGCCGGCAGCTTATGCAGGTACGATACTGTCAGGCATACTCTCTTGATGGGCTGAGACATACGGATCGATCGCTTTAACTGATGACCATTAATCGCCACTACTACCCGTTCTGGGGTGAAAATTTAGCCATGTGATGGAGGCAATGGGACAGCGAGACTGTTGGGTATCCGGTATAGAGCTGGCCTTGCTACTAGCCGTTCAGCATTAACCGTAACACCAGAGTTCGTGTAAGAGATCGGTCTTACTCTCCGATAGCCTACCGCTTTCGGAGATGCGTGGGGTGTAGTGTGACGGGGCTTTGGTGTCTTACTACAATACTCTTAATTACCGACGGTTTGTTGTTGCCATACTACTGTGTGAGCCCCATTATCTTTTTCGAGGAAGGAAAAGGGCTGAAATGGAGGATGTCAATAGGGCTATTCCGACATACCAGACTTCCGGGACGAATTGCGCAACGGCTACACGGGATGCACGACAAGCTTTACCCCACTGATCCGTGGGTGTGACCATACTGACACCGCTGTGCAACATGCTGGTTTACCGAGACTTACCTGTCAGCATAAACCGTATGAAAGATGACATGCTCGGCATCGTCTCATCGTCATATGTGATCTCCCCGCCACATGTAGCCACACTACTCGAGTCGCCTCATCATAGGATTCTCCTTGTTTCACCAGGTCAACACTTTGTTTAGTTTATTGTGAGCGCATGAGAGCCTAGAGGATAATATATCAGGTCGATTCCTTCCTAGCGAGCAAGTAGACATGTGGTCTTGCACTGTATCGGTGTCTTCTCCAGAAGCTCTTCTCAATATGTGGGCACTCATACCGTGTCATAGAATCTCTTGGGAATTGATCGATGTATTACTAAGTACGTTTCCGTGCAACGACTTCGAGTCCTGAGATTAAGCAGGTGGAAGAAAGTTGGCATAAAGCATTCCCTGAACCAGGGAGTATACAATAAACCCACGGATGATCCATTGCGCTTTTGGCGATGGTTTCTCAGTTCGGCCTGTGCTCTGTGAGTCTACCAGCCATTGAGCGATGACCAGATACCACATCGGATAACCGGAAGCGATCCGGTTTACGATCTGTATGTGAAAGCTGGTAACAGCCGTGATAGCCAGCAGTAATTGCGGCAAAGCCAATTCCGGCATCTTGCATATCGTGGAAATTTCGTTCCTGGGATTGGACGTTGCACTGGCCTGAGGTGCAAGACGCCCATGCAACGGGCTCTGAACTGCGCTGCGAAGGATTGTAGCACTCGAGACGAGCAAGAGCCACATAACCGGTGCCGCTAGAATGAACAGAGGCAAATTCGATACAGTCCAGTAGCGAAAGAGTCCCACATTCCTAAGAGAAGTCAGCCTAGCCACAGCTTCTGTCTTGATTGCTTACCAGTAATGGCTTTGTACCCAGGTGTAAATACTTGGGACACTCTTCTCGCACCACGGTCTGATCCCAGCGCCACTACCTCGGTAACAAAACTCAACATATGCAAGATACTGCGGCCCGATGAATCCCAGTGCTATTAACGCTCCAGCCACACATGTGACGGTAACTCTCCTTACGTCATGTACACTCAGCTGCAAAGACATGAGACGAGGGAGGTACCTCGCCACGTCGTATAAGAAGATAGTGCCGCTCAGTAGCCCGTTGCTCCTCATTAGCGTAGCGACAGCGAAGAACAGACCGGAACTGATTTTCAACAGATCTTCTCCAAACGAAGACTTGCCAGTCTCAGCCATAGTCCGAGATTGAGCGTAGAAAAGCATGCCAGTGAAATTGAGGAAGGAAAACATGGCCTCCGCGTATGGCGCGCACAAGAAAAGAGATGCTGGTGTGAGAATATGCAACACAGCCGCAATGAAGGGGATGATTTGCCGTCGCTGCGGTTCCAGGACCAAGGTCAGAAGGCGATACAGCACTAGTACAGAGAGAAGGTGGCAGACGTTAGAGGCGACAATCCCGGCCAGAACGTAGTAGTGCAATGAAGGCTGCGCATTTCCAGCTGTCACTGCTTGCTGTTAATGCGGAGCCAAAGAACATGCGATCATCGCTCACATTGACCGGCTAGTCTCAGGAGATGCGAGTACGCCCAACTAAAGGCCCACGCTTGCTCATGAACGTGACCCCGCTCAGCGGATTTTACAAAGTAGAAAGCATCCCACCGGAGCAGGTTTAGAACAAAACGCTCATGACGCGTAAGTGCATTGAAGTTGCTGTGCCGCTGGGGGCTTGAGTCAAGTAGAACGAGAGCGGATGTGTCGTATCCAGGGCCAGGACAAAAGGCGGCAAGAACGAGGAGCAACGCTTTCCATATACAGGAAACGATAACAAGCTGCTTGGTCTCACCACTCCGAGAAAACCCAGGCAACTTCATCATGTCGAAACGAGGACCGTCGTGCGAGAGTGGTGAGGGTGAGGTGCCAGGCTCCGATTGGGTGAGCGACTAGCGTCGGGAAGACGTTGTTCCGACCCAGCCCACTCGCTACTGTGGTTTTCAATTATTGCGACTTTTGCGCCCGATTTTGAACTTTGTCAAGTCCAACGCCAACCTCAACTTCGTCGACCGCCGCCAACACACGGTAAGCGCACTACCCACGCCATGAATGCTCGGTAGCATATCAATCGCATGTCTCCTCGTGAGCATGTCGCATACTAGATGGCTAGAGTGTAGAACGGCAGAAATGCCATCTTACTCTTACGAGATTCAGACCTACAGTGGAACAACTGCTAATGGTTTCTGTTCTCTATGACAGCCTCGAAAAAAATGGCCCCCAAAGGAAAGAAGCCCGCTGCCTTCCCCCAGGCGACTTCAAAGTCGACTGCTGCGAAGAAGCAAAAGGTCTGCTCCATTCCACTTTGACTACTATTAACAAGCGCTAACAAGTAACAGAACCCTCTCATCGAGAAGCGTCCCCGCAACTATGGCATCGGTCAGGACATCCAGCCCCAGCGCAATGTTGGCCGTATGGTCCGATGGCCGGCGGTATGTGACTCTCAATACGCCCATACGGCAATTGCTAATCATCGGAACAGTACGTCCGTCTTCAACGCCAGAAGAAGATCCTCAACATGCGATTGAAGGTCCCCCCTGCGATTGCCCAGTTCCAGCACGTCGCCGACCGCAACCTCGCCACCCAGGCCTTCAAGATCCTCAACAAGTACAGGCCCGAGACCAAGGCCGAGAAGAAGGAGCGTCTCACCAAGGAGGCTACCGCCGTCGCTGAGGGCAAGAAGAAAGAGGACGTTAGCAAGAAGCCCTACGTTGCCAAGTACGGTCTGAACCACGTTGTCGGTCTCATCGAGAACAAGAAGGCCGCACTTGTCCTCATCGCCAACGACGTCGACCCCATCGAGCTCGTTGTATACCTTCCAGCCCTCTGCAGGAAGATGGGTGTCCCATATGTCATCGTTAAGGGCAAGGCCCGTCTCGGTACGGTCGTCCACCAGAAGACCGCCGCTGTCCTCGCTCTCACCGAGGTCCGCTCCGAGGACAAGAACGAGCTCCAGAAGCTTGTCACCGCTGTCAACGACGGCTACCTCGAGTCACACCACAAGGATGCTTCGCGTCACTGGGGTGGTGGTATCATGGGTGCCAAGGCCAACGCCCGCATGGAGAAGCGCAGGAAGGCCATTGAGAGTGCCATCAAGATCTAAGAAGGTTTTGAGGAGCTTGGAAGGTTTCGTGATGACTTTATGGCGTGTCTCTTATCTCTGCATGTAGCCGGTTCACAATACCAACGGAGTTTAGGAGGGTTAAAAACAGTCGCTGAAGACTGCATTGACTGGAATCAATTACGATAACGCACGCCATCGAGCATGATTTGCACCTAGAGTGACGATTGATGTGATCTAACCCCACTTTTCTTCATCGGTACGTTCTAACTATGCTGGGCTTCTCTAACAGCGGACCTCAGCTGCACTCGCAGGAGTCCGCCATGTACTCCAGACTCTCAGGCTGCGGTGATGGTCTCGGCAACTCACACTAAAAGTTTTCGATCCTCGTTCCAATGCCTCGCTCATCAGCCAATTTGACCAGATCATTCCCCACCACAACATCCATAAGCCCCAGACCCACGCTCTTATAGATGACGTTGCCCTTAACCAGCCACTCAATCAAACTCTTATGCGCCTTATCCTTACTCTCATGATCTTTCTTCTCCTTGCCCTTGTCGCCGCCTAGCCCCAACAAGCCCTTCTTCTTCTTCGTCTTGGTCTCGAACTCACACTCACCCAGCTCCACACCCCCGCCATCCAAACCCTCATCATGCATCGTCGTACTCCTCGCCACGCAGTCCCTCCGCCTCTTCTCCGCATCCCTCTTCAACATAACCAGCTCGCCCAGCTCAACAACTTGCTCCGGTCCCAAGCGCGCCTGTACCAGCTCCCCAGCATCCCTGAGACAGTTATCCAGACTATCCACCACAACAGCACCGCCCTGTTGCGCGTGCTTGTGAAAGTGGCGATGTGCGTGCTCGGGTGCAACGTTTTGGCGCAGGATATCTGGGTGTAGTTCAGTGTGTTCTGGCGACAGGGAGCCGATGGCAGCGATGTAGCGACCCTTTTTGCGGCCTTCAGGGTTAGTGAGGGTCGCGGCAGGGAAGAGAGGCACTGGGCTCTGTGTGCAGAGGAATATCACGCTGGAAGAGCGGAGCGTAGCATGCAAGAGACGCGTGTACTCGCTATGCGAGGGCGTCAGGATTTGTATCTTTGGACGGGCAAGTTGCTCTTTATGGTCTTCTCCTGCCTGGCGATACGTAGGTACATGTGAAGGGTCCGCAACGAACGCCGTGGGTGCTTCGTGTGGATTGTACAGTTCCTGTAGTAAGTGGTGTACGTGCTCGAAATCGCGGTTTATGATGTTTAGGTGGTGGATGTCTTCGCCTCGGAGGAGGAGCGCGAGTCGTATGTGCCAGTAGGCTTGTCTGCCGGCCCCGAAGACGACGACGTCGTGGACGTTTGCGCGTTTCTTAAAGAGCATTGTGCTTGCCAGGGCGGTGCGGAAGGCGGTTATTTCCATGGTATTGACAAAGGCGCGGGCAGTACCGGTTTCCGAGAACAGGGTAAGGCTACTTTTTGCTGATGCTGCGGAGGCCTGAGACCCGGAAGTGGTGGTCGTGGTGGTGTTTGACGACGAAGAGTCTTTTGAAAGCCTAAGAGATTCCAGCGATGAAGTTGCAAAGTCTGTATCTGAGGACCCCAAACGCTTCATTTTCTCATTCAAGAGACTGGTTATCTTGACTCCGAATCTGTCGTCGCTACTCGAAGGCGTGACAGACACTACCCCTCCGTCTTTTCTCTTCATCTTCATCCCAGCTACTCCTACACTCCCACCCCAATCATTGCCATCATCCTCGGTGTTTGTGGAGTAGCAATGCAACGCATCCGCAAGACTTTGTTGCAAGTCAAGGATATCTTGCTTGGTAAGTTGGAACAATAGTGTACGAACGTCTTGGTGAGAGAGCACTGTCAATGTCATACCGGGCATTCTGTCCGTCCTCTTGGAAGAGAGAAAGTTGTTTGTGTCGAGTGTGACACGCGACTTTTTTTCGGGGAGTGAGCGTATTTGGGCTATGATGTCAAGGGCAGGCAGGGTCCAGGTCAAGCTCGTCCAATGTGGGGGAGGGGCAACCACCCGGGTGTCATAAAATACTAGACATACTAGTGTAAAAATGCTACTATAGTCGCTAAACACGTCTATTGGGTGCTTACCTACACTGTCTAGTATTTTATGTCACCCAGGTGCAACCGTATAAGCCGCGCGGAACCAAGCTTTTCAAGCCAGGGCGATTCTGTCCGACTGGCTAAGTTTGGACAATGGAGTATGATGTGTAAGCATGACTATCATCTAGAACAACAGGATACCAATCCGCAAAAGGGCTAGCGTACATCTTTACATCGCCATTGAGCCAAGCCACGATAAACGTGTTGCGGTTTGTGAGGCAAGGGTATTGCGCATGTCACGTGCGTTGTCCTGGCGCTCCTCCCTCTCCTCCATGAGCACCTTCTCCCCTTACCAGCATCAGAGATACGTCATGTAAATAGACCCTGATTATGGCTACATATAAGGTGGCCATGACAGCACAACAACAGACAGAACACAATATATACACTGATGACTGCCTCGCGCGGACACACTTTGATTGACTGCATATACTGCAACAAAACGCAAGGTGTAGTGTGCGCGTTCGCTTTATAAGCCATAGAGTCGTGCTAAGTTATTTAAGTGTTATTGTAAGTAGTAGGTCTAGTTGTTAGATAGGGTCTAGGTTAATTATAGGATATATAGCAATGAACTGTAAATGTTAAGGATAAATGCCCACAACGATGAGCCGCAAACCAGCGTTCGCGATGACTGTACGATAGACGCAAGTTCCAACACACTTCCACAAAAAGCCAGAACCCACTGGCACCATATTGCTCATGGTCATTTGGAATATGGCAATCATCACAGGGAGTCCAGGTGTGACAGCCCAAAATGCTGGGAAGCAAGCAACAAACCCCACACAAATATTCAACTCGCTATATAAATAATACAGTGACTCCCTTCTCACCTGAAAAGTTAAAGGGCCCCAACGCAACTGACCCCTCCAAATCCAATTCCACGCGTCAATCTACCATGTCCACCCCCTCAGCCTCGCAGCCATCCTGCACAATCTGCAACCGCAAGATCAAGGACGCCAACCGATGCGGACGATGTAAGAACACTTCCTACTGTTCCGAAAAATGCCAGAAAACCGACTGGAGCACCCACAAGCTCCTCTGCGCCTCATTCCCACCTTCACAACTTCCGCCCGCCCAACACCCCAGCACTACCGAGCCGTCCTCTTCGACCCTGACAAGGCCAAACCAGAGTTCACCTGGCTCCCAGAAGATGACTAACAAGGCAGTCACCAGACCCCCTCCATCACCACCATCATGGGCAAAGCCAACGCCGTAGTACACACCCCAATGCAGTACAACCTGCGATCAGAAACCCGCCTCGCAAACACCCTGTTCATCGCCTACCGCGACACCTTTCTGGACGACGGCTCGCGCCCAAACGAAGCCGTAGCAGCCATAACACGCACGCAACCAGGCGAGTACCACGAATGACGCGGACATATTGTAGTGTATGCGGGGGAGGGACCTGGTCTTGACCCGCCTACCTGGAAAGACCTAGACATGGCTGACTTTAGACATGTGGTTGATTACTTTCTTTCCTACACACACATTGCGCCGCCGGATCCGGACGGTGGTGAGTGTATCAAGGGCCTGAGGATAAACTGTGTGGGTGATGTGAAGATGAATAAGAGACCGCACTTTGAGACTATCAATGTGTCAAGCACTGACCCGGTCTTTACTAGCCATGATACTTCAGATATTGCTGAGCGGATTGGTTTGCCTATTTTGACACGAAGGTGCGCGGTGGATGCTAGGTGGGCTAACAGAAGCAGCGACGAAGACGATGCGATGTTCGAACACAAGAGCCCTAGTCAGAACCAAGACGCTACGTTTCTGCATCTGTGCTGTGACCCCGGCGCCAAACTTGATATTGGTAAGGAGTCGCTGGGTTGGGGCTGGAGCCCGCAATCATGGCAGAATAACGTAGGGAGTGTGATTGTTGTGCGCAAGGATAGGAAACCACTTCTTCCACTACACATGGAGGCACTCGCTAAGTATTGTCGGGAGGAAGTTATATCGCTGTTCGCACATTCGAACGGCAGTTATCATCCAGAACAGCCGATGAAGAAAGGTCATGTTTTGAGCATCATTTGTCGGCCCATGTTCGTTATCTATTGGAACAAGTTTCTGGAACAGAAAAATGAGTACAGTACACCTAGCCCTTACGAGTAGACATGAGCTGTAACGAAAGTACTGCAATGTAGCTTTGCTTCATCTCCATCATCTTTTTCTTCCGTGAAATTTCTTTGGCTCCATATTTAATAAGTTTCGACCCCATAGTGCAACTTCATCTGCATCCTCGTCTAAGCGAAATAACTCTTCCAGAGAACACCTTCCAGGTCCTCCAGCTGCTCCAGCTCGAATGCCTGGGTTCCAAATTAGCATCTGTATCAAATTATGAATTAATGGATAGTCAGAAAACATACCTTGACATCAACATGCCATGTATCCTGCCGCGTCTTCTTGAAGTCTGCAAGAACAGTCTTGACACTCTTGCCCACCATTCCTGGATCAGCTGCTGCCTTTCTCGCTAGTGTAGCCAGTACATCCGGTAACCATGTCGGTGGGGGGCTCTGGTAAGGGAAAGCCTGGACCAATGCACCGAGACCCAGCACAGCAGCGTGGCGTGTGAGGACAAGCTTGCCTTGTTCTGTGGTAGGAGTGCCAGGGGTACGCTTCTTGGGGAGCGGGTTCTTGGTCAGTTGCTTGGTGAAGCGCTCCTTGAGTGTTGAGACTTGACGGTCGCGGAGCGCGACAGGCGAGCAGCGAATCATTCCTGATAGCGTAGTTGCAGCGCCCATGCGGACCTCGAGTTGCACGTCTGAAAGCATGGCAGAAACGCAGTCGAACATACTCTGTTGCTGCTTCTCACTCATGAGGAACAGCCGGCGGAAGTAGATGACTTGGATGTTGATTAGAATCCTGAGACGTTGATGCCAGCTGGTCGCGTTCCGTCCGATGCGAATGAGGGCTGCAATAAATTCCGAGTCCTCGCCTTCGCGATGCGGAATGTTAGGTAGATGACGGAAGACGTGGTATGCGAGTGATTGCAGCTCAGGATCTTCTTTGATATCCATCATGTGCAGTAGCTGCTCCATAAAGACATCTGGGAAGAATTTGACGAGCGATGTGCACTCGTATGAAGAGAGCGTAGAGTCGAGCCAAAGAAGGACGGTCTTGCCACCTGATGTGTATGATGACGGAGTCTGTTGTCCTGCAGGACGTTCGTGGCGCCATACCTCAAGACGATCAAAGACTTCAGTAATGGTCTTGCTGAACTCCTCTGTTGGCTGGTATGGCCTGACACCGATCGACGAAGCATCTTTCTGTGCCTTGATGAGCGTATTGACGTCCTTGTACGATTCATGATAACGAGTCCTGAAAATACTAGCGATCGTTTGACCCATAGCCTCACGTACGCCCTTGTACGGATGATCAAGGTGCTTCATGAAATCTTCCAAAATCGGCTTCTCTAGGCGGAAATGCCAGCCTGCATCGCAGATGCACTGTGTCAGCAGATGGACCTTGGAGCTCTCCTTGAAGGCCGCATTAGAGTCCATGTCAAGGCGGAAACTAGACAGCCAGTCGACCAACGGCCATCCTCGTCGTGGATCCTTCGATTGCAATACGACGTGCAGGAAGGTAGTCCAGTAGCCAGAGTTTTCGGGTGTCAAACCATCTTGGAATATGCCACGGACGATTGGGAAGACATACTCCCATACCGCTTCACGCTGATCAGCCTTGAGGTCCGGTGCGCACGATAGCAACGCAGCCATAATCTCAGAAGTCGCGCGATGTTGGTGCTTATCGCTCCCGTCAGCGTATACAGATTGGGTCAGGTCTTTGATGTCTTCAAAAGTGGTTTCTGTCAAACCGGCAAAGACGAGATCGAACGAATGGGTCAGCACCATTGCACTTGACATGCGGAACCGATCGGCACTGTTATCGCGCGGCTCCTGCTTCATGAAAGCAAAGTAGTTTGAGAACCAGGAGCGGGTGAGATGCTTCGCAATCTTCTGACGGACGCCGTTCTCGACCTCATCGTACGACAACTGTGGTGCATTGGGCTTGAATGCAGTCATAGTCTTGTTCCATACGAGCCATCCTGGATAATCAAAGTCGACGTAATACTTGGCCTCGGGCTGGGCAAATGCTGCGAGGTATTCTGCAGTCCAGTTTGGATCTTCAGGCTTGGTTTCCACGGTGATCTTGTCTGGCAGATCTTCTTCGCTCAGCAGGTACTTCTCGTAGTTGTGTCCGGTAATTGCGCGGGTTTGAATGACGGAGTAGAGGCCAATGAGGGCGCCGGCATACAAGCCTCGGAGACTAGGGTGTTGGTCGATAGATCCTTTCGCAACGAGATCGATCATCTCATCCGAAGCAATGGTGTCGTAACGCATGCCTAGGTTGACGATGATGGCGGCAGTACGGCTGACCTTTTTCCAGTGCTCTGTGTTGGCAATCTCGACCAGTTCTTTGGACAACTCCGCCTTCTTGCCTTCTATGCGAGCACGTTTCTTCTTGATGTAGTCCCGTCGCTTGTTGACTTTGGCGTGTACACTATCACCTTCGCTAGAGTCAATGGCATATGCAATAGCTTCTACGACTTCCTTTGGCAAGATGACCATGCGCTCCATTGCTTTCCCCATATCCATGACCTGGAATGTGGCGTTTGTTGCAAGCTTCTGCACTGAAGGCTTATCGGCACCCGTGACCTCAATGAAAGCCTTGATCAGCTTAGGTGTGAAGCGCCAATCGCGACTTATTGTCTTTGCCAAGCTACCGAACAACAGCGCGAACATGGCACCCTTGATACGAGGATAGTCACTCTCAGCTACAGCCTTGACAAATGCGTCGAGGAGAGATGGAACGACGAGGGGTCTAGCGCCAAGCACACACTTGACCGCGGACTCATTTGCTGTTTGCGCAGTGCGTCGGATCTCCGTGTAAAGGGATATACTGGATTCGGCGAGATCAAGCAGCAGGACCATGTCAAGATCAGTCTTGGGTCGTGGGTTCGCGTTGTGCCGTAGTCGTTGCAAATGATAAACATTTGCGCGTCGGACTAGTAGAGGTCGCGGGTATTGCTTACGCAGTCCACTGAACCTGAAAGGTCGCTCATCGTTCTCCAATAGTCTTGATATTCTGTCGAGTACATGAGCTGATCGCTCGATACCGACATCGATGAACCAGGAGCGATAAGCGTTGTACAGTGAGTTGAAGCAAGGAACATCATCGGGTTGTTTCGCGATTAGGAACTGATGCACGTTGTGCAACATCTCACCGACCTTTCTCCGCAGATCGTGGATAAGGTTGTATGTGGCATCCCCGCGACGTAGTGGGTAACCAGCTTCATACTGGAATGTGGGTTTGACCTCTTCGTCTTCAGCCTCTCCCAGACCGGCGTCGTCATCTATGCCTTCTGTATCCATTGCGTCTGAGTTGGAGTCGCTATCAGACTCGTTGCCATCGATGACTTGATCGTGCCGAACATCAAATAAGACTGAGATACCGGATATAATCAATCGCAACAGAACCAGGTTTCGTGACACCTCGTCTGACCAATCTTTGCCAGTGCCTTCGCGCTTAATCGGCGAGTCAGGCTGCGTGAGGGCTTTGAGTGCCTTCATTGAGTTGTTGGCATGTGTCTCAAAGAGCTTGACAGCGAAGTCAATCTCCTCTGAGTTGGGAGTGTGCCATTTGATTGTCAACTTCTTTACATCTACTTGCCTACCCCATGACTCAGTTGACAAGCCCTCTTCGAGTTCATCGTCTTCATAGATGGAATAGTCGATGGTGTAGGTACATGTCAGATTGAGCAGCAAATGATGAATGAAGTTGGAAACATGGACAGTGGGCGTGCCTCGGCAGCGCTGTTGCATGTATTCTGCAATCTCAAACAGCTCGTCCTTCCATTCAAGGACTGCATCACCGACATGGACGACGCACATGCTAAGAATACACAGATTCCAGACAAGTGCCCGATCACGAGGGAGGACTTCAGCGCCTGTTGTTCGCGTGGAGCCAGCACCGATCTCTTCAATCTCAGTACGGATACCTGCAAAGAGATGAGGTAATAGTCGCTTCAGGGCTTTCTCGGGGTTGATTTTAACAAGACTGTTGCAGATGAACGCAATCGCGTCTCGGGCTTGGTGAACAACATGGTTCGTGATGAAGTTTGCAATCTTGTCTAGCGCAACGTCATACAGCTCAGGCGAGAGTGCAGCCAGCAGCGGTGTGAAGGCAGCGGGAAGCTGGTTAACCACATATTCTTCAGGTGAGCCACTCCGAACTCTAGAGGCATCTGGCAAATTCTCCAAGAGCGTGAAGACACGACCAAGGAATGTAATGAGAAATTCGTTAAGCCCAGTTGTGGATGACCGCAAAATCATAGCTTCGTCTTCGTCACTAAGCTCTTTGCTGTAGTCGATCTCAATGTTGCCGTTGGCGCTCTCCAGTCGCTCGACTTGCGCTGTGATCCATTCCACAGCAAGACCAGTGTTACCGCCTGCATCCTCCATTGGCGTGGTTGCTCCATCTCTGGAAGTTGCCTCGATTGACGCCTTCTTCGCCTTTGTAAGATCTTGAAATGGGATGAGGTAGCACACGCCTTGGATGTACTGCAACGTGTGCACGGTCTTTTCCAGGTCATTGGCATCGATACCAGGTAGTGCAAGGCCGAGTACCGATGTGACGTGACACCGGAAGCCCTTTGTCTTGGCCATAACTTTGGAGAGCATGTGTAGTGCACGGATTGACGAGATGGTGCGATGTACCTCAACAAGCCCCTGCATCGCGGGGTATATTCGCTGTAACGCACCGGGGAGGATCAGGCTGGGCTCTAGATGCGCCAAGCTCTGTAGGGTAGACAGGGCGTATTGCACGGCTTTGTCGCTCTTGGAGAAGATGCCCATGAACGTGACCTCCCGCAGACAGAGCACGAATCGTCGCTTCACCGCATCATTGAGCTGTCGGTCTTCTGGCACATCCACCTCGCCACTGTGCTCTCGGTTCCAACGCAGCACGAATATATCCGCCAAGTAGTATACAAACTGAGCGAGCGGCCTAGTCCAGGAACCAGAATTCGATGGATGGAAGAAAGTCTCCACAGCCTGTATCAAACCCTCGAGTTTTGTCAGGATGGAATCTGGATGCTCTGCGCATGCGGGAGAAAGAGACATGGCAATGATGCGGGCGATGTGATGGGTTGAAGGGTGCTTGCGTGGGTCACGATCAAGCATGACGGCCAGACCGGCACCGAGGTCCACTGAACTGCTGTACGGCGAGGTCGCCTGACCAACCGGAATTTCGAGCAGTCGCAAGATCGCTGTAAAGATTTGTGACGACTGCTCCCCTGTGAAGACACCATATTGTGAGAAAGGCACATGCGGGGCTGGCAAATTGTCCCTGGCAAGCCGTGACAGTGTATCAATGTAGTGGGCATCAAACAACCGCGATCGATTCACAAGTGACCAAAGATGGAAGAATGTGGGGAGATATTCCTGCGGGAGCAGCTGGCTCATGTCCTCCGGGGCTGGATGGGTGGGAAGCAGCAAGTTCAGCAAGCCCACAACGACGAAGGCATTCTCGCTGAAGGATGTACTGAAGAAAGGCAGGAGCTCCTCAAATATGGCGGGTATCTCTTTGGGATCGAAGTAGAGCTGTGCGAAGGTGCACATCTTGGTCAGAGTGCGAATGTTACGCTTCACGTTAGGCGGATGTGAGCCCCCTGATTCCGATGGCAGAACGAACATCTTCAGTTCCCTGTATAGCGGTCGCCAATCGAGGATTAGGTCTTTTCCGGGTCGCAAGTAGTGTTTACGCCTGTAGTTGTGTCAGTCTTCAGGCGCCATGTCGGCTTTGAAGCAGTGGCAACTTACTTGGTCAAGACCATGAACATGCTCGCAAAGCGCTCTGCCACCAGGTAGTCCAGCCCTGGAGCGAGTGCAAGCTCATAGTACAGGTTCACTAGCTTTACTCGCGTGCTCCGAGGGAGGTCGAACTTGAGTGACAACCATCCCCGGATCTCGCGTGTCCAGTGCACTGCGCCCGGCGCAAAGTCTCCCGCGGACACGGCGATGTAGAGGTGCTTCAGACATGTGTTCAGACTCTCTTCGCGATCGCTCTGGTCTTCTGTCTGGTAAGGCAGGTATTCGAAATAGGGGAAAGTCCGTGGGCGGCGTCTGTCGTCTGAGCCATTGATGCCACCGTTGGCCTGTCGCCAGTCGCCGCCTGGAGAGGTGGCACGAGATGTATCTGGACCTGAGCCAGTATCAAGAGCGCCCATGAGCTGCGATATCCGCTCGCTGACTGCCATGATGCCGGTTGGTGGTGGGGGTCGTGGGGCGTGTGTGCCGCGGGTCTAGAGCGAGGTGGACGAGTCGTGGAAATGTATCGTCATCAATATACAGCGGGCAATGCGCAGGTGCAGGGCAGCTGGAGCTTGCCGAATATAAGCTTGAATAGTCAGCAAGTAGTCGAGTGCGTGTTGTTGATAGGCTGGCGTCGAGTAGTATAGAGAGCAGTAAACCACTACAAGTGAGGCTGATGATGAATCCCGCGGGCGCAACCAACTTACTCTCTCTATCAATGCGCCGAGTAGTGTGGCTGCTTTTGGTTGCGAGCGAATGTCGGGAAGAAGCTTTGTGCTCAGCTTTGTCAGGTGCAATGGGCAACAAGGCGAATGCAAATCGTCGTTCATGTGCGTAGCCGACGCCTCTTCTATGACATCTAGGCTGGGGGAAGCTTTGGCCAGCAGGCGATGGAGGTGCAGCCCTAGGCGAGGCACGGCGGGGAGCGATCTCGAGACCGTAGGGCGGGTGCCTGGTTATTTGCAGTTGCACTGGTTGACGTGAAAACTCCGGAATTCCACTTGGTTAATATAAAGCGCAGCGATTGCCATTGAGCGCGGTGCGAGGTGATTCATTACTTGCGGGCGAAACGCGCTATATACTGTCCATCCTAGGCCAGGCACTCGCAGACGCGCAATACAGAGAGGCGCCCCAACGGTAAGCACACCATCAACTCCATGTCCTTCATCCTCGTCACCCTGTTTCACATGCATCCCATCTTCGCTTTTCATCTGCTTGCATATTCGTCCCGATGCACAAGGCTGGTCACACGACACGCAACGCGTCTCTTGCTCCGGGACTGGCAATCTCATGCATCGCCACTGTGTGGGCACAACAGCACTTCAGCGTCCAAAGCCTGATTGCATTTCAACTTCCATTACCCTACTTAACTGACACATAATAAGATGGGCTCGTACTATGATGTGGATGCTATCCTTACGGATGCTCAAAAGGTACCTTGTACCTTTGAGCTTACCGTTCCTGGTCTCGGCTATCTCGAAGGCAACATGAGCGGCGACATAAAGCATGGCTCAAAAGTCGAACTTCCACTATGGCTTGGTGAGATGCTTGCACTCAGGTATAATACGATTGTTTTCATTCCATCAGGATGATCTATTTACTTTGTTTACAGCCAGAGTCTGAATACATCCTCCCTTGTGACAATCGACCCACCCTTCGCCCTGTCTCCACGCGTTTTGAACGCCCTCAAAGCTGACCCGCGAACTGTCGATTTGCGAGCCCTCGCGCCACACTTCTACAATCTCGGTGCGCGTATCTTGGAGCTCTTTGAAGAGGAAGAGATGATCGAGGTGCTGAGTGATGTGAGTTTCATCATGAGTCAACAGGGTCGACATCGATGCTGACTTTCTAGACGTTCAAAGCCAGGGCAGCCCTCATAGCCGATCAAGCTCACAACCCACGGGGTGCGCTAGGCGAAGGCGCTGACTTTATGCGAGGCCTAGACGAGAACGAGCGCCAGTGTAGGCTTCGTCCGCTAAAAGTTAGTGTGCAGCAGCTAACCATAGCCTAGTATTCCGAGCTGCCCACGATAGCGCAAAGGGCGTACGGACCTGGATGACGGACCTGAAGAAGAAGTGAGGATAGTCGTTAAACAGCAGCAGAAACGAGGGGCGACTAAGTTGCAAGACAAAATGGCTAAACTGGCTCAAATGGCCATGTACTGCACGGGAATGACGGCTGAAACCAAGAGAAGTCGGATAACACCAATAGACTGATAGTGAAGCGCAGTTGTGAGGCAAGCAATGGTTGAAGCCTACCTTCTGATTACAATACAATACCTCAAATCAACTAGCCAGCGAATCGAAAATGTGCATGCAGCACCAGGCTTACCGCATCGCCGAGCCAAGGTTACTGTTCTGCAGGATTATAGCCAGTTGATCTGGAGGATATCCTAGGAACACAGGTCCGTTGAAGACCATTTGTGGAATCATCGTATGGCCTCCTGTCTCTTTTGGCTTTTCCGGCAGCGGGGGCTGAGGTGGGGGTTCTGAAGGTGGCATAGCAGTCGTCGCAAATCCATGTTGCGACTGCGGCGTTGGAGCAGACGGTGGATCGTGATGTTGTTCGGGCATCTGGCCCATTGCGCCATGGTCGATGGGACATTTGCCAACCCTTTGAGGCGTCTCTCCGATCGGTCGGTCAGTATTGAGTGGCAGTTGCGGTGACGCGGTAGGCACGGAGCCCACTGAAGAAGAGCTGTCTGCGTTTGTGTACTTTGCTGGTATTGAAATGCCCCAGGGTCGACTTGGCGACTCCCCGACGCGGACTTCCTTGAGAGGCCGGTCAAAGTGCGCTGTCCTAGTTTCATCCTCAGCATGTGCATGCTCCTCTGATCCTTCCTCTGGCGGCGGAGTGCCATCGTGAAGACTGGCCGACACGGCAGACGCCCAGTTCTGAACTTTGTCATCTGCCTTGAGGTTGACGCTCAGGTCGAGCTCGGCCTCGGGCTCTTCCTCTATTGCGTCGTCAGGATCCTCGGGTAACCACGCCTGGTGCTTCTGCCCCAACCCTTGGATCATGTTGACCAAATTGCCGTATTTGCGGTCCAGCTGTTCAATGCTCTCTTGATTGCTCTGGAAGCGTGTGATGCAGACCTCATGGCTTCTGGGTAGCTCATGCTTGTGTTTCTCAAAGTATTTTGCAACCTCCTCTGGGTTATGTTGATCGAGGAATCGTATGGGACAGACGGCAGCGGAACCAGATACGGCTACTGAGGCGGTCACCGAGGCAGGGTCACTGGTGCATATTTCGGCACGGATGGGATCGGCAAAGGACGGTCGTTTTGATCGACGGCCACGCAGACTTAGTCGGGAAGTCGAGCTTCGCGGTGTAGCAAGCGGGCTGCCTCTGCCACCTCCAGCAGCAAAAGGACAGGCAAGCTTACTGGGAGTTCCAGCGACCGTAAAATCTTTTTCAAGTGGTGAAGTGGCTCTATTGGTGTGTATCTCAGGTAGTGGAGCAAGCTCGTCTGCTGACGGGCCACTCCATATCTTTACGCTTGCAGAATTTTCAGGGGCACGCAGCTGGGCAGCAGCCTCCTCCGCTTTCTGTATCACCAATGCCCGACTCTTGCGCTCTACATCATCGCTATGTGCTAATTGTTCCACCAAGTTCAACGGCATGCGTGCTTGATCATCTCCAACCCGCTCTAGATCCTGCAGGAAGGTAAGATGATCTTGCGGAAGCGTATCAGGTGTGAAATGCTTGAGGAGATCAAGGTACTGGATATGGTCAGCAAGGTTCTACAAATGTGTATCATGCTGAAGCGTATGTGATGGGTTCCGGTCAGGTTATGCTGTGGTTGTTTTCTGTCAAAGCCGCGAGTGCAGCTGCAGGTCTAGAGCTAAAGTTTATCATCACAAGGGAAGGGGGGTGAATGAAAGTAGTCATCATCACGTACCTGTTGCTTGGCCCACGAGAGCTTGCTTTCCAGCTGCCTATGTTGAGCGAACAGAGCCTGGTATTCTCCACTCAAAGCAGCAAACCCTTCGACAAGCTGCCCAGCAAGCTCTGTGACGTTGCGCGGAGCCTCTTCAGCCATGGCGTCGTCAGCACAAGAACGGACAAAGGGATATTGAAGGGCGAGGGAGGGCAGCTGCGAGCTTTGATGACGCGGCAGAGAGGCTCGCGGTCGATAGCGAAGAAAGAAGAACGGAAAGTCGGCAAGGATCGAGGGAGTCGGAAGCGACGGTGAGTGGCGCCACGCTGACTCAGCGCCACCAGCCACTCTAGGCGCAGGGCGGAAAGGACCCCCGACCGCTCAGGTGCGTGGCAGGCGCGTCAGGGCTCGCTGCGCCCTTGATCTGTTACGTAGCACCTTTGCCGTGGGCCGCAATCTTTATATACAATGATAGCCTGAATTCTAGTAGCGATATTGCCTTTGCATAGCGACTTCCATTTCATACGCATACGCGTCCATTGATACTGCTTGCAGCCACATCGGAAGTCCGCAGCCCCTATAGAAGCTAAAGCCGGAACAGTCAGGAATATTCACCATGGGCTCCCTCCACGACTCCCGCATACACAAGTGGTTCGCGACATCGCCTCCAGTCGCATGGACAGTCAGACAGTTGCGGGAGCTCCTCATTGGGTCTCTCAAACAAGGTCCAGTTCCACAGCATGTCGCCTTTGTCATGGATGGAAACCGACGCTTTGCGCGCAACCACCACATTGAGACTGTAGAAGGGCACAATCTAGGCTTCGAGTCGTTGGCACGAGTACGCCAGACCAAACCCAGCCTGTCCACGTGCAATGCTAACGCTTCCGCCAGATCCTCGAAGTCTGCTACAAGACTGGTGTCAAGGTTGTGACTATCTATGCCTTTAGCATTGAGAACTTTAAGCGTTCAAAGCATGAAGTGGATGCACTCATGTCCATGGCCAAGGTCAAGCTGCAGCAGCTGGCCGAGCATGGAGCGTTACTGGACCGCTACGGCGCATCTGTCCGCGTCCTGGGCCAGCGTGAGCTCATCAGCCCGGATGTCCTGATGGCCGTCGACAAGGCAGTTGCCATGACTGCGCACAACAAGAAGTACGAGACCATGCAATTCTGCCGAGACGCCCGCTGACGTTTTACAGGGCCGTATTGAATGTCTGCTTCCCATATACCTCGCGGCACGAAATCACAACGGCAGTTATGAAGACGGTGGAGACATACAGCACGCCCATTCATAACCTCACCACCCCCTCGAAACGCACTTTTTCCGAATCACATATCACACAACACATTAGGAAGCAAATGCTGGAGGAGGACACGGAAGGTGGGGCGGAGCAGCCTGAGTCGCGGTCGGCGTCGCCATCGTCCAAAGAACCGACTGGAGCCGACGACAGCAGATCCTCGTCAACTTCAACCGTCATCAACCCGTCAGAGAAGGACGATGCGCAAAACGGGCCCACGTTCCTAGACCCGGAGTCAATTAGCGCCCAGACACTGAACGATAACATGATGACAGCCGACGCCCCACCTCTCGACTTGCTAGTCCGTACTTCAGGCGTCGAGCGACTGAGCGACTTTATGCTCTGGCAAGCTCACGAGAACACCTCCATTGTATTCCTCAAGTGTCTCTGGCCCGAGTTCGACCTGTGGCAGTTCTTGCCTGTATTAGTTGAGTGGCAGTGGCAGCAGAAGAAGCTGCAAGAGGAGCAACAGCGAGTTCGTGGGCGTTCCAAGGTAGAATAGAGCTGTCGGAGTAATGATTTATCAGAACCCCTCCACTGTCAATGGTCGAAGTAGATCTGATTTCAGCGCGCATCGACGATACCCAAAATAGAGCCTTTCATCAGAGCTAGAATATATCCCAATTTTGCATAATCGCGGCTTGACACACCTCGTGAATACGGTTCCACTTGCACGTTTGCATGATTGCCCATTGGCATTCTGACTTTTTGAAGGTTGCGACACCTTTCTGGAAATGTACCTACCTCATGTTGCTGTGCCGCACCTAGGAAGACACTAAACTTTGGCTCAACTGGATCTCAACCTTCTTGTTCTACTCAACAACAATATCGCTGCCAGATTTCGACCTAACACTGCTGTTCAGCCTTAAATGACATTGTTGCGTAGAGATTGAGGGAAATAAATTTCGCGCAAAAAAAGAATACTATCCTTCCACAGCCCAAATTGGCGCCCTAACGCATAGGCTGTGTCCACAAACAGCATGTACCTTTGTTTTCAAATTGGAAAATACTGGAACTCGTGCCGATGGAAGAGTGCATTAAAGGCGTCAAACTTACCCGGACAGCGCTCTTTCCGCACATTTGCAGCACTCAGAATGGATCCACCTTGGTTAACACACAACTGCGACGTCGACGCTGAGCCCTTAGATCGCTATCGTATTGGAGGATACCATCCAATAGCTCTTGGGGATGTTTTTAATAACGGAAGGTACAAGGTTGTGCATAAGCTTGGCTGGGGAGGGTTTTCAACAGTATGGGCTGCGAAGGATCTAAGGTACCTGACTAGTCTCGCGACCACCCGGTAAATAAGATGCTAAGATCCTACTAGAAAACAAGAATACGTTGCGCTGAAAGTCTCGATCGCAGAACTATATGGAAAAAGCAGAGAGCTCAAGGTTCTGCGCGCTATAGCGGAGCTCAATTCCAAAGGAACCAGTTCACGACATGTAATGCAACTATTGGTCCACTTTCATATCGACGGTCCGAACGGGAAGCATTATTGTCTAGTACTTGAGTTTCTAGGGCCAAGTGTTCAAGATCTCGTTGATAGGTGCATCGATGACGAAAGACTTCCAGGGACAGTTGCAAAGACCAGCGCGCAACAAGCCCTTGTTGGCCTCACACACTTACACAAACACAATATTACACACGGAGGTGCAGCCAGTGTTGAATTTAACTTAGAAATATCCCCCTGACATATCGCAGATCTACACACGCGCAACTTGGCCTTTGTCATCTCTTCCCTGCATACTCTCACGGAAGCAGAACTTTTCAAAAAGTTACGGAGCCCAGAAACTGGTACTGTCACAAGAAAAGACGGAAAAGCGTTAGAATCAGGTATGCCCGAGTATCTGGTCTGGCCAAGTATGTATCTCACAGACGTATATTTGTTACAGCAGCAGATCAAGATCATCGACTTTGGCGAATCTTTCTTACACAACGATGTCCCTGAAACTCTCCACACTCCAGCTGTTGTCCGAGCACCCGAAGTCATTTTTGGAGACAAGCTGGACTACCGCGTCGACTTGTGGAATATGGGATGCATGATAAGTGTAAATCCAGGCGCAAGCCAAGCCGCGAATGAAGACCAAGCTCACCCATACAATAGATCTACGAACTTGTAGTTGGCCAGCCGCCTTTTGATGCCATGTCGGCAACGCCTGTGAGAGTCGCCCGGCAGATGCTAGAGAATAACAGTGATGAACTGCCAGAGCGGTGGCAGCAAAAGTGGCGGACCATGGACAGCGAGTGGACTGTGCGCAAGGTAGAAAACAAATTTCAGAAATGGTTGGAGGAATGTTACTTTGACGGCTACAGGAAAGAGGACTTGACTCGAGAGGACATTGTCAAAGTGGGCGTGCTTGTTCGTAGGCTGTTGCGACTTGAGCCTTCGATGAGGGCGTCAGTGGAGGAAGTCCAACGAGATCCTTGGCTTAGGGATATGTAGTTTGGGAATAGCGTGTCAAGGTAGAGTACGGCCGATTTTGGATGCGTTGGTGCCCTTCTAGCACCTGCACAGCACATTCCTCACAACACCCCGAGCAAGTCTTTTTCGGAAGATTACGAACAAGCCACTGCTTGGCGGAATAATCTCCTATCTACCGCTTTATCTAAGACAACTGCTAGACACGTGACGTCAGCCCGTAAAACGCCACTAAGAATGCATGGATTCCTGGAACTCCGCGGGTCCCAGTGCCTTGGGCTCTGACAGCTGTCGCCAGGGAAGATCATATAGCCCGGGTTCCTAGTCGTGCTTATCAACAGAGCTAACAACATCATGTGGTGCTTTTTTACTGACCTCGGTAATGCTCGTTTTCAGATATAAAGCTTGCTATCAGCCGTCTTTGTTCTGAGGGATTATTCAGACGTTGGTCGCTAGCGCAGCAACGATACCTAGGTACTTACCAACAGCACGATGAATGCGCCAACTTTCCTCACAATTCCCGTGGAGCTGCGCGAGCTCATATATGGATTCCTTTTCAGTAGCTATACCATTCGGCATGGCCTCAAGAAGACCGGGAAATCTGGCGACGCGCAAGAGCCTTCGAATCGCATAGCGATCTTGCTCAGCTGTCATCAGGTACTTGCCGAAGCAAATCGTCATCTACCCCTCAACTGCACCCTGCATTTTCGCGGCACGGAAGATTTACTCGAGACTCTCCTCTCTGTCGACCAAAGTGTGGTGACGCGGCTCCGGCACATACGGGTGCGCGCCTTCCCATTTCCTTTATACGTTTCGGGAGGATCACAGTATTACCCTACCTACTACGCAGCTCAGGCGCTTGCTTTGCTTCCCGGTCTTTGTTTGGATACCTTGGTTGTTGAAGATTGCTGGCACGGGTTTGGCATGGGCGATGGTTGGCGAGATGTCGTCACCTACTTTGATATCGAGGCGCTTTTGAGAAGCAACGCATGGAAGCATCTCACTTACATTACGCCATGCACCGATTTCATCGCTTCAGGCTATGACCATCGGCGCAAACGCTCAGCGCAACCCGAGACATGGGATGCGCTTCTCAAAGAACGCGACGGTGAAGAGGGTGGTGCCGAGGTTCAGATGTACATTGTTCCAGACAAACAAGAGGGGGTCACTGGTAACGAAAAGACGGAAGACGGACGTATCATGCAGCCGTGGCAAGCAAAGCCAGGGCATGAAGTTAATGAGAACTGGCGTATCGCAGGACCGGACCAAGAATTGAAAGGCGAGGTGCGTATCGTGGCGAGGAGAGGTAAGAAAGCAACAGCCGTTCAGCTAGGCTTGGGCGAGCAAAGGTCTTGGGCAGAGATTAAAGGAAAAGCAGCAGGCGGTTTCGCACCTGAAGGTAAGCAAAACTCGATCGCGTTCAGATTATCCCTATCTAACGAATGCAAAGGCTGGAACCCATATCATAATGGTATGGCAGATGCAGTTGGCTGGCTATATGGTGGCTACGGGAATCGGATGCAGCTAGCAAACGCCGCCCTGCATAGCTAACAACCTCGCTTCACCACATGGTGCACGTGCCCCGCGTGTCAGACTCAAGTGTGAGTATTTTGGTGTGTCCCAACAGGAGTTACGACATGTTTAATTTACTACACCTGGTATCCGGCATTGCGGCGTGGCAGGGGCAAGGAGGCTTAGATATTTTTGCATATTACAGGATGATGGATCAACGTCATCATGAAAACATGAGTTGTTGTGGAAAGCGTACTTTGGAGACTCCAGCTAAAAAAGCAGTATATCAAAGCAACCATCGTCAATGTTCTGAATAGGATTAAATAAGTAGTGGGTTGTTTGACAAACAATGCGGCGCTTCATTAGACGGTGTATTGTGACCTGAAAATGGATGGCTGAAGCCTTCTCGCCAAGTATCGCGTAGTCTGCGTGGAACACTCCAGGGCTGCAACGCCACCTAGTGGCCGCAGCGCGGTTGACATGGGTGTCACACAGCAGTACTGCACTTTCACTTTGCCTCCCAGCTGCCTATTCAGTCTGAATAGAAGGCGACTAGTTCAATTGACAGGACCCTCCTCGCTTTCCGAGAACGAGGGAAGCTACGATACAAGTACTAGTCGGCATCTACATTTGCAGATATCCGTCACTTCTTCTCCGACCTCCAGCAACGCCAGACCGAGGCTGCGCATTGCTTGTTCGTACTGGCTTGTCGTCTCTCGCAGTCATCTCGAGCACTATCCTCATTCTCACCCAATAACTTCTGCGGGTTACGCAGGCTCAACTTAATATGGTAAGCTATCAAGTTGTCATCAAGCGAGTCAGCCTCCAATTGCTTATCCTTGCTTGGTAGATTCGACTACTGCCCATAGTTCTGGCATTTTCTCTCCTTGCCAGGCTATCGATCGCCCAGCAGTATCCGCTACCCGTGACCTATAACACCACTATCAAATCGCCCGTCGATCCCCGCATCACCATCTCCTACAAGCAACCTGATGCCAACACATGCGCCACAGCTTTCGATCAGAAGCAGTACACTGGATATGTCACTCTTCCTCCCTTCACGCTCGAGTCCTCTCAGCAAAACTACAATATCAACACGTTCTTCTGGTTCTTCGAGGCTCGCGAAACCCCGGAGACAGCGCCACTGGTAGGTGATACAAGTTGCTTGTAATGTAAACGCCGCTCTGACAAATATGCAGACGATCTGGTTGAATGGAGGACCTGGCCAGTCAAGCATGAATGGCCTCTTTGATGAGGTGGGACCATGCGAAATCATACAAGAAGAAGACGGCAGCTATGGCACGCGGCCGAGGGTCTGGGGCTGGGACCGCAGTTCCAACATACTCTTCATCGACCAGCCCACTCAAGTCGGCTTTTCCTACGATGAACGCGTCAATGCATCAGTAGACTTTAGCGAATACGACCCTGAGGGATTAGCAAATCGCAAGCGACCTTCGCCTCTTCCAAATGGCGTACCGGAGTGGCGTTTCAAGAACGGTACCTTCTCTTCTGGTTTTATAAGCAACACTGAACCCTCGACCAAGATTGCTGCGAAGGCGTCCTGGCACTTTCTTCAGGGATTCCTGTCCGTTTTCCCACAGTACAACCCGGGAACCCGTCCCGACAGCAATGTCGATGAGCCTTGTGACGTCAATTTGTTCGCCGAGAGCTATGGTGGTACCTATGCGCCAATCTTTGCCGACTTTTTCGAAGAGCAGAACGATCGAAGGAAAAATGGTTCAATTCCTGCCAACACATTGGACATCCGACTCGGGTCCGTCGGCATTGTGAATGGTTTACTGGATGCTCTGGTTGCGGCTGTCACTGCCCTGGAATTTGCCTACGACAATACATATGACATCAATGGAATCGATCTTACAACATTCCAGAATTCAATATCGGCTGTAAACGAAAACATGGGCTGCAGAGATCTCCTAGAGCAGTGTGGTAAAGTAGCAGCTCTTCAAGATCCTGACGGTCTTGGCAACGACAATAGTACCAATTCAGTTTGCAGCAGCGCGTCTCTCATGTGCAACCTAGCCGCTAGTTCTACGGCTGCAAATGGAAGGAGCTTGTATGACTATCGGGTGAAATCCCAGGTCCAGCCGAGCAATGCATTCGAAGAATATCTAAACGATGCCGACGTCTTGTACTCGATCGGTGCTCCTATCAATTTCACTTCCACGAGTAGCGCCGTGGCTGATTCCTTCAACGGGAGTGAGTAGGCTGGTACACTATGTTTTATTCACAGATTTGCTGACTGTTTTCATAGGAGGAGATTCGGCCCGGAGCACTCAATTGAGCTCACTGGCAGGATTGTTGGCTCGGGGCATCAAGGTGGCCCTCATCTACGGTGACGCAGACGTCATATGCAACTGGTATGGTGGACAGAACTATTCTCTCGAGCTTGCTAGCCTCGTTCCGGGATACAGGACTGCCTTTTCCCAGGCAGGATACGCAGAGATTGTAGTGAATGACTCGTACATTGGTGGAGCTGTGCGTCAATACGGCAACCTCTCTTTCTCCCGCATATACGACTCAGGGCATCAAGTACCTTTCTACCAGCCAGAGACCGCTTTCACGGTGTTCAGTCGCATCATTCAGGGCGACGACCTTAGTACGGGCCGCGACGTCGACTTGACTACATTCAGCACCAAAGGGCCTAGCACGTCTGATCACAAAAATACTGTGCCGCCCGAGCCTGAATCAGTCTGTTGGCTCCGCAAATCCGAGACTTGCACAGACAAAGAGAGTACTGCCATCGCCAAGGGAGAAGGTACAGTGGTGAACGGGATATGGATTCCTGTGGGCGATGAGACAGCAACGAGAAACGGAAGGCAGACCTCGCCAACGAGCCCAAAGTCGCAACCTACGCCGACATCCTCGGTACCTCTGACTGGTGTCTTCACTGCGACGAGCATCCCGAGCATCAAGAAGACGTCAGCAGCCTCATCACTCGGGACAGACCCTCCATTTTGCATTCCGCACCTGACCGGATTGCACGGTCGAGGCCTGCGCGAGGTCGACAAGGTGAAGCTCTTTTGGATTGCATTCATTCCGTCTGTTGTTGTAGCGTTGTAAGTGCTGTCGCACTACCATCACCTCTGCTAGACCAACCAGCCAGCACACTCCTTCAATCCAACATTATTATCTCAGGACCCCTAGAAATCCCACGTCCAAACACCACCCTTTCGTGCCTAACCGCAAATTCCTAACCAAAAACAGGTTCGTCTTTTTCGCATCCATACGCCACCGCCGCCATCGTGCTAGTAAAATCCTCGACGACGACGCCGAAGATATCCTAGAGTCCAACACAGAGCTAGATGATCTGCAGCCTAACGCATTTCTCGCACCTCGCCCGTCAATACCCATGGATACGATAGCGGAAGCAAGTCCACGTCCCAGCGGCGATGCGACGGAACCTATACCACAGAGAGCAAGGCGCATGACCACACAGTCGCAGCCACGTTGTGTGCCGCCATTTCGTGCTTCGTTGCCGGATGGCTTATCCAGGCAGACTACAGATGTTTCTCAGACACTGCCTACAGACGCTGCTCAGACGTTGCCTATACCTCCATCTGACGCTGGCGCTGTCATGTCTGAAGGACAATCCGCTGCCTCGACAGCTTCTCTTCCTCCACCATATCCAACAACGACAAGTACTCAGCCACGAGCGGAGCCCGCGCCCAACCCTCCTCTTTCAGAACGCGATATACTCCCAGTTCAAAGTACAAACAACAATGCTGGAGCTGTGCCGAGCCAGGACAGTGCAAATGTCGGACAACTTCCGCCACCGCTAGTTAGTGCGATTGAAATAGCACCAGTTCCGCCGCCTCTACAGCCGGCGCCTGTCTTCTTCCGAAGCGCGTACAGGCATTCAGCGTGATTCAAGTGTTGATGCGTTTGTAGTTTCTGGTGTAGGACAAGATGGAGTGCATCGTTTTTATAGGACCTAGACTCTTACGCCTAATTGATTTCTTCTTATTCTTTTTTTCACCATATCAAGTGTTTCGGCAGCGGAAATGCACCCTGGCGCATTGACTCTAAATATGTATCCTGACCCGTAGCTCCTTTCATACATATCTTATGTGAGAGTATCACGTGACTATGAAGTGGTATGTATGTATATATGTACAGAGAAAGGAAATAGCGTATTACATATAACTAGGCTGTTAGAGGGGAAGTCGCAGCTATTCAGGGTCAGCTCAGGTGTGAACAAATAGTTTGTCGCCATCCAGTGCTGGTGAGTGGATATCAGAACTAGCCAGGTGGGTTAAAATGGGCGGAAGCGATGATGTAGTCGGCTAGAGTAAGGGTGAACATGGCGGGAAGAAAAGAAACAATGACAGGAAAGACTCGTATGAGGCGTTATGGAGGGGTGGAAGAAGAGGTTTGCTGGTCAGTCTCAATTAGTCCCGGTGTCTTGTTACATCATCACGTATGGAGCCTGACAGGTAACACTTGTACAACAGCATTTGTGATAAGAACGATGATCGTTTATTAGAAATTACTCGTGTAGCACATAAGTTCATAGGTCAGGTAGGGTCGTTTCTCGTCGTGACATGTTCAATCCCAGGTACTCCATTCACTTCCCCGTATCCATCTCAAACAAAGGTCCTCGTCACGGTGACTGGGACACAGCTCTCGTTCTCTGGTTCGTCTGCTCCCAGTGCCCAGGCCAAGTTCTTGTAGTTGTAGCTTCCATAGTATGTCTCGCAAGCGTACCAGCGGTAGAAGTTCTGGTAGCTACCGGTGTTGTTGGGGCCCCGAACGTAGCCTTGGATGGTCAATTTGTCTTGCTTATCCCAAGACAGCACCTGCGCGTTTGTATCACCTGGGAAGATGATGGGAAGCGCGAGATCGGTGGTCGCGTCGTAGTTGAAGGACATGGATGAGGGGTATTTGGTGTCGGCATCAGTTCTCAACCACCAGGTCAGGATGCCGGTCGAGGATGTGGTTTCATCGGGTGTCTGGGAGTAGATGGAAGAGTTGAATTGGAACTCTGCGGGGCGGAGAGTAGTAGGGCTACTACCGAAGTCGGCGTCGCTGAGGCAAAGCGACTCAAGGGCTGCTCCGATATGGCAGGCACTAAGGGTGGTGTCGATAGATCCGTCATCGGATGCGACGAGAAGATTGAATGGCGGGGTTGTGATGTTGTAAAACGGGTCTTGGGCAATGGCAATGGCAGCCGCCGCGAGGGATAGGAGGATGGATGATGTCTTCATGATGCTTGGTGTTGTTTGATGTAAGCAAGGGGATATGTGTGTTTGATCGGTCTGAAGATGTTGTGGATGAGAAGGAATTCCAGTCGGGGTACCAGCTACCTTTATACTCTTGACAACCTTTCGTCGCTGCCAGATTTTGGCAGCCTCGTCGCTACCCGTTCCTTCAACGTCGCACCTGCACGACGGTCATGTGTGCAAGGTTAGCGGCTGTCAGGCAGCCCGTGACGTTCCGCTACCCGTCAGCTTTGCCACACCCATATTACACCTCTGCAGTAGGAAGTATATCGCCTTCGTATTCCGACTACGGGGTGCCCAATGTAGCAACCATCAGCTCAATCAGGTCAATCAGAGAGCAGCCCCGCGCATTAGCGAACGGAAGGCGCCAAGCTGTCGCCCCAAGCTTTGCATAAGTGCCAGCACCTTGAGCAGGGCCCCATGAAAATAAGCAGTGACTTATCCGCGTTGATACGAGTCGATAGTTCCGTACCAGCGAGCGGGGAAAAGCATCTCTATGGTAAGAACCTACGACTTTGAGTAGGATGCAACATTGAGGTTGCGGAAGAACTGCTTTGGGGAGCTGATTAATACGACGTCACGCCATGTCATACATGAAGCGTGATGTGCTGATGAGAAGCTGATGCTCTGTACTCGAATTCAGAAGTATCGCACCACAAACAATGAAGACGAAGCAGGTGGGAATCTGCTGTTTCTGGGTAATGACGTACGGGTAGAGCTTGGACATGGAGCGGGCCTCGGGAGTTTGTGTTAGCGCGAAGCTTATCGATTGCGCCAGAAGGCGTCTCCGTGTAGCCTCATGCCACTGGAGATGGACGTTTGGAAATCTAGTCCAATGTAGTGTAAAAATAGTCCGATGCCCTCTTAGACACCGATGCTTTCAACGGGTACACCATCCGGTCGACCCCATACGACACAAGCGTACTGGCGCGCTTCTTGACCAGGGACCGGACTACGCGCATAATTCACGATTTACCTCAACAATGACGACCAGTACAGAGCCTTGGTTTCATAGCTGTACAGGCCAAAGCTTCTGGATGCGCCCACACAGGTCGTCGCTCGATATGGCAGAGAGGTGGGCGCCTTTGGCGTAGAAGCTGACTCTTGTGCAAGCTACGATGCAGGTACGAGCTCATTATTCATCAGATGGTACAGACACCCGCTAACAACTCAAGGGACCAGATGCGTTACTAGCGTAGTGCATCTAAATCAACCGCCTTTTTCCCAGCCACGGCGCACAAACTCCGCTCCCGCAGCCACATCGACACCGTTCCTCCGACCCAAGACGGAGACGCCGGCATACTAGTGACGTTCTAATCAGCTGTCATATCTACTGGCATACCAGAAGGCGTCCAGTCCGTCGTCCGGGCCTTTGAAGTTTGTGGGATGATGTCAGTGATACGGATCAGCTAATTGCACCACTAGGTATGCCGTGGTGAAGATGACGAAGAGATTCAGGGGCCAAGGACCAACACAGCTGTAACTACGAGATCCCGGTTATGGTGAACCTAGAGCCGGTGGAATGAATAGTAGCGCGAGGAGAAACACGTTTGTTGTAAAGCTAATAGCTACAACCTGGCAGAGCTGAAAGGCCTATGTATACCATACGCCACGACGGATACCTGCTTTTTCAATGATGATCTAACATTTGTGCTAGCTCGCATGCATTGTGCTCTAGGCATATTCTAAGACCAAGAGCGAAGAAGTATATATGGTGTGACGATCAATACTTTGTAGTCCATGCGATGGCCATCTCTCATGCTTTACTAAACAAAATTGTCTTTTAAACCTCAGACCCCAGTTTTGCTTCAGTTCAAGCTCGTATTGACTGCGCGAGATCATTCATGACCGATAGCTGGCCTTAAAATACCGAAACATATGCAGCCATGTGGACGAGCTACCCACAGCCAACGCACTGGACCACCAGACATGCTTTAGTGGACGCAGCACATGAGCTTTTCGAATAAGATTCACGAGCAGAGCACAGCAACCCAGATGCATGCTAGCATGTATGAGACGAATATCACATAGGGCCGAGTGCTGTTGTCCAACCCCTCTCGGGGTGTCGCGACAGGGCAACCTGGGCCGAATTCAGGTGGGGGGGGTTGCTGGGAGACAGGATTAGTGGTTCTTTGTAATAGCTTTTCGTACAGTTAATGCACTTCCCGCCTGCAAGTTTCAATATTGTGTTCTACAATAACGGGACATATCATATAAGACCAGAGGACATGTCGCTCTGTTGGCAATGAGTTCAGTCAAGCGGCTTTCTCAACATGAGTGACGTACCGCGATGCGGCAACTGTCGGCTGTTGTACCAATGATCATCTCGGCTTATACAGGGGTGGATGCGCTCCAGACCACGTGCCCTGACGCCAAGACGCCAGGCCGATCGTCATGCCTGCCCAGGTCCCGTCGGCGTCTCGTCGTCGAAGATTCTCGTCGCTTTCCTGGCTTCAAGACACCACTTCTCATTTTCAACTTCTGTGGCTGTATTTGCTGTATTCTCCATTTTCTTCACATACCTCTGCAGTTGCCTGAGACCGACAGCCAGGTGATGTCAGGCACACGGACCATTTGAGCTTGCAGACCCTTCCATTGGCTGTTGTTTCATCGTTAGCACCTCACCGCCAAAAGTAGAACGCGCAAACTTCATAGCTCCATCCTTCTTTATTTCCTTGCCGACTGCAAACCATCGTTATAGAACATCTTCACGATGGCCGATACGCCGCAGACGACTGCAGGTGGCAACCCCAAGGAGGCAAGGGTCCTCGAACAACATCTGGACCCAAGCTACGATTATTCAGAATTCGATCCAGCGACACCACCACAGGAAGACGGTGCAGAGAGCTCTGCAAATTCAACTGACCGACAGGTTCCGGAATCCTCTTTGCGGCTACAGGGTGGCGACATCCACCGTGACCTGTATAAAATTGCAGCACAGAACAGACGCCAAAAGCTACATCAACGAGCAGCAACCTTTTCCGATGCTATTCACTTTGGCAACAACTCAGCGCCTTCGGTCTCAGACGTTGACCATGATGAGCTACCCGTTCGGGATCAACTTGCGCCAGGAGGCTTGAGGCGACAATTTCTGCAGCGGCAAAGCAAGCGTGTTAGCTACATTTCAGAACCCGTGACGCGAAACTTTATTTCCTTCCTGGAACTGTACGGCAATTTCGCTGGTGAAGACCTTGAGGAATCGGACGATGAATCGGCCATCCAAGATGAAGAGGACGAAGGCGAACGGAGACCGCTGCTTGGACGTCGACAGAGCTCCAAGAGACTGCGGGCTCAGGGTGATGCTGATCAAGTTAAGACCTTCTTTACGCTTTTGAAGGCGTTTATCGGTACCGGGATAATGTTTCTGCCCAAAGCGTTCAAGAATGGTGGAATGCTGTTTTCATCCATAACCATGATCATGGTGTCTGCAATTACAGCGCTCTGCTTTGAACTGCTTCTGTCGACGAGAAAGAGATACGGTGGTGGTGGTTATGGTGATCTGGGTCAAATTGTGGTTGGGCCAAAGTTCCGAGCGCTCATTCTGGTCTCCATCACGCTTTCGCAAATTGGTTTCGTGTGTGCTGGTCTCATCTTCACGGCGGACAATCTTGCGTCGTTCCTTGACGCTGTATCTCACGTCAAGGATCCCCTATCGACGAATGCGCTCATCGGCATCCAGATCGCCGTTCTGATTCCAATGTCCTTCATTAGGAACATCTCCAAGCTCGGACCTGCCGCTTTACTCGCCGATGTCTTCATCCTTATCGGCCTGACCTACATCTACTGGTATGACATCTCTTGGATCGCCAAGATGGGCGGCTTTCATCCTTCGGTTGAGCTTTTCAACCCACGCGACTTCACTATGACCATCGGTTCAGCTATCTTCACTTTCGAAGGCATCGGGCTTATTCTTCCTATTCAATCAAGCATGAAAGAGCCTGAACATTTCAGCAAGCTACTTTACCTCGTCATGATGATTATTACCGTCATCTTTACGTCTGTAGGTGTGCTTTGCTACGGTACCTTTGGCGAACACGTCTCCGTCGAGGTCATTACCAATTTCCCGCAATCCAGCAAGCTCGTCAACGCCGTGCAGTTCCTATACTCCATGGCCGTGCTTGTCGGCACTCCAGTCCAACTCTTCCCCGCCATGCGTAACATCGAACTCAAGATCTTCGGTCGCGCTTCCGGAAAGCAGAGCAACATGACAAAGTGGAAGAAGAACGCCTTCAGGACTAGTTTGGTCATTCTCTGCGGATTGATTGCCATTCTCGGGGCTAGCGACCTCGACAAATTCGTCGCGCTCATCGGAAGCTTTGCTTGTGTACCGCTCGTGTACATTTACCCGGCGTACCTACATTACAAGGGTGTGGCTAGTCGTCCTTGGGAGAGGTTCGGTGACATTACGATGATGGTGGTTGGTCTCGTTGCTATGGTATACACGACCAGTGTTACACTCGCGAGATGGTCCGAGACTTAGAAGTAGAACCAGGGGAGTAGAGAGAGAAGGGAACACTAGAAAAGAGTATTGAAACGAAGGATCGTCGCTGTTGCATTAATTTGGTTTTCTGGCATGGCGTTTTGGTTTGGAAAATGGGCGTCTGTCTAATGGGCGGAATGTCTTGATAACGCGTTCATGTTAAATAGTCCAAGTGTTAGGTGTAATGTTATGACTTGTATCATGTCAAAGCATCATCCATCTCTGACTGCTTAAGTGTTGAACCAACCCTTTACTTTCACATTCGGAAAACTCCCGTCATGCCTGACCCGTCCTTTGGTATCCTAGACCATGGCAGTACTACGATGCCACCCTCCTACTGTTAACCCCCCATAACGACGCGCACCATCGTAAGAAGAAACCAAAAGAAAAGCGCAAACATGATGATCGCAATAACCACATTCACCACCTCAACCCAAGGATCCATCTGCTCCCGCGCCACCAACAACTCCTCCATTTCCTCAACACCACTCCACACTTCCCCCAGCGTCTCCAACTCCCCCTGACTCATCTGAAACCACACCGTCCGACAAAGTGGACATTTGTTGCTGTTCCGCAACTTACTCGCGATGCATTTTCGAAGACACTGATATCCAAAGACGTGGCCTCGACAGTCAGGATACCCAACGATGAGAATAGGTGCGTGCTTTCCGTAGAAGACGTCGTGACAGATTGCGCATTTTGCAGTGATGGGTGGGTAGGAGGGGTGTGTCGAGAGGAGAGGGAGGAGGTGTGATGTCAGGAATGTTCGGAGTGATGTGGAGACAGCTCGATATGGGCGCATTGAGTGGGTAGTTGTGCGTTGTGAGGGATTTACTTCGTCGTGGAGTGAGGGAGGCACTGGGGGAGAAGTAGAGGGCTGATATAGGTTTCGTAGACGTCACCAGGCAGTGGATCGATAGCGGGTGACTGAAATATGTCCGTTTGATGGGTGGTTTGCTAGAACATGAGGGGATGGGGACCTTGGTCGGGGTTCGCGGACTGTCCGGAAAAGACTCGTGGGAAAGGATGATGTAGGTCTTGATGGAATCTGCGGGTTGGGAGTGAGCGTCGGGATTTGTGCTTCTAGGTCTGGTGGATCCGCTGGCCGGGAGTTGAAGAATGAACGACGGTGAGGAGGGTAGTCTCCGTAGATCGATCCGGAGCTTGACATTGTTGATTCTGCTGTGTGGCCAAGTTTGGTGGTTGATTGCCTTTGCGTTCCACGTCGCACTATACCTGTCTCGGGAAAGCCGTGAGACAAGGTTTAGGCTCGAATTTGGGATTGAGATATCCGAGACAGCACTGTAAAATACGCTGAGCGGATTTTAGGCTCTGAGTTTAGTGTATCAGGATGTCTTAAGACTAGTATGGCGCACCAAGGTTGGTTGGAGCTAGAGGTGGTTGCTGTACGGGTTCTCAGGCGCGAGTGAAACGATTTATAGGATGTGGAAGCGATGAGGTAATGCGCGGCGGTAGAGGGTCTTGCCTCATCATTATTTCCTCGTGCGTGATTGCTGTATTGGCCCTTGCTTTTCTTTCTATCTGAGTACGTTTGTGACAGGCCTTTCACTCCCACAGACCCTACAGCCATTAAGCAGCTCACCCCTCAAGCCATCCCTCTATATACGTACTCCTCCTCACCACACATAATCGTGCACTCATCTTCTGCCAAAACTAAATCACTAACTTTAAGAACAAATGCATATGCAGACAATAACCCCGACCTTTCCCCCGCTGCATGCTTGCACCCCTGGGAGGGCAAATACGGGGTAGATTTGGGTAATTTTGCTGGTATTGTCTACCTGATGTATGGAACACATGAAATCGGGCAGCATCCTTCTGCAGCTGCTTCGTGTGATGTATAATCCTGGATGCACGTATACACTTCAAATCCGTAACGTGTACGTGCCCTTCGGAGTCATCCAATGATTCAGCCATCTTCCAATCCTAGCCGACCCCTCCCACGTAGCCATCTCAGATATCAATCAATATGCCAGTGCGAGCACCGCACGACTCCACCGACCCCTCTGGCTTCTTACTATCGGCATCTTTATTTTACATACCACCGTTGTATTCGCCAGGCTTCACCAATTTAGCTACTTCCAGGTCAATGTCGTGCATCTGGGGTGGCATCCTGCAGCGTCGAACCCGCCCATTCTTGCACGCAATATCACGGCATGTATGCCCCATAACGCAACCGCCGGTACGGCAGGTGCCGCCCTTCTGGCACGGCGCTTTCCTCATAGCATACCGATGACAATACTTCATGGTTGGGGTGATGGGCTTGTGGTCGTATGTGCAGGTCAACCTGTTTTCACATCTTGCCCCCAAATAGAAAGGCGTACATAGCTTGTCTTTGGAGATGCGTGCCTGGTATATGCTCCACTGGAAGTTAGTGGGCGGATCCATATAATGGTCAACTCTGTTGCCGTCGGTGTTGATTGGAATGCTGTTGGGCGGCCTCGGTATAGGAGATGTGGCCTTTAGGCCTGAGGTTACTTTCGACGGCTTCTTTTGTGTTTTCACAGCGTTGATCGCTACCTCCGTGTGAGTGCGGCTACTTCCATGTTGCTCGAATACGTCGGCGAAGGTTGCACACTCTTTGTCCGAGTATGTGTGACTCTGTTGGAGTCCTCCAGAGGTGATCATCGTAAATCGATGAGTAAACTGAGAGTGCTCATCGACTAGGCGGGCGTATTTTTCACTGCCGCTGGCAGCAAGAAAAACGTGCGCACACAGAGGGTCTCTGATGTAAGGGGAGAATAATGCTGGACTCCGATTAGCCGCGTATGTTAGATAAAGTTGATCGTCACATACCAGTGACTTTCATCACCACATCCTCGTGTTCTACCACATCCACATAATAAAAAAAGGCTTCCGTCCTGGAAAACCCCGCTGCAAATGCCCCAAGGGCACGAGGATACGGCGGCAGCTTGAGCTTCTTGTTACTATTGTTGCGCGCCTCGGCGACATTGTTCGAGAGCCCCTTAATGTTCGCGTATATACGGGCATGTACTTGCCTTGATTTGATGTGAGGATGGTGTTGTTCGAGGTACTTCACTGTAGCCTCTTTCAAAATCTTGGCGGCCTGGCTACCACCAGATTCCGCACCGTATAAATACTTGGGGTGAAACTAGCAAATTGTTCAGCAGCTGATCCCATCACAAAGCAATTTGACATACCTGGTGGCTGTGCCCATCCACAATGACGACGACGTATTGTCTCGTGTCCAAATCAGGTGACGTACTATCCTGCACGATTCCACCACCGATCTTGCTCTCGAGGTCCTTGTATCTGACCAGGATCTCTTCATATCTATGGTCATTGGATATAATGGTATCTCGTCACTTTTTAATGATGTTCTAGAGGGTTTATCAGCAGTGCAACCAACTAATGGCATGACAATGTAGCTACCTCCAGATCCAGCATCACGCTCGTATTTTGGGTTGCGTGTTGTTGCAGTCGCCTTCATCGAAACTCACAAGGTCTGTGATATCAGCCATCTCTGGAATAAATATCTTGGGGGGATAACAGGTGACTAGGTGGGCAGGGTGATGAGTGTACACTGGGTACGAATGTGTGAGCAAGTTGTTTAGCTGAGACGAGGGTTTGCACACAACAAAAGGGTTTTCAGGGCCTGACATTCGGAGCGCACTACACTAGTCCCGATTGTATATACACGAAACCGACAGAATGCGAAAGCAGAAACATTCGACGTCACATCAACGTGCAGCTGTGTTGTAGCCTAATCCTTAAGCACAACCTAGTGCTCAAGCATCTCCCATTCCTTCAGCTCACCCTCAACCTCCTCCCATCCCTCATCTATGTCTGACGCCAAACTCAAAGACTCGAAGTTTGGTGACAAGTCCTGGCCTTCAGTCCATTTCGGCCATTGTGCAGTAGATCGCTTTTTCTCGGAAGCCTTTGGTATATGCGATTGAGATACGGCCTTCATAGTCGTCACAGGTCCAGAAGGTATGATGACAGGGTTGATTACAGGCTTGGAAGCTTTGTGTGTGGACATGGGCTGTGCAGTCTTCCCGGCAGTCTTGTATCTGGTAGGTGGGGGAGGGAAGTCGCAGATGGCGTCAGCTTCAGCCTTGGTAGCCTCCTCGATAGTCTCAAGTCCACGAGATACAATACGCTCCGGGATTGCCTCGACTGTAGGTTTGGAAGCCTTGCACGTAGGAAGACACTCTGGGGTTCTCTCAGCTGTCTCGACTTTAGAACGTACGGTAAAGCCTGAGATGGCCTCTGGCTTAGACAAGAAAGCCTTGGGCATGGGACGGGAATCCGTAGGCCCCTCGGGTGGTGTCGCGCGGACGGGAATGCTTTCGACGACCCGGTCTGGCTTGGTGATCTTAGACCTCGCATGCGAGCTAGCCTCGAATAGTTGATTATATCTCTCTGAATACCAAAGCCTTTCCTGCTCGTTCAGGAAGCGTCCATGGGTGTACTCATCTTGCGGCTGTTGGCATTGAAGCTTATATAACTGCTCCTCCTTCCTCTTCTTTGCATGCTCCTGTAGCTGTGCCTGCAGCTGATTCACGTCTGTCTGTTGTTGTTGTTGTAGTATTGCCTGCGCTGCAGCCTCTTCTTGAGCCTTTTTCTGAGCCCTTTTTTCATAAATCTGACTCTGCGCCAGGGCCAACGCCTGTCCATGATGGTCCAAGACTTCAGCTGATTGGCCCCCGTATTTGAAGCCTTCGATTGTAGTATTTGGTACATTAGTGGCTAAAGTTGGTGTGCTTGGATGCTTGTGAACTGTAGGCGTAACACCTCTTGTGATACTGTTAGCATCAGTAAGAGAGCAATTGCCTTGTCTGTTGCTGGTGACATAGGCCTCATGGTTGTTCGGGGCCCTGAACGAGTCGTTCCATGTTGATGGCTCGGCCATTGCCGATTGAGGTAGAGAAACTAGGCCCGGGTGCATACGGTATGCTGTTGGTCCAACAGGCGTGCGTGCTATGAGAGGGTCGGTTCCGGGAGAGTAGTAGACTGAGGACTTGTTTCGATTAACAGCGTAGTCGGGTGTAAAGTATCCCTGCCATGAGTCGCGCCATGGTTCTCTGTCTCTATCCATGGTGTGAAGATGGTTTCCGTCGATGTTGAGTATTATGGAGGTGCTGACTGGGTTTTCTATGATATTGGCGATCACAGGAAGCAGACGGGCAGTAGAAATGTTGAGGGCTGTGACGAGACTGGAGAAGATGAGAGTAACGGGACATTTTATTTTAAACAGAGCAGCAGAAGAAAAAAGGCCGTTGCATCATCAAACGGCAGCAATCCAGGGTTTGAGGGTCTGCACCAAAATCAGTGGTATGAACACGGACATATGACTGGCCATGGAGTTTATGTTTGGTTCTGGGACTCAAGCGGCCTCCACATTACCTGGGCACGGGGCAATTAAAATGGTATGAGTGGTACAACTGACTTTCCAATCTTGGTACGGGTACGTTCTAACCAAAGAAGATATTCATGGTGAACGCGGTGCATACAATCATTTGCAGGCATACAAGATGGTAGAGAGCGAGAGTTGTGCCTAGCGTAAAATAGTATTACACTTCACAACATCAAATGCCCATGTCTAATCGATAGGTGAAGCGAGGGAAGCCGAGACAAAAATAGCCCAGCGGTCAGTGTTTCACGGCTACAGCGATCTCCTGGTGGGCCTGTCGTAGGCACGATTCCGAACCACCACGGTTGGGAACAAAAACAGTACTGTACATCGTGTATATGTGAGAGATGAGATGGAAGATAGCGGCAAGTGAAGATGGAAAGTACGGCATCTCCTGCAGATGGATTGTGTAGTACTCAACCCAAAATGGAGAGGCGGGTCTTGGCGGCGCTTGGGCCAGCGCGATTCACGGCCCACTTCCAAGGTTCATTGTTTGGATTCGTCCCGCGTCACAACATTGAAGGCTCAAGTCACCCACACCGACACCCCAACAACTAGTCGCCGGGATAGCTCTGCTTGCCTGTCAGCACAGATACACGACAATTGACTAGATTTTCTCCGTATCGACATGTCCGGCTAACCTTGACCGCCCCTTAGCCTGACCCGAAACGCGACTGCCCTCACTGCGACGCGCTTCAACACTACACTCAACTCCACACACTCTCGCCATGGCTACCCGCACAAAAGCGCCCACAGTTGGGTCCGCTGGATGGGTTCTAGAGGAGCGCCACCAGTCCAACACGCTTGTATCCCAGGAACTGGAGGATTTTGGCTTCTCTGTGCGCAATGAGCTGGAATGGCTAAACGAGCACATGTTTGATATTCTGGCCAGCGACAGGCAGTACGTCGCGTTATTGTCCCCTATACGCGCGTTATACTGATTTCGCGCAGACACAATCTCGATGTCTTCAAGACACCGGGCAAGTTACGCGGCAAGACGCCTCGCACCGCGCGCAAGAAGGCCGTGGATCGCCAGGTATGACTCTTGATCGCGAGCTTTCGTCTCATATACTGACACCAGACAGCCTCTCGCCAGTATCCAGTCTGCAAACGCGCAGCATCTCAGCCCCGCTGAACAGAGTCTCCGAAACGTAAAGGCTAGGTTCCAGATCGCCGAAGACACTCAGTCGGAGAACACGATGCGGCAATCGCCTAACAAGCGCACACCCATCGCGCGACAGCTCTTCTCCAAGACCGGAAGCGCCGGAAAGGAAAACGTAAACAACAACTTCCAGGCCAATCTGTACGACAAGCGCCCAGCACAGCCTCTCACAGCCCCATGGAGCCCTATCCAGTCCACACAAGACACTGTTCTGTCATCACAGGCTAGTGACGTCTTCTCGCCGCCGCAGACGCAACTAACCCAGCCCACCCAGCCCGCCGACTCTTTCAGGCACTCATTTGAGGACAAGGAAGAAAGCCGCGACAATGGCGATTCGTTCGTCTCAGCAAAGGACTCCTTCGCCAGCAAGGGTGTCTCCAAGGAGAGCCCTCGCAAGGATGTCTCTGTCATGGATGTGGACGACGAATACAAGGCAGACCAGTCGCAGTCGGATGTACAGGGTACTATGGTTCACCACGAGCTCTCTGATAGAGAGGACGAGGACATGCGAGACTTGTCCGAGTTTCCCGATCCGCCACCACGCGCCGTATCCGAACAGTACAGCATTTCCGCCGAAACTCACGACGCGCTCGACAAGGCCAACAGCCGCGCTCTTGCGCCAGAGCCCAAGAACCTCTATCTACCAGAGCAATCGACCACACCGGCTGGCCCTCCTCCCGCTTCTCCTGAAGCCGAAGTTGAACACGACGGCACCGTTCTTCACCACGAAATCGACGACCAAATGGATATGGAGGACGATGTGCGCTCGCCCTCGGACAACTCTAGCCCCGTAAAGCCACTTGTTAGGAAGAGCAGCCTTACGTTTGCGTCTCTCCCCGCGCGCGAACCATTGCTCGCCAAGAAGAGCATGGGCAACCGCGTATCGCGCACCAGCCACCTTGATGCAAACAAAGGTCGAAACAGCCACATGGGCAGGTTCACTGGGGGGAAGAGCTTGGGGGGCTCGCAGCTCGCGCACCCTGCCGAGCTACAGCATGCTGATGACACCGACACTGACATCGAACGCCCCGAACTTCAGAGGGAGGAGTCAGAGACAACAAAGGCCCACAACAAGACTTCAACCCAGCGCCTATTTGAGCGCATTAACATGCTCAAGCAACAGAATGAAGCGCCCAAGCGCATCAGTCAAAACATCACGTCACAGCAATCCCAGCCTCAGAGCTACCCTTCCACACAGACGAGAGAGGACGCTGAATCTGGACAAACATCACAACCAGCATACCCTAGTCTCCCACCGCCAGAGCCAGCTCAGGAAGAAGATGACGACGACGACTGGATATCGCCAGTTCGGACAGTAGCACCGGCTCCCAAGCCTGCTAGGCCGGTGCTTGGCAAATCACATACTACTGATGCTCGTCAATCTCCACATAAGGACTCGCCTGCAAAGCTTGTCTCAGTCTCAAACCCAGATCTTTCAGCAGATGCCGAATCAACGACACCAGTTGGCTCACCGACCACGAGGAAATACATGGATGCCCCCCTCAGTGCATCAAAGTCTAAGCTGTACTCGGCATTCCGCGCGGCAAAGGAGAAGCTCATCGGGTCCAGTGCTGCAAGCGCTCAGGTCAAGATGGACACCCTCAGGGAGAGGGAGAGCCCAGAGAGACCCAAGCTACCCTCTCAAGATTCATCCGACGACGCCTTCAGCAGCCCCAAGCGGTCAGAGAAGCCTGCTTCAATATTCAATCACATCCGCTCGCCCTCTAAGGACTCCGACAAGTCTAGTAATAAGAGCGCCACGCCCAGCAGTCCATTGAAGAGTGATGGCCGCCGCACTCGCAGCTCGACAGAGCGTGAGAAGCAAAAGGAACGCGAGACGCGAGAGAAAGAGGTTAGGGAGGCTAAGCAGGAACAGCGCGCAGATGATAGACTCAAGCAGATGCGCGAGAAGGAGCAGAAGAAGGCGGCCGCACAGGCTCAGAAGCTCCGAGCTATGGGCGCAAAGACACCGACAGCAATGTCGTCCCAGTCGAGTCTTAGGCAGCCTACTGCTGTGGGGACAAGCAAGACGTCAGCTCAGCCAGCGCCACAACAACAACAGCCTCTGTTCCGCCCTGGCATTCCCAGATCCAACACAGTATCTTCAAGAGAAGACGTCGACTCTGCCGAGGACATGCCGCCACCGCCTGCGCCCAAGAGTCTGCTACCTACTACCAAGACCACCAAGGCCCCTCTCCGAGAACCTAGAAAACTTGCTAAGCCATCAAGCAAGGACGGTATACACAAAACGAAGGCGCCGCAAAAGATCATGGTCAATCTCAAGAGCAGCCACTATGGTCAAGCACCCCCACCAGCTCCTCGTCCAGCTTCGCAAGCTGCAGGCAAGGTCGCTGCGGTGCCCAAGCCGGCTCCGTCTGGGTCGTCACGACCAGCTTCGGCGCTATCTGCCAAGTCAGGGCCTTCGTCCAAGACAGCTCAGCCCGTGGCTAAGCCTGCGGCTCCTCGAGTTGGCCGCCCCCCAACGCAGGCTGTGGAGAAGCCCAAGGCTCCCGCATCACAGCCGGCACGAGCTGACCTGGGTGCTGCACGACCTGTATCACGACTACAAACTGTCCAAGATGCCAATCGCATCAACATTCCCCCAATGAACCCCGCCAAGCCACCTAAGCGGCAATTTCCAGGTGAGGGCGATGAGACTCTTCACCGACCAGCCAAACGACCTTCGCAACAAGCGAAGAACTTGGTTCCGATGACACCAGCTCACGCCCAGTTTGCAAAGGGCAAGATACCTTTTGCCGAGTCTGCCCACGCGCCGCAGTCTCAAGCCCAACAAATCCAATACCCCAACGGAGACGACATCAAGCTTCCCGAGATCATGACCGACTCGGAAGACGAAGACTCTGAAAACGAGTTTGAGCAGCCCAGCTGGGTCAACACACCCAATCTTCGCGAGATGCTCAGCAATCAACAGCTCATGGACCCTGAGCACATTTTTGGCCCCATCGCCCCTCTTGAGATGGAGAAGGTCTTCCCCAACAAAGAGCGCCACAAGCGTTTCCGTGAGCGCACCAGCAGCGCTTACTGGGCCAACGACGAAGTCACCGCCGAGGAGAAGCGCAAGGAGCGCGAGGCGAGAGAGCGTCTGGTACGTGATGGCGGATGGACGTATAATCCTTCGCCTCTTCCTAAACAATCCGGTTCTTCGCGTTAAAAAGCGAACAACAATGACACCATTCCGTTGCATTCATTATGTGGTATATGACTGGCGTTGGACACAAGATGTGTGTCCGTCTGTGTGTTCCTGACGGTTCGGTGGCTCGTATGTATGTGTGTACATATTGTATAGGCGTTGTACTCACGAAAAGATGGTACGAGAAAGAGAGCATGGACGAGAGACTTGCTTTACACGATCATTGTTTTGTTCGTTTATCGGGCGTTTATTAGGGATATGCATCGACCTTAAGGGTCGCTTTTATGATGGCGGATTGGGCGTTTAGAGGAGAACATTGGGTCTTGGTCGGATTGATTCTTAATTTTTATGATAGTTTTGTGTAATGGAGGCTATCGTCATGTGCAATATTGTTGGTGTTATCCTGCCGCTGATGTTGTTGTGATATGATACGTGGTGGTTGTGGTTGTGATTGTAAATTTGGTGTCTTGTGTATGCAGTTGTAATGAGCACGCAGAGCATCCAGTGGTCACTGTATTGCATACGATGATTCGGATCGACCATGGTGTCTTCTTAACATCGTGTTGTTGCTGCTTTCATGCACGAATAGGCTGGGATACATGGAAGAGTGTGTTGGGGTGGATGAATAGTGGGATTTTACTGTATAGTGCTTGACTGCCATGTCCCGGAATCCTGTCGATTAATCGCACATATATTCTCTTTGTATTCTTCGTATGATTCCTCTATCATACTACATTCGAGTATGTGATCGTTCTACAAGGTTCAATGTTTGGTTATTCTATCTAGCACTTGTTTGACATGAATGCTTTTACCAATCAATCCCATAATCTCCTTTCTTATACAACTGCGTCTGATACTCCTGATACCTTCTTCCTTTATCCCACGTGTCTGTCAGTTTCCGTTTTTCAGATTCTACATACTGTATACTGCCATTGCTGCTGCTATTGCGGTCGTATATATGCCATCCCATCCACTACTACTTGCCAGTATAACACTGCCGCACGCACAGAGTTCTGATCTACCTCGCTCTCTGTTGCTCTCGCCCTCATAATCGTCTACCTCTTCCCCTGCCTGCTCATTATCAGCCTGTCCGCCGCGCGGGGTGCGGCGCTCGCGCAACGTGAGTGAAAGAACCCCATGGCCGCCCGTTGCGTCCCGCCGCCACCCGCAACCACGCACGCCTTTCCCTTTTCCCTTATTTTTCTCTGTCGTCACTGACGCTCAGACAGCCAGCCAGCTGACCCTCGCCTTTCCTCTTTTGCCAGAACCATTGGCCCCCCTCTCGCGGCCGCCCGCTGGTCATGAGCACAGACCCATTTGCTAGCGCGTGCCTGTAGAAACAAAAGGTCCCCCCACCCCCAGGCCTTTGCTACTCTCGACATCAACAGTTCAAGCGCCCACCATTGCCAGCAGTACCAGCAACTTTTGAACTTGACTTCGATATCGATACACGCGACCTACAACACGCGACCTACAACACGCGACCGACGACCATCACACTCACGAACCCACCATCCAATCCACGAACATCCGACACTACACCATCATGTTCGCCACCATCATGAACGCGACCTTCGAATTCGCTCACAAGGACGTCTTCCTCGCCACCGTCTTCACCAACTTCTGCATGTATCTCACGCTCATCCTCTTCTGGAGGGCCAAGGGTCTCTCCTCTGTGTCCCTGGCTATTCTCTTCCTCATCGGCGTTTCATACGTCTTCTACATGATCGGTTGCAATCTCCTCGTCTTGTCGGATGCGACTGAAGACGTCGAGGAGTCTCCTGCCCACCCACGTTCACCACAGTGGGTTGTCGACCGGATCCTTCGGGTCGGTCAGATACTGAGGGGTGAGTTGATGCATGTGCCAGAACTCGAAAAGGAGTCTGAGCCAGAGCCAGTGTCTGCAACCGAGTCGACAGTGCCTGGAATAGAAGCAGAGGTTGAGCCTGAGCTTGAGGCAGACCACGCATCCACAGTTACAGAGGTTGACGCCACCGCCATTACTACCACCCCTGAGGACATGATGTCCGGAGAGGCTCAGGCAGAGCTTGAGACGCTGACGAACGATGTCGGCAACAAGATCTTGGCCATTGCTGATCTCATCCGGGGATATGACGACTTGGTTGATGCAATCCTCAAGGCCAACGAACTGAGCAAGCTTGATGAGCCTTCCGATAAGGAAGAATCTCCCGAGGAGAACCTCAACGTCGCCCTGGTCTTGTACCAGCCACCTAGGGACATCGTGGACATCATCAGAATCATCCCTTCGAAGGATACAACTGTTGAGGTATGTCCACTTTTGATCTAATTCACCAGTTCTTTCTTTTTCTAACATTGCTTGCCAGGGTGTTGCCACCGCGACTCCTCTTGAAGAGGAGGTTGCTGCAATCACCGAAACTACCACCATCACCGACAATACCGCCATCACCAACAACACCGCCACAGAGACTCCTGCCCTTGAGGAGGAGATCATCGAGGTCGAGATGCCGGATGCGCCAAAGGAGCGCGAAGTCCTAACTCCTAGCGCTCCTGCCAAGAAGCGGAAGGGCTCCATCGAAAAGTTGAACGAGTCGGACCGCAGCTACAGCTGCAAGCGGAAGATGAGGATTGTTAAATCAGGCTTTTACCAGATCCCTGTTTCAGTCATTCCCGTCGTCGTCGTCGTCCCCGTCCCTAGCCAGGATGAAATGTTCATTGACGACAATGACACCAAGGATGGTGTCACTGTCCTGGCCACTGGCATCGAAGGACTCTTGCTCAAGGGTGAAGATGTCAGTGACAACAAGGACCCTGAGGGAGATATCGAGGTGTCCGAGATCGCTGACGAAGGGTACGTCAGCGATGAAAAGGACCATCAGGAAGACACCGAGATGTCGGACAGCGACACCTCCGATTACGCCAGCAACAGCTCCAGCCCAGACACCAGCACCTTTGACGTTGACGTTGACGACGAGGAGGAGTACGACGTCGGCTTCGATGTCTACATCTGCTCCCGCATGGGCAAGATGTAGGTTCTCCCTTGTCCCTGGGGCGTCAATATAGACGTCTGTCTACTACCGTAACTCTGAGACGGCAACCATACCTCACTATACCCAACCACACAAATATCCTCCTCATTCCTATTCTCATCCTCATACTCATCCTAACCAAACCATCCAACCGACCATCCGACCATTGAACCAACCATCCAATCATCCAAACAGCAAGTCAACCCGCGAGACCCTCACCCAAACATCAAACACCCGAACTCTCCAACCCTAGTCCATCGCTCAGCACCAAAGAGTGCTAAGAAGAGGAGATGAGAACATACCTCTAAACTCTCCCCACACATTTCCCTATAGGCAGACCCAACCTTACGGACATAGTGCGATGGGTAGCAGAGAATCCATCGAAAAAGACGAGACAAATCGTGGCATCGCAAGCGCGAATAGGTCTCTCTTTCCACTCACACCTTCGACCTCATCATCATCATCTTTTCCTCCTCTCTTCTTCTTCTCTCTTCTCCTCCTCATCCTCATCCTTATCCTCATCCTCCTCTCCTCCGCGACCGAGGGACACCTCAAAGTCGCGGAGTTCAGGATGGCGGATACATCAAGTACAAATGATCTTTCGGGCATCTACCTTTGGGTGGATGTAGATGTCGGGATCAATGTACATCTGTGGTGGTAGAGTACAAGAGATCTTGCGGGCACCTATCTCCATGTGGACGTAGGTGTCGGGATCTTTGTACATCTCTAGTGGGAGACTTTCAGTCGGCGAGCTGAGCTGAGTAATTCGGGATTGATATCAGGCATGGCATGGCATGGCAAAGGTGGAAGATTGTTTCTTGGGCTGCACGTTGAAGTGCCAGATCACCCGATTTTGTTTCCATTACGGAGTATGGGACGTACTTGAAGTGCTCAGTACGATGTTTCTTATTGTTTTCTTTGCGAGGAGTCTCTTGGGCTGCACGTTGAAGTGTCGTAACACCCAATTTGTTTTTTGGGATTCTTAGAATATGAATCTGATTTCTTCTCTTTTATTTTCTCTTTTCCTTGCATAGTGAATAGTCTCTCAGGAGAGTTTCAGCTAGGGCGCCAATGGCGACGCTGTGGACCGTGGGGAGTTGACATGTGGATAGACGTCGGACGTACAAACCCACTTACAACGATGACGTCATTACGAGAAAGCCTCTGTCGCGAATGAAAAGGAGCAACTTGCGAAATTTGGAAAATGTAAATTGTAATGTGATGTAGTGTCGTATTAAGTCTTATTACATTCGTTGAAAATAAGTATAAACGCTGCATGCCATCGTAGACGTGTACTGTTGGTATCAAGATCCTGCCTGCTCATCCTGACATCGGCATCAAGCCACAATGTCTTCACCATCAACATAGTATACATGATCCAAAACTAGAATTCATCTCAGCAAATCAGTCCTAGTCTTTCAGACAACGCTGGCGTCTGATCGTGTGTTCCAAGACCTGTCCGAGTTCCAAGATTTGTCGGAGTACTCCTTGTAGGCCTCCTAAACCTGGCTCATGGAGGGAGCGCCACGACGGACACCACCACGGAGGTTGGCGCCGCTACCGCGTCCGTTCATGATGTTGACAAGGAGGGTGGCGACGAATGCAGCCCATCCAAACCACAGGAAGGCAGTGGTAGCCTGGGCTTGGCGGCAGTTCTGCTCCGTGTCACGTGAGCTGTTGAGAACGCTGTTGGAGTGTGTGTACGCCTGTGGTATGTTAGATGATGTATTCAGGACGTAGCTTGTGATCAATGACTTACCGAGTTGGAGCAGCTGTGCGCACCAATGTATGAGGGTAGCGCAACGGCGGCGCAGAAACCGAAGATGACGCTCAACGCATCCAGGGTGATGTCAACAATGGCGATGCTGAACTTGTCGATGAATGAGGTAGGTAGGAAGTACAGTAGCGTAAGGAGCCACCATACACCGACGAATAGGGAGTAGTTGATGATTGAGTGCACTCCCGCGTTGGCGCGAGCAATATTGCTACCCATCAACGCAGTGACGATAACAGCACAGAACAGCTAATTCTGTCAATGCATGTCCATATCCGATCATCGATTGTAACATACCTGCCAGGCGCGCAGGCCCATTGACAGTCCTCGTGATACCATTTTGATGTTGAGTGTGGGGAAGGATGTGGTGTGAGGTGATGGTCTGATCGTATGAACAAAGACTTGCAGCTAACCAAGCGTCAGGGCTTTCTGTGCTATGGAGAAGGATGTGGAGAGTGGCTGAAGATTGATGATCTGCTGAAGAGATGCGTCGGTGCTGCAGAAATTATAGGCAGTCAGCAAAGGGCCAGCAGCGTCATACATGCCCATACGTCACCAGGGTCCAATCGTCCCACCCTTTCCGGAACCATCGGTACATACCTCACTATTGGCGCCGATCAGGGAAAATTCGGTGTTTTGGAGGTGCGATGGATTGCTGGTCAAGTTTGCATGAATTTGTGAAGCAATCTTCGCCCCCGAGACTTATGGCAGAGGATATATAGTATTTCTTTATCAGTTGTTACGCGGCTGTGTGCTTCGTTGCTGCGCAACAACAATGATGATGCAAGTCGGCGCAGGCATCTTTCCGGCAACGCCGCTTAGGCCCCAAAGACGCCTCTCGCATGCGCGTGAATGCGCCGACCTAAGCATTTCTCCGAGGGAGCTACAGCGTTTTTTCTACGTAACCGTTTATGCTATGACATCTGCTGTGCTTCCAGACCACAATCATGGCGCAAAAACGCTGTCTTGACGACATGCTCGAATTTGCCCCTCCCATGGTTCAAAGTGCGACCCTCCCCCAGATCGACAGGATCGTCATCGTTGCCGACCTAGGGCGCGTGCGCGCACGGAATCACATCACCCCATCAGCCATGGCCGGCATCCGTCTGGTGATGCGAACTGCGAACTGACCCTGTTTGCAAATCACGAGCTGTGGTCGAGCCATTCACAATTGCACGTATCGCGCGCGTATCCGACACTGTCGGCACGGCAATGCCCCGTGCAGACGGACGCATGTAAACAAAAACCGGGCGGACAAACAACCCCAAAAACAATTATCCCCAAACAGCAGGCTGGAACCAAAGGCACCGAAAACTTTGTTTGGAGACTTTTGAATAGCTTGGATTTTGTTTCATCCACCGTCGTGAAACGGAGCGCATCTGTCTCCCCATGTGGCCGCCGTTGCGTTTCCATGTTCGCGTCTTCTCGCACATGCAAACAGACATGTGACATGTTGCAAACTTAACCTCAAGCGAACCATCTAGCTGAATCCTGAGGTACCAATGTTCGTTTAGCAAATCATCCCGAGTCCCGACCGTATTTTGTTGTCGACCCTGCCGGACGCACCAGGATTATTGAGGCAATTAATCTGAATGCATTATATTTCTCAGTCTACATATGAATGTCCAGCCCGTATCTGTATTGCAAAGACAAGAGTCTCAGTCTAGGCGACTTTTAAAGGCGGGTCGTCCAGATACCCATCGCTGCTGATGGCAGGAGGGTATCAAGGACTGAATTAATCTTCGACAATCTCCATACAGCTCTGACAAGCAGTGCTGCTAACATCTCCTCATACCATTGAATAGGCTTTGAGAAGGTGGTCTGATGTCGGCTCAACCTCCTTGGGCAAGGATTGAGTATGCAATGCGGGTTGATACCACAAGTAGGCAGACTCGAGCCCGTGCACAGATGGCGGTTTGGGTTTCCTCTAGCTATGACCATTGAGCGTATAAGCACGCTCGAGTGTGTACTGTCATGTCTAGGGCGTAAGCGCTGTTAATCGAGTCACATAGAGCCAGAACAGGTGCTGTTGGCTGCCGGATGAGTTCTTAGTAAAAAAAGAAGACACGGGAGACACTGCGGAAGTGTTGATGTGGGCCTTCGGTTACTAGAAGAGACAAGGTTAATAATACGGAGGTAGTAAAATGAGTTAAACTATGAGAGAAGAGCGAGATGATGAAGACACAGGAGGCACCATAGTAGGATTGGCGGTCATCAGGCACCTGTATAAAGCACGGCCATGGCATCGAAGGAGTGGGTCGGTAAAAGTCTTCGAGGACAGGATTGAGGAGGTGCTACAGTCAAAGTGTTTGTGGTGGCGAATCACAAGCTGGTTTGCGCAAGCATTTGAAGACGTAGCGCCCGGGCTTGGTAGCGTTATTGCTGAGTGCAGTGGATGTGTTCCTAAAGTTCTCCTGTTGACCGTAGAGGATGCCAGAGGAAAAGGAAGACGCTGAAGGCAAAGGGGATGGTTCAGAAGCTTCTGTTGCCCAATGTCGTGGTGGTATTGAGAAGCTACAGAGGAAGCTGGAGATGTTTTGAGCTGGATTTGGTGTGCGGACTTCCGTGGGTGGTCGAGGTGCTAGAAGCAACTGTTGGCAGAATGCAGCAAAAGTCCAGTAGCTCAGGGCAGGCTTAGGGAGAATGCAAACGCCCCAGAGTGCATTCACGAGGCACAGGCCTTGCTACTTGCATTCATGGCAACCCGTGTGCTTAGGTGAATGCTAATGACAACGGACGTACTCCCTGCGTGGCTTCAATGTTTTCCTACTTTACCTGCCTCGTTTTCCACGGGTTCGTCCTCCTTGATTAGACAACGGTCTAGTCTCCCTTTATTGTCTCTACATTAAGGGTAAAGGCAGGGTAATGTATATGCCCCTGGAAGCGCATGACCTGTAATGTTGGGCCAGATCCTTGAGCGCTGGGTACGTCGTTTGCTAATTGCGCTCGAGTGGCGAAGAAGATCACTCCACACACGAGCCTCGACATCGCGACTACAGCCAATACAGGCCTTGCCTTCTTCTCTAGGAGGGCGCAACTTGTACTCTTTTACTCTTGTTCTGCCTCGTTCGGGCAGGCTGTTCCGATGTTTGGCAACTCGCACCCTGGACGTCCACGGCACCAACCCCGCCAATGACTATCCAATATCTCGATCAACTGTTGAACATAACACTCCTGCGATGACGCTGACGACGCCGACGCCGATAACTCCGACCGCACGATGCTTTACACATGCCCCTTCCTGCTCTATGCCAGACTGGTAGGACACCAAGACTGCGGAGACTCTCCGGAAGATCTCAACATACCCCGCGACGACTATGCATCCTCTTCCTCATACTAGGGCCAAGCGCTGTGACAGTGTGGAGTACAATCCCACAACAAATCCTACCGACAACCTTGATAGCTGACCGAGCGACACAGAGGCACTAGAAATCTTCTTGGCAATCATCCGAGTGACATTGCACATGCGGAAGGTCCGCGGAAGAGAGCGGCAATAAACTGGAGGAGACCTGACCTGTTCGACAGCGGGCTACTAGACCAAGACACCGACACATCCATGTCCTGGGTACTGGGTGTAGTCGCGAAAACGCCGCAAACCTCAAGTTGTGGCTACGAATGAAAATCTGGCAGCCACAGGATAATAAGGGTCGTCTCAATCGCACGGTCCTAGCGTACGGCGTCGTACGGGAACGTGTCGCAAACACCTATCAGGTAGATCCGTACAAGCATACGAGGCTCCAGAAGCCGAGGGATGTTGTCTTGGTCGGCATCCGGGCCAGACCATCGGTAGTATGCTTGGTCTTGCCGTCGGGCAGCCACGAATCGGACCGGGGCCTGTAAGCTGCGTCCAAACGGAAATGTCCATCGTCGACTGCGATCACTCACAGTTGATTCATCTGCCGGTTCTGCCTAGAAGGATGGTATTCCTCAACACGTTCCAGGGTCCCCTGGAATCATGATGGAAATGCTGTTCTGTCAGAAATAACAGGGGTTAGGCCATGTTGATTGATAGGACGAATCGCGGAAGTCCCCGGCCATCTGAAAATGATCACCGGGCAAGACCTTCCAAGCCGTCGGCATCGTTGACGGGAACTACTCTCGGACTCCTCGGAGCTTGGCTGGCTTAATCGACAATGCTATGCAGGGAAATGCGGGGTTGGAGCGTTGCTCGCAGCTAATATGCAGAGCCGTAAAAGAGGAGGATACTGTTCAACAACATGCTGTGCTTGGTGTGCCGAGCACCAGCGCGAAACACATCGTACCACCCTGTCATCTGCAGGAAATAAACAGTTCACGGCCTCTTCAGGACGTCTCCGCGGCATGGTACGCGGCTAGCTCCAGGAACGCTTGCTGTGCAGCCATGAATTGATGAGTATATCAAGTCGAGGGCGAATAGGCTTGTCCAGAAGCTGTCCAGAGATGCCCATACGATCACCGGTGTGAGCGGGGTATGCCGCAAGCACGTCAAGTGGCTAAGAGCTTGGTATCCGGGTCTAGGATGTCGTCTCGAGAGCGCGTGACATGGTTGCACTCTAGGGCTGAAGCTGTCTGTGGCTCTGCCGGTTCAAGACGCAACGACCTGGCAAAGATGCAGTGTGACGAATGGCGCTTGGAGCGAAGTAGAGTGGTGTGCAGCAAGCTTAGAGGGTTGAAAGAGATGGAATGGATGTCTTCCGAAGGGCCCAAGCGAGTCCAGACGAAAGAAATGAGGGGTTCTTTGACAGGCCCCTGAACATGCAGCCCAGTGCATCGTCGATCAGCAGCCGAGGGATAGAGGATAGACTTTGTCGAGAGCTGGTGAGAAGCGGGTGTCGTCGAAGAGTAGTTACAAGATGACAGGGGAAATGATTCGAGGAGCCGGGCCTGTCCGGCGAGCTTCGCTACCCCCCAACAGCCCAGCAATTTGCAAGGTGTTCGCCTGAAGCATGCACGACTAGCCACAGTCGGCCTGGACGTCTCCGCATTTCCTGCGCAACGACCCTTCAGAAGCCCCTGATCCTTGGCCAGCCGTGTGAGGTGCAGAAGCCTCAAAGGCATTGGATGTCTGCCTGTCTCTCTACTGGAAGGCCTCCATCTGTTCGTCCTCGTGGAATGACTGACTTGACACGACGTCTTTGATCCTGCCCTGCTGGCTTCCGCCCTTTTGAACGCCTCTTGATTGTCGCGCTTGTGCTGACCGTGTCTCCTGATCTGACAAGGCGCGCGGAACCCTGGCTGTCCTTTTGCCGCGTCTCGCTCCCAGCGTTTCGAACGCGATCGCCAAGGCGAAACTCCGCTGCTGTCGGTCTGGCCACTGTGGACGCCGTCCTCCTTGTCCATATCTTTCATCCTCTGTCGTCTGGGGCATTGGACGACATGTACTTGCTCTAGCATAACTCGTCCATCCTCCAAATACTTGTCCTTGATCTGCGGGCAGCCCTGGGTTTAGCAGCGTGGCGCTTCCCCACTCTCTTAGGACGCGGAGCCCTCTCGCCGATCCTAGGCTTGTGTAAGCTCATGCGACGACTGATGCCATAGCGTATCTGTCCGTGTTCGATATATTCGAGGAGAAAGACTAGGGATAGACTGGTTCAAGAGTTTGGCGCTTGGTTTGCGTACGTTTTGAGGTATGTGTCCGCTGAAACGCCATCAACGTATCCGCACACCTGGCATCCCATCACAGCGCCTTATAGCTTACATCTGCTGCTAGTTATCTTCCGATTCGGTTTATTATAGAGTCATTGTGGGATAGAGCTTGCCCGGTAGGTGTGTCCCTTTGCCCCAGCATGTCCGGCCTCATGGAGCTCGTCACTGTCACCGTCATCGTCCTGTGGGCGTTGGGCTTCGGGCTTCCTTTTCCTGCGTCGCAGCATGGCGCATGTCTGCAGAAAGACACACGACTGACACTGTCCAACAGGATATACTGCCCGTTCTTCTGATAGATCTGCTTTGGGCATCGAGCTCCACGTCGCGTAATTTTCTAGACAAAATCCAGTTATTTTAGGTAAGCAAGCTCATTCTTTTCTTCTTGTTGCTCTTGTAGCCTCCCTCTCAGTCGCTCTTTCCTCTGCGGCTTGAACATGTGCTATCCCTTGGCGTGGAAACTTCAGCCGAAAATGCCTTGGCGTGCTGGTGTGGAGAGTGCCAGAGCATGTTGAAGCGGCGCTGGTGGGGGTGAGGCTGCAGCGAAGCAGGTCAACACCAGAGACATCAAGGTCCGCATACCTTAGTAGACGTATCAGAGCATCCTGCTACTCAAGCGAGCATTTGCATCATGCTCTAATCATAGCATCTCTTGCATCGAGGTTGGGGCGTGCTCGGATTCGTGTGTGCATCGTCGGCAGGCAGCTATCCTCTGGGAGAAGAGACAGAACAACGCAGGTTTTCTTACTTGTTGCTTCTTTCTGCAGAACTCGCAGCCATCTCTGGTGCCCTATATTCATTGCTAAGACCCTGTTTAACAGTAATCTCTAAAGCCGCCATCCGTGCTGAGTGCTCCTGCCCCAGTATCGACGGTCTTTCCTCCAGCGCTTCAAGCCGGCTACCGAATCGAGCCACTTGATTGTGACAGCTCAGCGTGGACCTTGAACCCCCGCTTTTGGCATAGTCCCCTCCCTCTTCCTTCTATACCATTTACCACTACTTTCTCAATCATCCTCACTCTTACGCTCTTCAAGACCCCCATCATCCGCTTCTGCTTCTTCAGATCCTCTTAAACCTCCTAGGCGTCCTGTCGTCAAGAGGTGGTCCTGAAACCAGCAACCAGGAAGCACCTGCCTTCGCAACAACCTACTATCTTTTTCCCCATCCAGCTAGTACTACACATATACCAGCAAGGAACCCATACCGATACTGTGTCATATCTCTTTCGTCCATCTGCTTTGGGAAGACAGCATCCACTGTTGTCATCGACTTGCATTGTTGCAGGCATACATCTCCTCAAAAGGGGTAGGTACGTCTTCTCACCAGCTCACCTTTGAATGAGCCAACACCCCCTATTCTTTCCCAAAACCACGCATCTCTTTCGATGCAAAACATCACGAATGTTTCCTTTCATGCATGTTATCGAACTAACATAAACTCCCAGAACAACAAATTTTACTTTAGAAGCTTGTGCCGAGCTGCTATTGACATAATCACACCAGCTACTCCACCCTAGCCCGCCGAATACACATCTCGCAAGCAAACGAGCCTACGCTCTGGCCTAATCCATATCTCTGAGATCTACGCTTCAGGTATGTAGCAAACACGCGGCATGAATCTTCACGCCCAATTATGCCACGATCCTCAACACCCAACACATGGCATGACTCCCATCATCACGTAAATGCCTGGCAAACGTCAAGGCACCCACTTGTTGCACGCTATTCGGGCACGCCGACCCCGCACATGCCTTTACCATTGATGTTTGCCCGTCTCTTTACCGCTCTCACCTTCCATGCCCCACTCTTTACCGCCACTTTCTTAGAATGTCTGTGCCAAAAGCTAATGCGTTTACCTCAACAGGTGAAGGCGACTTCTAGACACACCGTCCACCTAGACATTACATCATTCTACATACCCTGGTACAGGGTCCAACTGTACACCGTGAACCAGAGACATTTTCCCTGTGAAGACGGCGTGCAGGTAGACGTGCACTCATTCTTTACCAATTCATAGACTAGAGGTACGTTGCACCTGCTTCGTGCCTATGCAAGTGATGGCTGACGTCTGCAAGACAGCACAAAGCAAGATGAGTTCCAGCTACAAAGGAGGTCTCGCTGTAGGCGGCTCGGCGCTCGACAAATCGAAGCTCCAGCTGCGACGTCCCACCCCTGATAGTGATGTCTTGGCATCCAGCGACGATGACCGCGAGCACGTGGCACCGGTCGTTCGCCCAGCCCCTGGTATGTATCCTGCTGCCCGTCGCCCCTCTTCAGGCTGGCTCCAGGATATCCAACCCAATCGGAAATTCTCTTTGCCATCAGTGTCGTTTGCTGGATCACAGCCGACCACGCCATCACTCGAGCTGCCCCAACAGTCTAGGCCTAGCACTTCCGCATTTCCGTGGAACACTCCGTCGTTCACCACGAGTACAAATAGCCGCCTAAAAGAGGTCGCTCCCTCTCCCACTTCTGCATACGCTCCCGCAGACAAGTCTCTTCCATCCCCAACCACTCTTGAAGCAGACGACGGTATCGGTTTCTTGCTCAATCAACAAGCCCCAAATCCTTTCAGGAAAGCTGTTCGATCCCAGTCTTATAGCATAGGACAAGGCGACATTGAGCATAGCCCAGTGAGTCGCTTCTCCCGCCAAACACCCAGTTCCAATCTTCGACACCGTCCTTCCAAACCAAGCCTTCTTGGTGAGCCTGCAGTCGGCCTCTCTCAATTGCGCGAAGACGAAGCAGACGAGATCGAGTCGTCCAACGGTTCGGAACACGGAGTACGTCTGCCTGCCGGGTACTGGGAGCGCGAGCAAAAACAAGCTCTACTCAAGCAAGCCGCCATGGAGAACGCGCGTGCTCGCAACCGTGCGACATCGACCGGCTCTCCCGTGTCGCAGTTGCAGCAGCAGCAGCAGCGTCGCAAGACTACTGCCGGCCTGCGAGGCACTTCGTACAACAACACCCCAGAGTACGCTATCGAGGAGCTCGATGATAGTGAGTCATCCTTGACCCGCCACGCCCCCGGCCTCACTCGTCGCTTCAGTGAGCACGTCTCTATCCTCAACCGCGACCACGAGGTTGAGATCATCGACAGCCCCCAGAAGCCTCAGTGGACCACTGGTAATATCTCTCCAGCTGAGGTGGACCTCAGCCGTCGCCATTCAGTTGCCCATTACCCTAGCTATAACCTCCCGATGCAGCAATCCACCCTGAGCAACACTCAAGAGGAGGATGAGGAGTACATGTCTCCTCGTCAAACCACTCCTGCGGTCGACGACCCAGAGGATTTCGATCCCGCCGCCTACTTCACTGGCTACGGTCCTGCATCTCGAGCAATCAACTCATCAGCCATCTCCGCAGCCCACCCTGACCCCGTCGTGCCCAACACTGCAATGTCGGCGGCCAACCCTTACGCTGTGCCCCACCTCATCAACCGTCAAAATCGACGCCTCTTCATCGTCACCTTCAAGTGCTCTCGCGCAGACATCTATTACATCTACGAGGGTACTGGTCTGGAAGTGCGCCGTGGTGATCTTGTCATCGTCGAAGGTGACCGTGGGGTTGATCTCGGTCAAGTCACACACTCTGATCTTACCATGGAGGATGCCAAGCGTTTTAAGAACGAGGCCAACGACGAGCACTTCCGATGGCTTGTCATGTTCTCGCAGTACTCCCTGGCCGGCACCCAGAACGACTCGGGTATGCTTGGTGCCCTTGCGCGTGCCAACGGCTTCCCCAACCCCATGAGCCGGACCGTCTCTGGCCAACAGGATACGGAAGTCTTCAAGCCCAAGATGATCAAGCGTCTTGCCCAGGCACATGAGATCTCCGGTTTGCGCGAGAAGGAAGGTGGCGAGGCCAAAGCAAAGCGTCTCGGTGCTCAGAAGGCGGCTGATCACAAGCTACCCATGGAGATCTTGGATGCCGAGTATCAGGCGTAAGTTCAATCGTGTCCACTGTCTAGGACTCTGCTAACGCACTTCAGTGATTACCATAAGCTCACCTACTTCTACTACGCCGAGTCCTATGTCAACTTCAACGAGCTCGTCACCGACCTCTTCAAACAGTACAAGGTCCGCATTTGGATGTCAGCCGTCAACCCCGCGTCAGTTGTTAACCCAGCCGGCATGTCGCAAATTCCGCCACCTTCTGCCATCGGGCCCTGGCGCGATCCTGACTTCCAACACCAACGGCCCTCTAGCTGTCGGACCTGGCTTCGGCTCTAGCAACACTCGCGGCAACCAGCAGTATCGTAAGTTTCCAGTTCTCTTCATACACGTCCCTATACTAACCATCAAGCAGCTCAAGGACGCAACCACGGTGCTTATGGAAACTATGACGACGCATTCCATGCCTTCTCCCACCAGATCCCAGCATATCCGAGCCAGCCTTCGTACGGTATGCAACCCTGGGCCCACAGTCAGCAGATGTCGCCCCATGTTTACCGTGGCTACTACCCGAACGTTACCGCGAGCGGTAGTCCCATGAACTATGGCGGCGCCGCCTATTACCCATCGTCGACCTACTCTTCGTCCTATGGTGGAGGATATGGTCCTACTACCTCTACGGCTAGTTATGCTGCCCCGCGCAACTATACTTCTGGTGCTGGCTCGTCCTTCTCTCCTTACACTACGGCTGCACAGTCAAGTTACACTCCTGGTGGTTATCAAGGTGCGACCGGCTCCGGTGCCTATGCTGGTGGCCAAACCGCTACCGCTCCTCAGCACCAGTCTGGCTTGGACCCGGCCTTAGTCAACGCTATGCAGAACATGTCATTCAACCACTAGTAGGGGTTGATAGACCTACTGCATGCTGAGTTCTCTTTGAGGTTGGGGTTTATCACTTACTGGTTAGCATTCTACGGCCTTTGATAGTATGCGGCTTTTCTTTTTCATGGAAGGCATTATGGTCTAACGGTCTCTCTTCATTCTGCTTCATTATTTCGGTTTGGTGATTTAGGGTATCTTTCGGTGACAACGGCGGCCTTGCGAGGCAAGCTGTTTTCTTTTCCTTTGGCGTTGTGCTTCACTTTCTTTTACAAAATTTCCTAATCATGAGTATATTCATCATTCCATAGTAGGTGTTCTGCGATATGGGCCCTTCTGGCAGAAATAAGAAAGCTTCGGCACCAATTTACTGTCTTTATGCTATCTTGTGATGCGAATGTATATGCCATGAGGGTGTATAACCACCCTACAATGTAAGGTAGATAGACGTCGGAAGCCTCCTGGCTCTAGCTTTCACCCCTTTGGTATAAGGGTATCAGTAGCGTGAAGACCTTCTCGGTCTACTTTGATGTGTGTAGATGAAAGAGTCAAAGTAACACGTAGGTCCTCAGGCTTAGGTCGCACCTTCCTCATCCGGGACATATCTTCTCACTTCACCCACTCAACCTCAGCAAACAAACTATCTCAAGCATGGCGCAACGCCGTGATCAAATCAAGGACGATGACCATGAGATACAGCTGTTCCACGCGACGATATGGGGCGACCAGAAAAGGCTCAAAGGGCTACTTGCTCAGCGGATGCTTGAAGCGTAGGTTTTACACTAGCAAAATGGATTCATCTTGAAACTCGCTTATAGTAACGATAGTAGGAATGTAGAAGACCAGCATCGCGAGACGCTTGCATCCACGATCGTCGAAGCCCTCCAAACATCGAACCGGCTCGTTCAAGGCGAGGCACCAACTTTCAGGGGCACACACATTGCAGGCAACGCAGTCTACACTGCCACCGCGAACATGCTAGCAGCATCAGAAGACCTGATTGGCGAATACGAAAGGCTAGATGGCATAATGAGAGAGTTGCGGGATGAGCACGCAGATGCACACACGAGCACTTGGAAGAGGGACGTCGAAGTCACTGACAAGCAGCCGAGGATACATGCGAGGGCTGCATTGAGAAGTGTCAGGAATTTTCTTGCAGCAGCAGATGAAGATGGTAAACACGAAGTGGGGGACAAAGACGAAGATGTGGCGATGGAAGGACTGAAGCCGATCAAGCGGAGTTATGAGCTGTTGAAGAGTCGAGAGTATGCGGATGGTCAAGGGGATACCGATGGATAAGGGCATATATAATCGTTGAAAAGTACACAGCTGTTATGCGAGATCCTCATTAGCATGTTTGACATGTCTACATCTCTCCAGATGAGCTGTGTGACCTGTAGCGAAGAAGGACTGAGATGCATTGCAGGCCTGGGTCATAGGCGTGACACCAGTTCTAAATAAATGTCTCACGACTGAGTCTTCTTCTCAAATTTCCCTCGATCAACGTTTAAGAGTTTTCACGCACGAATAGTGTTGTTGCCGTTCCAAGCTCCTCAAGCTCAGTTTGCGCGAAGCCAGGTCGGGCTAGCGCTAGCGCATGGCACAGACCCGCCCACACAGCATGCGAAATATCGGCATTGTCTTTTCGCACTCCCTTCCGACACGACAGCGTCAACAACTACTAACCAACAGTCAAGGTACGTCTCCAAGATAGCATTCAATCCCGAAGGATCAGCTACTGACACTCAGCCAGATGGGTGCCCTCAAGTGTAAGCGCACATGGAATACCGGAAATCCACGCTCGCAGCTAATCCGCCGCAGACGTCGAGGAACTTCAGAAGAAGAAGCAGTCGGACATGATGCGCTTTCTGATGCGCGTTCGCGTATGTATAGACAATCGAGCTGAACAATGAACTCCGCTAACAGACAACAGTGCTGGGAGGTATGATCTACAATTCCTGAGACTCACGTCTCAATTGGTGTACTCGTTGAACTTTGCTGAGAGTGCATCGATAGCTTCGCCAACTTAAGGTCATCCACCGCGCCAGCCGCCCCTCGCGCCCCGACAAGGCCCGCCGTCTTGGATACAAGGCCAAGCAGGGTTACGTTATCTACCGCATTCGCGTCCGCCGTGGAGGTCGCAAGAGGCAGGCTCCCAAGTAAGTACAAGCACTATCTTCAAGTTGAGACACGGCTAACATTACGTCCAGGGGCGCCACCTACGGTACGCTTGACGCAGCAGTATTGCTTTCTACAGAGACTGATAGACAATAGGCAAGCCCACCAACCAGGGTATCAACCAGCTCAAGTACCAGCGCTCGCTCAAGTCGACCGCTGAGGAGCGTATCGGCCGCCGCTGCGCCAACCTCCGCGTCCTCAACTCCTACTGGATCAACCAGGACTCGACTTACAAGTACTACGAGGTCATCTGCGTCGACCCCCAGCACAAGGCCATCCGCCGCGATCCTCGCATCAACTGGATCGTCAAGCCCGTCCACAAGCACCGCGAGAGCCGTGGTCTCACCGCCACCGGCAAGAAGAGCCGTGGTCTTGGTCGTGGACACAAGTTCAACAACACCACCGCCGGCAGGAGGAAGACCTGGAAGAGGCACAACACCCTCTCTCTCTGGCGTTACCGTTAAACCTTCTCAGCATCTCGCTTGCTTGGTGGGACGTCTGGTCGATTGTTTCAAGCGTATGGGCTGGCGTGAATGGAAACGGGTGTCCTGGGCTATGTAGCTTCCGAACAGCTTGAAGGCTGCCAGGACTTTCAAAATTAAATACCATGGATTCATGATCTTCACGAAAGATAACACATGGACACATCTTCTGCTGTCGTGAAGTGCGTGATGACGGAGCCTTGTGACGTTGCATTGAAAGCGTGGTGAAAACTCAGCAACATCAAACTCACAGCTGTCAAAGGGCATAAGGCGTGCATGTACTGCTTCGCTGGCCTTAGCCAAGACGGGATAGATTGGTTTCGACCAAGATAGCTGGCTGGCACACCGGTAAGACGGCCGCACCGTCGACGTCAGACGGGTGCAGAGCCGGGCAGTGCGCCCACGTGCTTTTGAAAATTAGGCTGAGGGCATATGTTGTTTGTTCCTGAAATTCCAGGCTCTCTACAAGCGTAGGCAAACGCATTGTCCTAGATTGTTTTGGTGGAGAGCCTAGGCTGGGGTGTAGCGTAGGTCCACCAAGGCGTTGCTGTAGGCCCCTCCTAGCCAAAACAACTCAGCCCAACCCATAACACCTGCAGCGTCGCCGCCAGCGCAACAAGCGACCGAAAGCTCCAATAATCGCCGAGAGTAGGCACACTCGCTCTATAATACTGACGACATGCGGCTGACGATCTGATTGTTCCAGATTCTGCTCCTTCTGTCGTTCCGATCTCAATACACAATGTTCCGACGTTCACGCGCGTGGTCAACCATCATCTGAGCACTGCCCTGCGACCAGGCGAGGCGGCGAAAGGAAAACCCCTCCAGGCTGCGCCGTGACTACAGCTGCCTACAGGAGTAGACTTTCTCCACTTCGCAACCTTTTGACTACCTTTCCAACCCAACTCCCACGGCGACCACCGCTGCAATGGTCCAAGCCGCCGACCCCACGCGAAATTACTATGCGGACCTGAGGGTTTCCGCAGACGCAAGCGAGAACGAGATCCGCAAAGCCTTCCGGACACTGGCGCTGCAGTTCCATCCCGATCGCAATCCTGGGCGCGAAACCGAGTTCGTCGTCAGGTTCCAAGAAATCCAGGCAGCACACGAAGTCTTGTGCGATCCCAAAAAGCGGGCACAGTATGACGCTGAAAGGAGGAAATACCGGAACGCGAATGTCTCCACAAACGCATCCAACACACCGAGAACGAGACCGCCGCCGCCGTCACGCAATGCATACACTACGACTACTCCCGCTGGGTCCTACTATCGTGGCCCGCCCCCAAAACCACAGCCACAAAGCCAACGTCCACCCCCGCCGCAACATAACAACACATACAACACAGGCGCCGACAGGTTTGCGGGCAAAAACCACCGTGCACCACCGACAGCGCAGCGGCAGGATACAAGGGCAAAGGATTCAGAGGCACGGGCGAATGTCTTCACAGCATGGCAGAAGATGAAGCAGCCACGAGGAGAGGAGCCCCGCCAGTACAATCCAAATGCCCATAATAACCCACAGAACAACGCCCAAGCCAATCCCAACGGCACGCCCTTCGGACGCAGCCAGAGCACGAGGGCTCCATCATCCAAGCAAGGTTTTGACCCCTCGACACCAGGCGTTGATGAAGGCCAAGCACGGTCAGCATATAGGAACTATGCCCGTCCGGCTCCCACGCCCCCCGAATCCACCACTCCCCCGCATGCAAAGGAAAGCCAAACCGACGATGCCCCGTACTCTGAAGGGAACCGCGTTCGCACACCGTACTTCTCCCATGTAGCAGGTGAGCGTACATCGATGTTCGAGGGTGTCGGGAGGTCATCCAGTGTGCGCAATTCGCCCACTCATCCTCATAGAGGCGGCTCATCGTACGACGCAGGCGCATACTCAGATTCTGGTCGTAGAACGCAGCCAAAGAAGGCCAGTGGAGGCAAAAACGTGCCTTTTGAGCATGGATACCCTGATTCTAGCGACGATGAGGATTCTGACTCTGAACCTTATACCAAGACCAAGAGCCGCAATCCACCACCACAAGCTACGAAGCCGCCTCCGCCGACCTGGACCCCGCGTGGCTTCGCAACTCCCGAGCACAAGCGGCAGACCAGCGGCGCGAATGGGAACATGGCAAACAGCTTCAAAAGCAGGAGTGAAGAGAGTATCAACATGAAGTTTTCGCCTTCGGACTGGCATGGCAAGTTCGAAGGCAGTAGTAGCTACTTCGCTCCTAACATACAAAAAGGTGCCAGCACAAAAGGCCGAACCTCTCCAACTCGCGGCAGAGCTTCGCAGCGGAACGCAACTGACCGCAGCGCATTCACCTCTCAGCCCATGGGTCAGCAGCCCTCCGTATGGGCTTTCGAACAACCACAGTCGCACCCAATACCGCCACCGCCTCCGGGTCCGCCTCCGGGTCTCAACTTCGCTCCCCCTCCAGGCCCTCCTCCGGTGGCGCCACATGCTACAACTTTTAGCCCTCAGGATTGGCAAGGAACCTTCAAAGACGCGAATTGGGTTTACAATGATGCAAAGGAGACATCGCCTCGTAGACCGTCAGAGGCTACAAAGCGACCAAAGGCCTCGCGGAAAGCTTCAGTGCAAAAGAATGGAGCCTCGAAGAACCAGGACCATCGAGATACGTCGCGGCCAAAGTACCAAGCCTTTGCAGAGGAGGCGCCAAGTGGTGATGCAGACGCCATGGACATCGACCCTGAGCCACCAGCAAGACCAGAACCGATCAAGAGGGGCTCCCGTACGGCACCATCATCTCCAAGACGGACCCCTACAGCGGGTTCGGGAGCAACACAGAATGGCTTCAATGCTGGAGGTTTAAATGGTCTTGGTGCAGACTTGCTTCCGCCACTCTTTGAGCCTCAAGCGAATGGACTTGGTGGTATGTCAAATATTCGAGATGCACTCCCTTTTGCCTCTGAGGCCTCCAGGTCACATCCCATCAAGGCAAATGCTGCAAAGAGCCTCAAATATCCCGATGTCCCTCACGCACCTCTGCCACCCATAAAGCTGGATCTGTCGTCCGCAGACGACTACTTGATGCGCATGGGCTCATACGTCAAATCATATAGGAAGTACTGTGACGTCCTTACTGGCCACTTTGCTGCGCGAAGTGCTGAGCTGGAAGACCTTGATGAACACTTTATCCACAATCGTGGTGAGACAACAAGAAAGGTTGGCTTTACGAGCTACCTGGCTAAGATGGAGGAGGATGAGAGTGTGATGGAGACGTGGAAGCTTGCACAGGAACGTCACATCACTGCGTTGCACCAGTGTGCGGATGTGCGAAATAAGACTATGAAGTTGTACCAGACCCTCAAGGCCTGAGCCTGGCCCATGGTCACTGCATCGAGTCTGCAGGTGCTGACATGCTTGTAGGACCGCGGACCCGATTCGCGGCAATGGACAAAGTAGCCTTCAGGGCCATGTTACCACGCCTCGTTGGTCATGTAGCTTGAATGTGGAGACGGGCGACGAGGGTGTCTCTCATGCTACTGCTTCCAGTTCCAGAGCAACAGAAAGGGATGTTGAGATTCTGACTGGTAGGCGTGTACCGACGTCTCAGCCGTTGTTGAGGAAGAAGCATCACGTTCTTGGATAAGCGGCGGGCGTTTTTGGGTCAGAGCATTAGATACCCCATGATGCACTGTTGAGGAATCACTTGATTGGATTCCCAGAGTACTTTGTAGCGTTTCTGTAGTAATACACACATCTACACAAGATAGTGATATCCATCTGTACTTGTAGTGCTGAAGCTTGTAACTGAACCGGTGGGTCTCGGCCGTTGTGCTACCACGGGTAGCACTATTTTAGTCTCGAAGGGCTATCTGGTGCTCTCCCTTGGCTCTGTTCGTCAGCCTCTCAGCCTCTTCTGACAAGGAGCGAGTGCACGGTGAAACCTTAATTCCATATTGAGCCACATAGCCAACATTGTTTGATGATGCGCTGACTCCCAATCTCTTTAGATTGAGATGATCATATCTGTGGGTTGGATGTTGCAGAACTAACAATCACAAGCCTTAGCATGCATGAATAGCATATGTATTAAAGGAAACTAATGCCGATCCAAAACGGGCCAACGCGTGGATGAGGAAAGCGGAGGCCCGCGGGCGGCTCCTCGTCTCAAAATAGGACTAGCGACGCGATGCCGCAGATCGAGGTATTGTGAAATACAACCTGCCCTATCACCTCTGCCCTACTTTGAGGATACACAAGAATGCATAAACTAACAAGACGGCATTTGCAATGTTACTCTCGGTATACATCTTTTGGGGATGGGACTGGCGCAAGACGATACGTTTCATCCAACCCGCCGGACCTGCTCTCGGTGGGACTTACTTACGCGCGTTCATGATCGGCCCGTGACGTGCCATTCGGTGCGAAAACACGTACTTACCTACCGTCAGCGAGAGAATGAGACACAAATCGAGGGATGCGTGCGTCGTACTGGAGCGGGATGACACTCCGCCCATGATGATCCCCGCGAGGGAGGACCTCTTTGTTTCTCCTTACACTTGAGCATTTTCCGGACTCCACAGAGCTGGCCTTGGGAGTCGAATATTGTGAAGCTCTTGTTATAACGTCACCATGGCGGGGGATTCTATGCTGACGATGTCAATGTCGCCATCACAGTCACCGAAAGAATTTGGGACTGCGGCGGTACAGTGGGCTTGTACGAGGAGAGGGAGGATGATGGTTTTGACGTTTGCGCTTTTCACGATACTTCTTGGGTTGACGGGTATGAAGCACCATGAGGTACGTTTCATTACAAAGTTAAATTGCGTCTAGGTGTTTGTCGCAAGCGCATACTAACACTACCAAAGGTCATATCCTCAAAATACCAGCACCTCTCCTCGTACTACTCATGGCGGCCGCACCTCTCAAGTCTGCCTTCGATAGTTGATGCGCCGCTCAAGACTCCTTCAAATACAACGCTTCAGATTGAAAACGGCGCAATTGGCCATGTACCGCCAAAGCTCAAGAAGACATCGCCGAATTTCCACCTTCTCACTCCATCCGATCAGGATACGCATGGGTTCTGCAAGACCATCTTGTCTGCCATGTTGCTCAACTATCCGCCACCGACTGTACCCCTGCTATACACACGGCATGAAACAGATGTAGAAAGAGAAGGAAATACATTGAAAAGCACGCTACATTATCTAAATAATAAGAAACTGGTCAAGGACGAGGATCTAGTACTCATCGTCGACGGCCAAGAATCGTGGTTCCAGCTGCCGAGCGACGTGATCGTTATGCAGTACAAGAACTTGCTTGCAGATGCCAACCTGCGGCTGAGGAGCAAGTACGGCGTTGACAAGCATGGCTACCAGAAGTTCAACCAGACGATTATCTTTGGCGCACAGAAGATGTGTGAGAACAACGACAAGGCCTGCGCATACGTACCGCCCTCAATCTTGTCAAACAAGACATATTCAACAGAAACCTCTTACCGCGTATCAGATATACCCGCCAAGTTCATCAGTTCGAAGATGGTTATGGGCCCGGCGGCCGATATGAGGGCGCTATACCAGGCGGCAATGAAGAAGTTCACCGAGGGCAAAAGTCAGTCGCAAACCGTCCAGTCGGTATTTGCAGCCTTGTTCGCCGAGCAGCAACTCAAAAGGGATGAGGTCGAAGTAGCGAGGAAGAGTGCGGGTGCGAAATTCAAGGACTTTGTAATAGGCACGACGAGTGAAGGAGCGGAGCAGAGACTACTGCGCGCAGCAGACCTTGAGCTTTCAAATTTGATACGACACGAATTCTCAATGGGCTTGGACTACACGCACACACTCTTTCAGCCCACGAGCTATTGCACGGAGGATGAACTTGTCTCCCTTGCCCACGACAACGCGACTGACATATCCCGATATAGCCACGCTCCAAAGACTTCGCAGCTGTCTCTCCCGCCGGCTCTAAATCAGACGAAATCTCCGTTTTGGCGTCCGGACTTTGTCAATCACAGCCCATCACCCAACGAGAGGACATCCTACATCGACAAGTTAGAATACAAAATAGAACTTGACAGCATCCCCGATCGCGAAGTTACCTGGGCCGAGATTCCCCTGATCCAAAACACGTATACCGGCGCCATCCCCGCGGTTTTCCTAAACGACCATCATCACTCTCCTTTCGAACAAGCCCCAGCTGCAAACATCACCTGGAACGATCTCTGGTACTCTAACTACAGACGCGCTATGCTGCGAAACCACTTCCGCACACGCCAGTCACCTGACGGCTACCACAACTCGCTCGTCGGCGGCGATCGCTCCTGGGACACGCGCGGTGGCCGAGGCGGCGTATGGACCGAAGTCGGCCAAATCTGGTTTCCATGGGGCGGACTCGATGGCGTGTGTGGCAGCGTGGCGCAGCTCAACGAAGTGTTCCAGGACAGGAAAGGCGTGTGGTTACAAGAGTTTGAGGAGGGTGCGGAGGCGAACCGCCTAAATGAAGAGAGGCTGTACAAGGCGGCCGAGGACCGGTCAGCACAGAGGGAGAAGATTAGGGAGCAGGAAGCGATAATGGAGCACCAGAAGAAGGAGCGGGAGAAGAAGATTGAAGCGGGAAAAGCTTTGCAAGCTGAGCCGCTGAAGGAGAAGGAAAAGATTGATTTTGAAAAGTTAAAGGAGAAAGAGCAGAAGCAGGAGGAGCAGGAGAAGGAACAGGAACAGGAAGAGGAACAGGAACAGGAAGAGGAACAGGAACAGGAACAGGAACAGGAGTTGAAACAGGAGAAGGAGGAGAAGGTAGAAGAGAATGTCGAGGAGAAGATTGACTTTGAGAAGTTAAAGAAGCTCGATGCTGAGATGGCAGCAAAGGGTGAGGACATGAAATAACAGGGTATATATAGAGATAGAATGTCCGAGGTACTGTTGGATGCCCATGCGTGTGTATATCTTTAGAGATTAGACTAGTTTCCGTTTCATTTGGTAGAGTTTGGTCAATGTTTCTTTGGCGTAGCATTATCGGCGTATTATTTGCATGTGTGCTGGAGAAGCACTTGGATACCTACTTGCTATATTAGATACTGTTTCCATCTAGTAGAAATATGGAGTTAGTTTGCTTTGGTAATGTCATCACTGAGCTCGTTACCTGCCTCGGGCTTAGTATGCGAAAAATGTTGAAGCCCACCCGGGTATTATAAGATACTTGATATACTAGTGTACGACGGCCACTGTAGTCGCCAAACACGCCTATTCAAATGGCAGTGTTCACACATGATGCCAGTGTTTTGGGAGGTTTTCATGAGGGAGATGGTCGAACCATGGTTCGCAACTCGCTTGGCTGGAATTATGATACCACCACCCTTCAGGGACGCACTCTATAGACCGATTTTCAGTCCCTAGGTACTGCGTGTTTACCACCAGAAGCCAAAAATCTAGAAATTCAACGCAACTTTAGGTTTGCAACGTACTCCTTACAACTTATCCACCACAAGCCTAGCATGAACCATGGATGATGCACGCACACAACCTTTTTAGTAACAAAAAGGGTTCGGAGAGTATATAGACGAATAAAATCCATTCCATCCACCATCTCTTCACTACTACTACTCTGCAGCATCCCATTCTCTCATAGCCAAACGATCTATTATCGTAATAGGAAAATCACACAAGCGACCATCTTCTTCACCTTCACCACCATTTCTGAACCATCGAGGATATCCGTGCCCAAAATACCAGCACAATCCACAGCCACCATGGACTACGATCTCTACCCAAAATCCCTGCCCATCTCCCCCCTTCGCGCCGATTCCCTATCCCGTTTCTATGCCACCAAATCCAACCGATCTCTCTTCCGCTCGAAGCTTTCTCAGGCACTCAGTGTCACTTCCGGCAGCAAGCTAAATGAGGACACTCTGCAAGAACCTAGCGAGCAAGAAAACATGGGTGAAGAAACAGAAGAACCCCACCACCCCGACGTACTCTCTGTCGTACTCCTCCCAAGCGGCGCCGTCAACATGGAGACTTACGCCAACAACCCGCGTGGTCTACTCCCTGACTGCAAAATAGAAAAGAAAGCGGAAGTGGAAAGGCCAGGCCAAGCAGCGGATGTATGGCCAAAATCCCTCATACAGAACCACACGATTTACGAAACGTGGGTATATCCCAGCTATGGATGTTTAACCACGCCCACACCACGTTTTTCGACATCACAGGAGCTTGCAGTTTCAGCGCCGCTGCAAGTCAGAATAGGGGGTCGAAACCGAACATGCACTTTCTCGGAACGAAGTGCCATACTTGTCTTCGCAAGAGCCAGAGTGGCGAAGAGGGATTTCGCAGAGCCGTTTTGTAAGTTGGATAATGTTCTATTTCAAGATTGGTTTCTGCGTACCGTGCGGGGATTCGGAGTGGATGACGAATGGGCAACTTGGCGCCTGTCAACTGTCATGAAGGATAAGGTGAGGGCTGGGATCATGGAGGAGGTGGTGTTGTACCAGAAGGAGGTTGAAATTATTGCCATGGGCAGGGAAGAAGATAGGTGGCCCGCCCCGCATGCTCGTAAGATGATTAGAGCTGAGAAGAGGTGGATTAACAATAGGGGGAGTAAAGTGCCGCCTGAGGAGGAGGCTAGGAGGAAAGCAGCATTTGCGGATAGGAGGAAGGAGATATATGAGGCTAAGAAAAGGGAGTTTTGGGAGGGGATTGAGATGAAGCTGAGAAATGATAGACGGCTTGAACAGGAGAGGTTGAGGAGGGAAGAAGAGGACTTTTGGAGAGCTGAGGGGAAGAGCTTCTGGGAACGGTATCGACCGCGTATTGCGGGTACAGACTGGGTGAAGAGGGTGTGTTTTAGGTGCTTGTTTCGTACCAAGAAAGAGCAAAGGCCGGCCATCCGCGTCTAACCCGGCACCACTACCCACGATTTACATACAATCAACTTTTCTATACAAATGCAACGTAATGATACCCTACGCCTCCACCTTTGGCTGACTCTCAGCCAACTTGATCTTGCCCTGCTCATCATACACAATCTCCCTAACCTTCACACACCTCAGATGATTCACCCCCTTACTCAAACTCGAATCATGGTAGAACAAATACCACTTCCCTTTGAACTCGGCAATACTGTGATGTGTCGTCCACCCAATCACCGGTTCCAAAATCCTTCCTCCATACACAAAAGGCCCCAGCGGACTATCCCCAACAGCATAGCACAGATAGTGCGTGTCGCCCGTCGAATACGAGAAGTAGTATTTGCCGTTGTACTTGTGCATCCACGCTGCCTCGAAGAAACGGCGGTCGTGGTCCTCTGATGCTATCGGCGCGCCGGTGGCTTCGTCTAGGATAACGACGTCGGCGACGTCGGACGCGAAAGATGTCATATCATCGGAGAGTTTTGCAACTTTTGCGCAAAGAGCGGGGCCAGAGGTGGCCTCCATGGTTTCGTAGTCCTCCCGGACGAAGGAGCCAGTTTTCCAGCACTGCAGCTGGCCGCCCCAGATGCCGCCAAAGTAGAGATACGCAGTACCGTCGTCGTCGACGAAGGAGGCCGGGTCGATGCTGAAACTGCCTTTTATGGGTTCAGGCTCCGGTTTGAATGGTCCCTCGGGTTTGTCGCCCACGGCGACGCCTACGCGGAAGATGCCTTCCTTGTCGCGGGCGGGGAAGAAGAGGTAGTATTTTCCGTTTTTGGTGGCCGCGTCGGGCGCCCAGAGTTGCTTGGATACCCAGGGTATGTCGTCTTGCTTGAGGGCTACGCCGTGGTCGGTGACGGGGCCGCCGACTTCTTCCATGCTGAAGACGTGGTAGTCGTTCATGTCGTATTGGTCGCCATTGTCGTTGTTTGGGATGTTTGACTCACGGTCGTGCGAGGGGTAGATGTAGAGCTTGCCGTTAAAGACGTGGGCTGATGGGTCTGCGGTGAAGACGTGCGTTACGATGGGTTCTTTGTCCGCCATGATGATAGAAAGTCAAAGTTCTTTTTCCTTAACGTGGATGTCGAGATTCGAAGAAAAATATATTCAGTTTAGATATACTTCGGCGTCTACATCTCCCTTATGAATGGAGGGGTAATCCTGCCCCACGATGGTGGACGAAAGTGCCTCCCCTATTTACCCGCCGGCACGGCTATCCTCAAAGCCAAGAACTTTTCAGTTGGGATCCAAGACAGTCATGCAACCTACCAACTGATCCATTACGGTACAATCGTGTCCTTTGGGATTGAATGGGTTGATGGTTGTTGTGTATGGTGTTTAGCCGTCTATTCTTCCGCCGCGCAAACACTTAGTCTGCATGCTAAATTACCTCGGGTCGCCGGACCTGATGCGCTGCACCCGCCGGCAGCATGTTCACGCAAGGTAGACCCAGTGTACCCTGTCCGTGCGCGTTTTGAGCCAGTTCGAGTTTTGAGCCACCCACAATAGCTATTATCGCGAGATTTTATAGATTTGTAGTAATTATATTATTGCGATCAATTTGAGCTACTTGTATTTACCCGGAAGCTTGGTGGTGCGGCCGTGACGGGTCGTTCGAGTTGGGACGGCTGGTGCAGCCACCTCAGCTTCTACATGAGATGGAACAACAACACTACGTTTCTGACGCTTCTGCTCTTGACTAGAGCTTTGTGAGGCCTTGCGCTTACCCTTTTGGGACAGTTGTATAGCTTTTTTAGCGTCGCGAGCTGCTTTCTGGCGCTCCTTTTCAGCTGCCTTAGCGGCTCTCTCCTTCTCCCTCACCTCCTTAAGTCTTTCTCTCTTAACACGCCTCTCCTTGGCCTGTTGAAGCCTGTACAGTCGAGCCTGCTCCTTAAGATGAGATCTCTCAGCTTTTTGAAGCTGTAGTTCTTGTTGTTGTTGTCGTCGAACTGCTTCATCGTCCCGAGCCTGACGGACCTTACGAGGAGACCAAAAGACAGCTCCACCGTGGTACTCCTCAGGGTTGTTAAGTTGTAGAGTATAGCTCTTCTTTTGGTGTCTCTTTTTCACTAAAAGAGCTTCCTTAAGGCCCCTAATCTCTCCACGGAGGATACTATTTTGAGCTGAGATGTGGTGTAGACTTCGGCGAAGCTTCTTGACGTCCTTACTGCTCTGATCTTTCACTGTACGGCGTACAATAGACTCAATCTTGAGCTAATCGTCTCCACTAAGTACAGAAGTTGAGCTTTCATCTAAACTAGATGCCTCTTTGCGGAATCTCTTAAGTATAACTTTAGGGTTTAGTGGGTGTATCCCAGTGGCTTCAAATGACTTTATGATAGTTTGAGGCTTAAAAGTAGCACCCTAAGCCCTCTAAAACAGCTTAAAGAAGTCCCCTTTCTGTACTAGGAGGATCCTATAGCTGCGGTGAAGGTATTTTGAGAGCTTAGTTGAGTAGGCAATTGAGAGAGGCCTAAACATCCCAACATCAAGCGGTTGAAGCGTATGGGTTGCATAAGGAGGAAATACAGCTAACAGAATCCTGTAGTTATTGCAGTAGTTGATAAAATCTATAGTTATGTGGGATCCATGGCCGTCAAGGATTAGTAATCAGTATCCTGAGCGAGCTTTCCGTCTGGTCTCTCTCTCAAACACCTCCTTAAGCCAGGCTAACCCTATATCGTTGTTGGTCCAGCCAGAGGGAGATGAGGTGACGAATACTGAGTGCTTTTCTGGATCGATTGCCTCTACCCAGGCTGGTTTTAGAGCCCCAGCAGTTGACTGAAAGATGAGAGATGGGGAAAGAGCTGTACCATCCGAACAAATACAGGCGAGGACCGTCACCCACTCTCGAGAACCGTCCTGAATAGCAGCTGTAACCCCTCTTCTATCGTATATCCTCTTGTTAAAGACTCTCTTTGATCTTCTAGTTACCCTAATTAGAAAGCCCTTCTTATCTATATTGAAGATGTGGGAGGGCTCTACATTATACTCCTTCATCTTATCGTGTAACAGCTTAAAGTACAAGCTGTACTTAGCCTCTGAATCAGCTTTGTGGCGATTGCGGTCCATCCCGGTCTGCCAGCGTGAGATGAGATGGGTTGGGTTCCTGTTGATGAAGCGAGTAACCCAGCTTTCTGAAACCTCCCTACCAACCAAAGATGACGCAAAGTTGCGTATCATTGCACGTGTAGGTGGCGTACGTCGCTTAGTAAGTGTTGTGATGTACTGCAATAGCTCGGTTTCTTGGTGTGGGTGAAGGATAAGATGGGCGAGCGTGTGCGGCTGGTTTCGGCCCTGGTGTCTTCGAGCGAGCGTCGTCCGGTTAACACCCCACGTTTTTGCAACTTCGCGGTAGCTAAAAGATGCGCCTGCTTCACGCGATTCGATATCTTCAATCGCTTTCTGAATCGGGTCCATGGTGGTGGAGTTATGATGCGATTTGTATAGGTGGTTGTGGTGGTGGGGTGGCTCAAAACGCGCACGGACAGGGTAAAGGTAGGGGGCGTTGAGAGAAAATGCAGGCTGATTTAGTTTGGTGCGAAAGCTGCGCGCTCACACGTGGCCTTTCACATGTGTTGATGACTAAGGCTACATGTCTGGGATAGATTACTTTCATCGTCCATAGACCATCAACATTAGATTTAACATCGATTTCAGAATCCAGCAATATAACGGTGTTTATCAGTCACCTCAGTCACCTCGAACTTCATCCCCACGCTGACCTGTCCGATCGTCTTTGGTACGGCCAACATACCATAACAAGGCTTGTACGTAATCCCTTCGTCGATCCTTCGATACTTCATCAATGCATCCCAAGGCTGTGTCTTGTGCTTCTCAGCCGAATCCGGATGTACATTAGGCACCTGACAGCGGGCGCATCTTTGTGTGATGTCCAGGACGATGGGCTCGCCAGACCGGGGTGTGATCTTGATAGTCTTCCAGCGATCCTCGTCCCAGGGCACGTTGGACTCGCCTTTGACCAGGATATTAGGCCGGAAGCGGCGGACGTCGATAGTCAAATCTTCAGCGGCCTTGAGACGTATGTTAAGTTCGTCAATACTGCTTTGATTGCCGACTAGTATAGGCATAAGGTCTGGGAAGCATGTCGACGCATCTCTTCCTAAGACATCTGGTGCGCCGTTCGATACGAGTGGTCTGGGGTCATCGGAAACAGGTGGTTTATACACGAGCCGCACCTCTTTGCCGAAGAAGTCGTTGAACGGTGCAGTCATCTCAGAAGAATATACGCATGTTCCTGTAGTGGTACTCCAGATTTTCGCCGAATGATTCTCCGTGTTCTCATCTAACCACTCCTTTGAAGGATGAGCAGGGATAGAGAACTCTAGCTTCTCATCAATCGAGTCCGGAGCCGGTGCAGTCACAGTGAGGGTATCAGTCTTCTCATCATAGGTGGGTCGGATAAGAGTCATTTTGGAGATTTGCCGGATCGTCAGGAATTCGTAGTCTGGGTAGCTCACCCACATCCATTGCCTATCTGGAAACTGTCAGTCTTTGTGCAAAGCCTTGGTTTCAATTAGGGGAGCATACCAAGATCTAGGCCTGTGGGCAGGAGTTTCGCAGACTGCACCGAGATACCGTGACACGACTTGATGGGATGTATGAATAGTGCCGTGATCTCGGTTGGTGGTGGCAGAGGTCCAGCATTACTCTCTACTTGTTGGATTCTCGTGAAGAATAGATAAGTGAGAATCGGCAGGACAAAGATTGAGAGTATCACGCCTGCCTGCGTAGTGCCTGAGAGCACCATGTTGAGGGGTGAGGCTACAATCCAATATACTGCTGATATGGAGTAGAAGCAGAATGCTATGGATGTTTTCTGTTATCCGATTTCCGGAATTGAGGGTCTCTTCCTCTTGTTGCAATGGATGACAATAACTTCAACGCTGGCTAAGTGCCCCAAGCCGCAAGGCGTAATCCGAAAAGACTCCGAACCTCACGCGAGAACGTATAAACAGCAGTTCAAGTAAACATTTCGTTCATTCCATTTGCGCATGTGCGAATATATAATCAAAGATCGCAGGATGCGTGTATGACGCACCGCGCGGGGAAGAGAGCATTCCGTAAATGGCCTAGTGCAGCCAAAATATGTGTGCGGCAACTCCGCGGTAAATTGCTTCAAGCGACAGTACCTACTGTCGCATCCATATCCAGTTCGCCAAAACCACCTAGACCGTCTCAAGTATGGCTAGCTCTTGCTCTCACAGAATCCTATGCCCTTCTCTTCTTGTTATTTCCATTAATGCCCATGTCAGATTCTGACTCTGCACGCCTGTCTCGGCCTCGCTTTCCTGCCGCCCTCTTCCTCAAGTCTCTGACTTCCACCTCCAGCCTCCTGCAATACTCTCCTAGGTCGTTCGACTGTCTCTGGCTCATCTCCAAGTCTCTTATACGACGTAGCAGCTTTATGTTTTGTTCCGTGGTAACCATACATTCCCTCACAGCTGCATCTGCGCGCTGCACCTCGCGTCTTAGCTCATAATCTTTATCCTTCACAGCCTTTCGCCGCAAGCGTTCGGTAGCCTCATGTTCCCGGAGATAATCTTGGGCACCCACAAGCTGGCTCCCCTTGTCGAATAGCTCTCCTTGTAGCCTGGCGACTTCTCGTGCGTACTCGCTGTTGGTGCAGGACGTTTGATCCGTTTCTTCGCCGAATTTCCTCGAGGGCTTATGCTCTGAATACCTCAACTCGTCCTTGTTGGCTGCAACGGCTTTCTCCATGTACTTGCAGTACTCCGCCATAGTCATGCCGACCGTTTCTTTCGGATTGTCGTTTTCAATGTAATTGAAGGGGTATCTTTCGTAGAACGAGCCATTCATGGAAGCAATTTCCACACGATCTGCAGCAGTGTACATCTCTTCATATCGCTTTGCCACTGCTCGCTCGTAGGCAACGCCCGTAGGTAGATCCGGGACACCATTGTACTCTTTATACCTCTCGACGACGGCTAGTGTGACGAACGGCCATGTTTTGAGGTCTTTCGCGTCGTAGTCTGGAAATACGCGCTTCGAGTTCTCTTGCAGTTGGCTCGTGGTGAAGCTGAAAGCCCCGTGGTAGGCTCGGATCGGCGGCATAATGTATACAGATATGTCAGTCGACTAATCTGCTCTTCTTCAGGACTTCGGCATACTCGAGAGCTAGAGGGTTGAATAGGCGTCTAGTGTTGCTCTTGTCATATGAGACAAGAGCATGGGGTTTGATGTCTTCTAGAAAACGAACTCACTTAGATATCTTGAGGTTTTACAAGCGTTATTTGCACGTTAGGCGCTCACCACTCACCTCACTTCGAGCTATCTTCACCGTATCACTGTATCACCGATCACCGGCGCACGCTGCGCTTTCAAAAGGAGGAAGTCGGCATGAAATCTAGACTGACACATGAAAAGTAAGCTGGACCTCTTGCTCAGTCTTTGTATGCTGAGATAGATCAAAGGCCCGAAAACATGTATGATGTAGGAGGAACGTTGACGAGAATTAGGAAAGGCATCTTCAAATCTCGGCTTTTTCGGTCTAAGTGCAGTTGCGATACATATATCTTTCAGTCCACTGTATACTATGTTGATATACATGCTCTTCTCATCGCAACAAGTACTCTAGAGTCATCCTGCTATAGTAAGTTCAACAGCATTCTCGACTAGCCGCGCTCTACATGCAACCCCATGTGGTGTAGTCCCGTGATAAGATTCCAATCACAGCTCTGGGCGCCTAGAGATTAAAGAGCACAACCTCATGTACGTGACACACGTTTCAAGCAGTTCAGTGGTCGCCTGATGTATCGGGCCGACGAGGCTTCAAGCCATTCTAGCCCCCAAAACTACGTATCAAGCAATTGACGACACACGGGATTTCACAGGCGCAAGGGGGTATTGCTTGAGTTTCTATGCGCGTTTCGCGTTTCGGATCTTGTACCCGGGTTGATCTCATCTTCCATCACATCCAAATCTTTACCACGTCTGTCGCGAGTGTACACGCTAGAAAGCGACATATATGCCGGAGCCAGGTTATACTGGCTATCTAACAGCGGCCTACTAATCACGAGGTATCTCAGCCGCTTTAATACTATCCTCACTCTTCAGCTCGCTTAGCCCTGTACCACGAAATGGGCGCTCTTTCCCCAACTTTAGTATATCACGACTCAGCCCCGCACGGCCCCTCATCGTGTAGCGCGAATCATGCAACTCTTCGCAAGCGCCCAACGAGATACCAAGACATGGAGAAGCGCCGATATCAGCGCAGTCGGCGACGAGGCTGGAAGGCAGCAATGTGTATGAAATATGCTGTGGCCCAGACTATCAGTCTGTATGCTCGTTACGATTTCTTTTCTTTTCCGACGCGAAGGCAGTGATCATTGAGCTTCAAGTAGCTTGTTTTCATCATGGCGTCCTATCTTCCTACGAGGCTGCTCTGCCAGATCAACGGAGAGTTTTCCGTTGTCAGACCCATCGACGTACACATAGAAAGCTTCGACATCATCTCATATACTTGGGGAGACCCAGAGAAAGAAGATTGGGATAGTGGCATACCGGGGGTCAATTGGACGTTGAAAATAGCAAAAGACAAATTTAATGACATCAAGAGGCTTATGATTACCGACAACATCCGATACTTATGGGCGGACTGCGTATGCATCAACCAAAACTCCGAAGCGGACAAGGCTATCGAGCTGTCGAAGATGTTCGAATACTACAAGAACGCGGAAAAGTGTCATATCCTCCTTGACATGCCCGTCGTTTGGGATCCACAAGAGATTGTGGATAATCTCAAGTTCGTCGACCATGTTCTATCACACATGGAAGGATCTGCGCTTGCTGCTGGCGCTCCGGGTCTTCTGTCGGAGCAGAGAAGGCAGCTTCAGGAATGGAAGGAAGCAGACTGGGCATTCGCAATACCCGAGTCGATAGTCAGGTCAGCCTCCATCGACATGGGCGTACTGAACTGTTATTCTACGTGTGTCAATCACGTTCGATCACTGTTCCGCAATCTCTACTTTACGCGGGTGTGGACTTTCCAAGAGATGATCCTCGGCAAGAACGTTGTCATGTGGGCGATAGATCGCATGAACATAGCGCGTATTGGGGAGTTGAACACGTGGATGGGTCTTGCTGTGGACTCCATGGATAAGGCATACAAATTGCAGGCCTGGATTCATAATTCCCGGGTGGTGAACAACGCATCGATCAACGCGGTTTTGAGAGTCATCGACGAAGACACGGTGTCGCTGAATAGTCTCCGTATACAGGTGCGAGGCATCGAGAGTGCAAGGACCGATATCATCAACGGAGGACCTTATTGGTGGTATGAAAACACGAGAGGTGTTTCGAACATCTTTTCGGCCATCTGCCTAGTACCGCGAAACTGCGGCAGAAAAGCGGACCTATTCAGAGGGCTCCTAGGGATCTTTAGTGGACTCTTTACTCCCGAGGAAATCGAAACGCAGATCTCGGGGGATGACATGGAGAAGATGTCTTTCAATTTCTTCCAACAGTTGTCCAGGAAGACGAAGTCGGCCTGGACCAAATTAGCGATCAGTAGTCGGGAACGAGGGGAGTGGGATTGGATCCCTGTAGTGGAGAACTACAGCGGCTCAGCGACAACAGATTGTTTCGCTGGAGTGGTTAATTTGGGAAGACTGAACACCAAAGGTCAAGCAAAATCTCTCGCAATGACCGGAGTCAAGGGTACTCCGAAGAAGTACATGAAAATTCGGCTTTTTCAGAACACCGAGACCACCAGCTTCAATTTCACCTTCAGAGGCTGTAATTGTGGAAAAAAGTTGACGAAAAGCATGTGGTCCAAAGAGGTCATACCGACGTACGATCAGCCGAGGAATGTGATCAAGGACGAGACAGGGAAGATACTGGTCCAATGCGCGACTATACTCGGCAGCCTCATAGATCCCCTGTGTGATCTGGTCGCGTATAGAAGACGTCTCCTTCGTAAGCTGGGACCAAACTGGGCGACAACAGACCCGAGCGCAAAACCCAGCGCCTGGGAAGACCGATGTGTCAGTGGCACCTTCTGGGAGAATCCCCCGCGGCAGTTCTTCAGAAGCCACAACATGTCGATGAATTATCGCATGGTCGACATCTCGAGCTGCGAGTCTCGGCTATGGAATCAGAACACGGCCAAGATCTCTTGCGAAGTGCGTGTCAATTGCGGCTGCACCATCATCGCTCCATTCGCACTCATCTTCGAGGCCCTCACAGTCGTCCAGGGAAGCTCGCTTGGGGACACCTGGGCGATGCTTGACCCCGATAACCGTATTATACTCCGAGATGGTCTTGGGCTCGTACAGATTGGCGACATAGGGAAGACGTTCAACCTGATGGCCTTCGCTGGTGACGTGAACGCCCACAGAGCACATGCATCCGCGTGTAGGAGCATGAAGGTCGACAAGCCTATTGTTCCGAAGACTGCGTGGCCGTGGGGTAGGGCCCTGGTCAGGGAGGAGTTTGCGCATGGGATCATGGCCCAGATGCGCGATTACGGCTACATCGAGACGGGCGGGTCGGGGAACCTGCTGATTAGTCGCGACCACGTTATGGATCGATATAAGATCATCGGGGTTTGTATTGACGAGTATATACAGAACGAGAAGGGTCAGAAGCAGGTGACTATTCGCTGAGGACGATGGGCAAGGCTGGTGTTGGGATGTAGGGCACGTCAGGTGGTCGTGTTTCATAACACGATGGTCTTAGCGCGATAATACTCGTTTTGGCGCACGTGGTGGAATCTGGGGTTTTCAACCCCGCAATTGAGTAATGATCTTTAACTACAATACACGTCATTTATAATGATCTTTGTTCGCTAGAAGCAATCTACATAAACAAATGTAGGGACCAGTGTTACCATATCCTTCGGCGCATCCCACAACCTGTGGCAGTCCTTTTGCTCACCTTCCCTACCTCCAAATGAATAGCCTTCACATCATGTTACTGCATCCGCATAAAAATATCACCGTCTTGATTCAGCAAGGGCTCTGTCAAATGGTAAGTGCAGCGCGGCTACAGTATCTTTGACAGCTGCGAGTAAGGGATGCCGCAGGGCACTACTACTTCCCTTATTCGTAGGTTCAAAGATCTTAATGGTACCTATCAACGGCACACGATGGCTACCACATTACCATGCGCACGAGTGCAGCAAGCGTCGATTTTATCGTCCGCTGTCGAGTCGTTTCGACCATGGTGTTCTGCAACGAGCCCGAGTGAGCACCCGAATTTCAAGTGCAAGTCTCCACAATACTTGCACACCAACACATCTATTTCAGTCTGCTCTCTCACCTGGCGCAAATTACCACAGTGAATACCGTTTATGGTAAATGATCAGTCACCGTGAGTGCTTCCTCTGCAGCTTTACTCGCTAGCGCCGTAGGCAATATAACCGTTCTCACGCCGGCTTCTCTTCTCTTCTCTTCTCTTCTGCACCGTCTAAGCATCAAATCCCCAGTATCCCTTTAGACTCCAACGACGCCATGGCGTAAGTAGATACCATCTTCCGACAGCGTTGAAATAGCCTAGCTAACGAGAACAGTCCTACCCGTCCTACCACGCCTCCTGGCATGAAGGAGTATGCCCGTCCTAGACCTATTCAGCCTCGTCCTTCTCCGTTCATTCCGGGTTCTAGCTGCCCCAGGAATGGTATGATCATGGGCTCAGGGTTGGCTACCGTGCCACCCTCCCCGAGTATGCCGGTTCCGGGCTTTGACGCACTCACCATGGCCCCCGTACCTGGTCCTGCTTTCTCTACTCGCAACGACAGAGACGGAAAGGAAGATCGTAAGCCCAACTCACGCACTGGAGCGGGTGTCAAGAAGCTGCAGCCTAGGAAGAAGACGTCTAGTGACGCGATTGCCAAACTCGTCGATATCGCTAAGTCTGGAAAGTCCGCGCAGACGTTCCGTTTCATGGACTTACCCGGAGGTATGTAGCCTTCGCAATCCTCAGGCAAATCCAACGGTCAGCTAATCTTGAGTAGAACTTCGCAATGAAGTGTACAAGCACGTGTTCAACAACCCCAAGCAGGCTCTACTGGTCCACCGCCCTCGCCTTGCTACTCTGCGTCCTCGCACACGCGTCGATCGTGGTCGTACTCTCGCATCTGACATCGTTGAACAGGAGCAAGACGAGGAGATTCCGACTGCCTACAAGACAACTCGTGGCTCAGCCAAGCCAAAGGGCCCCTCGCGCGAGACCAACCGTCCGTTCTGGGGTCTGACCCAGGTGTGCCAGCAACTCCGCAAGGAATTCCACCCGATCTATATGTCCAAACAGGAGATTGGCATGGACCTTACCGAGATTGTCCAGTATCTGAAGACATTCTACCCCACTGCTCCCGAGGAGCTCGACAAGCTTGCGACACCTGGAGAGCGGAAAGTTGAAGCGCCATTCGTCGGTAACATTACCATCGCAGTCGGTGACAAGCCCAACGACATAGAGCGATCGAAAGAAGGTGTCGAGGTTGTACATCTTCTGGACATCTGGGCGAACAGCTTCAAGATCGAGACGGGCTTTGGTCGCTACCTCAAGGCCAACTACGTTCCACAGATTGATGGAGAAGCTAAGGATCTCTACCGTCTCTTTGGTCGTCGAGTTCTGAGGGACCAATCATGCTCTGCTATGAACAATCTTTGGCGTACCATCTTGCGCACGCGTGCTCTTGCATCCGTCCGACTCCACCGCAAGCCTCCTGTCGTTGCAAATGTTATGCGTACTACTGGCCTCCCTGCTCTCGCCCCGCCCGTGGAGGTCAAACCGTACATTCATATCGTCTTCAAGGAGGAGTTCGCCGAGCATTGGATGAAGGCATATAATTCTTTCATCCCTTACAAAATCGAATGGCTTATGGCTCGCGGTTTTGACAGCATGGAGCACTTCGACGTCAAGGTCGGCGTGGAGCAACACGGTCCCAAGCGATGCGGTACCAACTGAGCAGTCTCGTCGAGTTTGTCCGGCGCTTGCAAAGTATCATCGACATGCATTTGTCGCAGTCGCTATCTTGAGTCGGATCGTGAGGCACGAAAAAGCCATTTGGGAGTTGACTGATTTTCCTGAACCGGGGTGTTGGCTTGACTCCATACAGAATGGGTCATCTACGAGGTAAATATCATGGCATATCTGCACCTAGGGATTAAGTTTGAGGGCGGGTCTCAGGTATCGTATGTCACGCCTTTCTATTAATATAAGCTTATCTCGAATTG